ATACTAGGATATTTTTCATACTAAATAATGATTTTTTTCACAATAAAATATATAATTTTTTAAATTCTATACTGGCATTTTTTATCAAATCATACAATGACATTTTTTAAATTTAAAATATATTTTTTTACACTCAAATATAAAATATTTAATATACTACACTATGACATTTTTAACACACGATACAATGACATTCTTTTACACTAAAATATGAAAATTTTAACATATTATACGTTGCCATTTTTAACATACTATACTGACATTTTTTAAAATCCTAAAATATGTTTTTGTTTTCACACAAAATCATAATTGTTTTAACATACTATACTATGACATTTAAAAAAATATAAAAGAAATTGAAAATTTTATCATACTATACTATGACATTTTTATCATATGATAAAATGCCATTTTTTTCCCCATACAAAAATATGATTTTTTTCATACAAATTAAAAATTTTGAACTAACTATACTTATAAAAACTATACTTTTTTCATACCTTTCCATGACGTTTTTTATAATGAAATATGAATTTTGTTTTCATACTAAAATGTGAAACTTTCAGCATACTATACTATGACATTTTTATCATACAAAAATAGGAAATTTATTTTCACATTAAAATTTGTAATTTTTAACATACTCGTGACATTTTAATCATACTATACTATGACATTATTTATCAAAGAAATAAATTAAATCTATTGTCACACAAAAATCTGAAATATTTAACATACTATTGTGACGACTGCTTGCTTCATCTAGGTGCTCCTGTTCGGCTGGTTTGCTGGTGTTTGTGTTGTTGTGTGTTCTGTTGCAGGGTCATGTGGAAACAGGGTCTTCCCAATCAGGAGATGTGTTACACCTGGGCCAGGTGTTGTCCTCAGCTTTAAAATCTCCTCCTGGATTCATTGGCTCTTTCTCTTCTTCTGTCTCTCTCTCTCTCTCTCTCATGGCACACATTCATGAGCAGCCTGCACTGAGCAGCCAACAGTTACGTTGTTGGAAGGACCGACTTTGATTGCCATATTTTTAATGTATTTTGTTGTAATAAATTGTTGCTGGAATCTGCCTCGTCTCGCCTCCTGTTTTTGTCATAGCCGAAGAGCTGAGTAGTGACACTATACTATAACACTTTGATCATAGTATACTATAAATTTGTTTTTCACACAACAAGATGAAAGTTTAACCATACAATACAGTTAAATATTTTTTTACACACTATACTATACATTTTTTATATCAAACTATGCAAATATATTTGTTCATACTAAAATATGATTTATAAAAAATAATATACACTATTCAATGACAATTTGAGCATACTACACTATAACATTATCTTTTTTAGTCATACTTTAGTATTGTATTTTTTCACACAATATAGGAAATTTTAAACATACCAATCTATGATATTTTTTTCATCCTAAAACATGAAACTTTTTTAAAAAAAGTTTTGATTTAACGTACTATTCTATGACATATTTATCAAACTATACTATGACATTTTTTTCATGCAGAAAAGGAAATTTGTTTATACACTAAAACTTAAAAATTTTAACAAACTATACTATGAAGTTTTAATCATACTACTATGACATAATTTTTTATACATAAATTTGAAATTTATTTTTACACCAAAATTTGAAATTTTCAACATACTAAACTATGACGTTTCTATCATACTATACTATGACATTATATATCATACAAAAATATGAAATTTATTTTCACACTAAAATTGTAATTTTTAACATACTATACTATGACGATTAAATCATACTATACTATGAAATTAATTTTCATCCTAAGATTTGAAAATTGTAACATACAATACTATGACGTTTTTATCAAACTATACTATGACATTATTTTTGATTGAAAAAATGAAATTTATTTTCACACTAGAATTGGAAATTTTCAACATACTATACTATGACGTTTTTTTCATGCAGAAAGGGAAATTTGTTTATACACTAAAACTTGAAAATTTTACATTACTATACTATGAAGTTTTTATCATACTTTACTATGACATTATTTTTATACATAAATTTGAAATTTATTTTCACACTAAAATTTGAATTTTTTTCTATACGAAAATATGAAATTTATTTTAACACCAAAATTAGAAATTTTCAACCCACTAAACTATGACGTTTCTATCATACTATACTATGACATTATTTATCATACAAAAATATGAAATTTATTTTCACACTAAAATTGTAATTTTTAACATACTCTAGTATGACGATTTAATCATACTATACCATGACATTATTTACCATTGAAAAAAATGGAATTTATTTTTACACCAAAATTTGAAATTTTTAACATACTATACTATGACGTTTTTATCATACTATACTATGATGTTTCTATCATACTATGCTATGTCATCATTTTGCATTGAAAAAAAAGAAATTTATTTTCACACCAAAATTTGACATTTTTATCAGACTATACTATGACATTATTTTTTATACAAAAATATGAAATTTATTTTCACACTAAAATTGTAATTTTTAACATAATATACTATGACGTTTTTTATCATACTATACTATGACGATTTAATCATACTATACTATGACATCATTTTGCATTGAAAAAAATGAAATTTATTTTTACACCAAAATTTGAAGTTTTCAACATACTATACTGACTTTTTTTTTCATGCAGAAAAGGAAATTTGTTTACACACCAAAACTTGAAAATTTCAACATACTATACTATGAAGTTTTTATCATACTATACTATGACATTATTTTTTATACATAAATTTGAAATTTATTTTCACACTAAAATTGTTATTTTTAACATACTATACTATGACGATTTAATCACACTATACTATGACATTATTTTTTATACATAAATTTGAAATTTATTTTCACACTAAAATTTGAAATTTTTAACATACTATACTATGATGTTTTCATCAGACTATACTATGACGATTTAATGATACTATACTATGACAATGTTTTTCATACAAGAATATGAAATTTATTTTCACACTAAAATTTGAAATTTTTAACATACTATACAATGACGATTTAATCATACAATACTATGTCATCATTTTGCACTGAAAAAATGAAATTTATTTTTACACCAAAATTTGACATTTTTAACATACTATACAATGACGTTTCTATCATACTATACTATGACATTATTTTTCATTGAAAAAAATGAAATTTATTTTTACACTAAAATCTGAAATTTTCATCATACTATACTATGACATTATTTTCATACAAAAAAATTAAATTATATTTACACTAAAATTTTAATTTCAACATACTATACTATGACATTTTTTTCACACGCAAATATGAAATCTTTTTTCACACTAAAATTTGAAATGTTCAACATTTTATACTATGACAGACAGACAGACAGACAGATATATATATAGATAGATAGATAGATAGATAGATTTATTGGTCCCCGTGGGGAAATTTCTCTTCACCAACTGTACATTACATAAAAGGACAAAAATGCACATCACCTAGGACAGACCTGAAGGAACAGACAACTAATGACAAACACCAGGACAACAGCAATCAGCAACAAGCAGCGAGGAGGCAACAGGACGGATTATTCACCGGGGCCGACTATTCAGGGCATCTATAGCTGCAGGGACCAGGCTTTTCCTAAAGCGGGCCCTGTGAAACCTTTGGGTTCCGTACCTGCGCCCTGAGGGTAGGAGGTTGAAGTATTTTTTTAATCATACTAAACTATAATTTTTGACTTAGTAATTGACTATACTAAGATATTTTTATAATACCATACAACCATACATCTTTATTATACTAACTATGACATTTTTCCATATTTTGTTTTGTACTTGTGACCAGAAATAGTCTGAAAGGGTCGTCTCAATATGTCCTGGGCAGCAGTTTTATTCCTAACCCCCTTACTCGGACCCTTAACCCTGAATAAGTGTGTCCGATCTTTCTATAGAGGGTAGTAGTCCCAAACAATCCCATCCACTTGAATGGGGATTTTTTAAATTGCCCATCACTTCTGAACGTGACGTCGTAGAGACTTCAATCTGGTACCAGGGGTACGTACGTGAAGAGGGTGGGTTGGTCTTGGTCCCAGATCTCTGTCTCCTCCCTTAAATCCTTCCTGGACAGTGGTTTTATATGATATTTTATATTCATATTTTTATTTAGTCCCTGAGCCGACACTTTGAGCAGCGAGCGAGAGCTTTGTAAATTGTTTTAGTTTTTCCATGAAATGTTTTTAATTTTTTGATTATTTTGATCTTCAATTCAAGTGTTTGTGTGTTTTGATATTTTATTGAATTCAATAAAATATCTTTTTCCCTGGATTAACATGTTTTTATATATTATTAGCTCTGCAGAATTTTGTTCCTGACTTTTAAAGTTCAACACTTTGAAAATTAAAAAACCCTCTTGGTTACTGATGTGATTCTTTGACCTCTAAAACTCCAGGAACTCGGTCATTTAAACTGGACTGATTACATAAAGTCCAACTGTATTCACAGAGCGCTGCGTTGAGCTGCAGTGCTCGCTAAGGACCACAGGGGGGCAGCAACAGTCTGCAAACAGGGGCAGTGTTTGGATGGACTGCAGGGATGAAATGATTCAGTAACAGGTCCTCTCTCCTTGCTGCTGTGTGGACGTGAAAACCCCTGAATGAACCGTGCTGCTGCCTCTGTGGATCACTCTTTTCTCTGTGGTTTTTTTAAATAAAATAAACAGTGATTTTATCCGTCTTCAGTAAGAACTCACGCTCTCAGACTGGAGAACCACAAACAGGATATGGATCTGCGTTCACAGACGGATGGACCCTCTCTCAGATATTTACCTCCAGACCTGACCTGACCGCTGCTCCCCGCTGAGAAAACTCTGAGCACAGTCTGTGTTTTAACTCCGAACACAAAAACGGCTGAGCCTTTGAGCTGCCGTTACCATGGCAGCACGACCTTGACAGTTCCTAAACTGAACAGAATGAAAGGGACCACTTGTTGCCTAGCAACAGCCGCCTGTTGATAAGTAGAACAGGAAGTATACATAGAAATGACTGCAGTGATGCTCTGAGAGAGGATGAAGATGAAAGTGGAAATAATCAAAAACTGCAGTTCCTCTGGTGTCCACTAGAGGCTGTGTCCATCAGTGAGTCCGTCTCCATAGAGACTGTGCGACTTTACATACATATAAACAACATCCATCAGAAACAAACGGTGTGTCTGCTGAGGTCGGAGACTGATGTTAGAGATAGATCCACATAGATGTCCCCCTTTGGTTAGTTTAGTTTCCCTCTGAGGAATCATATGAGGGTTTATTCTGAAGTTATTTCCTGTTCCACAAACGTTCTTCATGATGGATAGATCTTCTGAAAAAACATCAACTTCACATTCAGTTATGATCTCACAGATAATCTCTCTAGAAGCAGCAGGACTCTTCTCCTACAGAGCCCTACTGTTGTCAGAAAGTGGTTTGGGGTCTTCTGAAGGTCCTCCCTGAAAAAGTCTTTGGATGAAAGCAGATGTTGCTCCTAAACCTGGAGATCTTGTTCATCATTAATGGAGCCTTCATAGATGTTAAACATACACATGACTTGGACTGTAGTGATCCCCAAACCATCAGGGATGGTACTTTATGAAACGTGACATTTTTATCAAACCATAATAAGACACTTTTATCAGGATATACTGTGAGGTTTCTATCATACTTAACTGAGACATTTTTATCAAACCATGACAATCATTGGTCAAGTGTCAGAACTCAAGAGGATTCAGGGCTTTAGCCTGAACTGTGATGATGATGAAGATGATTATGATGAAGATGATAAGGATGATGAAGATGATGATGATGATGATGATGATGATGATGAAGATGATGAGGAAGAAGAGGAAGATGATGATGAGGAGATGATAATAATCATGATAACGATGATGAAGATGATGATGATGAAGATGATAATAATCATGATAACGATGATGAAGATGATGATGATGAAGATGATAAGGATGATGAAGATGATGATGATGATGATGATGATGATGATGATGAAGATGATGAGGAAGAAGAGGAAGATGATGATGAGGAGATGATAATAATCATGATAACGATGATGAAGATGATGATGATGAAGATGATAATAATCATGATAACGATGATGAAGATGATGATGATGAAGATGATGATGATGATGATAATGATGAGGATGATGATGATGAAGATGATGAGGAAGAAGAGGAAGATGATGATGAGGAGATGATAATAATCATGATAACGATGATGAAGATGATGATGATGAAGATGATGATGATGATGATAATGATGAGGATGATGATGATGAAGATGATAATAATCATGATAACGATGATGAAGATGATGATGATGATGATGATGAGGATGATGATGATGAAGATGATGATGAAGACGATGATGATGAAGATGATAATAATCATGATAATAATCATGATAACGATGATGATGATGATGAAGATGATGATGAGGATGATGATGATGATGATGATGATAATGATGATGATGATGAAGATGATAATAATCATGATAATGATGATGATGATGATGATGATGATGATGATGATGATGATGATGAGGCAGAGGTGGGGGCTTGGCGACTCGACTTGGACTTGAGTCCTGTTTTTGGACTTTGATTGAGCATAGCATTGATCACTAAAGACTTGAGACCTGACTTGACTGGAGCCCAGTGACTTGAAAACGGCCGTTGGTAACACCGTGTTGTGTTTCCAAGACTGCTTATTTTTGTCTTGTTTCTGGAGGTCTGTTTCCTTATTTCTCTCACTAAACTTGGCAACCCTGTCTCAAACTCTAGCCTCCCTCATAACAACAACACCGGGAGGACTGAACATAAATCGCTCGCTTGTATTGCCCGTCTGTTTCCACGTGTTTCCTCGTGTCTCTCTTTTGTTTTGGAACAGTGAATTAGAGAATCAGTTTAATGTTTAATATTTAATTTGAGTCTTCCTTATTTTTGTGCACATTGTCTAAGTTTCCAATTATTGAAGTTTATCTGATTATTTTTTGTTGACATGTAAAATAGTTTGGTTAAAGCTGCACTATGTAACTTTACACAAACAAGAACCCTTGTTTAATAATAAATGCAAAAAGTGAAAAATGATTGACGTTAATCTTTACGGATAACAAATGGTTGATTGGAAAGGAACGGTAAGGACTTGGACTTGCAACATAAGGACTTTCCTCCACCTCTGTGATGAGGATGATGATAATAATGAAGAAGAAGATGACAATAATAACGATGATGATGAAGATGATGATGATGATGAAGATGATGATGATGAAGATGATGATGAGGAGATGATGATGATGAAGATGATGATGATGAAGATGATGATGAGGAGATGATGATGATGAAGATGATGATGATGAAGATGATGATGAGGAGATGATGATGATGAAGATGATGATGATGAAGATGATGAAGATGATGAAGATAATGATGATGATGATGAAGGGCAGGAATCACTCTCAAACTCTGCGTTTTCGTTTGTTTTGCGTCTTTATTGACAGCAGCCTCATGCACATCGAGGAACATCAACCTGCACAGACACTGAGCTGCTGTTCAAAAACTGCATATCCCACAATGCATCAGTCCCTGTGCTTCTCAACCACAATAAAACATGAGAATGAAAAATAGAGTCAGCTCATAGAAAAGTGACATCGTGGCACAAATACAAATCTACTCTGTGGAACATGGAGAGGTAGACGGATAGAAAAATAGAGATATTTTACAAACAGAAACCCCGCCTCCTACTCCTCCTACTCCTCCTCCTATTCGTTAGCGGCGGCGGAGGTCAAATATAAACATGATAAAAATATCTGAGGGTCAAAAACAGAGTCACCACATTCAGACGTCGACATTCACAGTTTCTTCACGTCTTCATGCAGAAAAACGACGAATCCATCGACTGTACATGGAGAAGCTGCTCCACCCTGACGGACTGCTCCTTTAAACACACCTGCACAGGTGAGGACACACCCACAGCCACAGGTGAGCAGGTCCAGCTGGTCCACGGTCACACCTGGACCTGAACTCTAAACTTTACCCACAATCCTCCAGGTGGACAGTCCACACACGCAGAGAGGAGCGTGCACGCGCCTTAAAGTCCTCTGAACACCTGTAAACACCTGCCCCCCCCACCAGGCCTCAGGTAAACCTCCAGTGTGACGTCACGCTGAAACGTCACTCCGACGCTTCCGGTTGACGGTTTTAAATCCTGAAGTTGACTCCACAGCGGCCTCACCGGCCCCGGTCCACTTCCGCTCACACGCCGGGCGCGTTCAGGGCCAGCGAGTACGCGGCCATCATCTGCGCGCGCAGCTGCTGCTTGACGTGCACGCGCCCGTGCCGCTTCCTCTCGTCGCTGCGCGCGAAGCGCTTGCCGCACACGTCGCAGGAGAAGGGCTTCTCACCTGTGTGCGTGCGCGTGTGCGTGGTCAGGTGGTCGCTTCGGCTGAAGCTGCGCGAGCAGATCGCGCACTGGAAGGGCTTCTGTCCCGTGTGGATGCGCACGTGCCTGTTGAGCTCGTCGGAGCGCGAGAAGCGGCGCTCGCAGCCCTGCACCGAGCACGGGAACGGCTTCACCTTCAGCCCGCTCTTGGCGGAGGCTCTCCGGCCCCCGCGTGACAGTTTGGGGGCTCCGGCGGCGTGCACGTTGCTGATGTTGACCACCGGGAACGCGCCCTGCAGGAGCGAGGAGAGGAGCTGCGCGTCCAGGGTGGAGGGGAGGGGGAGGGGGGCTGGGGAGAAGCTCTGCACGAGCTCCGTCTTCACCGCCGGTCTGCTGATGACGTAGCTGCCGGGATCGCCTCCGGTACCGGGACCGGCAGCTGCAGCCAGACTCTTCAGCCACTCCTCCAGACCCAGCGGCTCCTGCTTCACCTCACAGCCGGCCTTCAGCTCGCCCTGGCCGGCCTCGGAGCTCAGCAGAGAGTCGATGAAGTCGGAGACATCCACCTGTGGCTCCAGAGCGGAGAGCGGGAGGAGAGAGTCACTGCAGCCCGGGAACAGAGCCTCACCGCCGGACACGGAGGGCTGCCCACACCCGCTGCTGCAGCTGGAGCTCAGGAACTCACTCTTCACCACCACCACCGGGTGAGAGGCGGGGGGCAGCTGCGGGTCCGCGGCCCCTGATGGGACGCTCAGCTCGGAGTTCGGACTCGGGGATGGATTGAAAAGCGGGGCGGGGGAGGAGGAGGCTGCGGCCGGCGAGGGCGCTGCGGAGGACGGGCTGGCCTCCCGCAGAGAGCCGGTGTCTCCCTGCTGCTCCATCTCGGTGCAGATCCCCACGATCTCCGTGATCATGTTGAGGATGGCGTCCGCGGTGCTGCTCAGACCCGCGGCTGCAGGTACCGGGTCCGGTTCCGTGAAGAAGCTGCCGGAGTAACCGAGGGAGGGAGAGAGGGTGTCCGAGGAGCAGTCACTGAAGTCGGAGAAGAAATCTGAGTCAGAGGCGTCAGCTCCGGGGGAGAAGACTGAGGAGGAGGAGGAGGAGGAGGAGGAGGAGAGAGAGAGGAGAGAGAGAGAGGAGGAGGTGTTAGTGTCATTGCATAATCTGAGCTCAGCAACCTACACACACACGCACACACACACACACACACGCACGCACACACACAGCTGATCAATATGAAGCCTGATCATCTACACATGCACGATCACACGCACTCTCACTCACACACACACTCTCTCATCTCCAATAACCTGATCACCTCTCTCATTGATCTCTGATTGGCTCTCTCACGCACACGCACACGCACACACACCTTGACTGAAAGGTGATCCCGCCTCAGAGTCCCCTCCGTCGCTCGGGCTCGAGCCCACACTGTCCACCCAGGCGCTGCACGCGTCCTCAAACTCTGACATGAAGCTGTCCTCGCGCTCCAGAAGCATGCTGGTTCTGTAAAGATCCGTTCGGTTAGATCCGGTACCGGAGCGGTTCCGTTAGGTCCGTTAGTCCGTTAATCGGTGCTGAAGATGCTGGACTCCCTTCAGCTCGCTGCCTCTTTTATACTCTCCGTCTCCTAGGTAACTCCCGACCCGCTCCTATTGGTCGGCACCGGCGCGAGGGATTCCCCCCGCCGCGCGCTTCGTAGCTGCCCAAACATGGGCCGCTTCCGGCTGTGACGGCGGGTATCCCCATACCATAAAAGGACAGGCGGGAGAGAGACGTAGCGCGAGAGGAGAGAGGGGTTTCCTTCACTGCGGCAGTGGGGGGGTGGAGGAGGGAGGAGGAGGTGGAGGAGGAGGTGGGGGGTTATACAAGCAGCAGGAGGATGGAGGAGAAGAAGAAGAACAGAGTTTTATCATCAAACTGTGGGCTCACTGCTCCCTCTGCTCTGCCTCACAGGTTCACCGTCAGGGTCTGCAGCCGCAACAAGAACCAGAACCAGAACCAGAACCAAGGTGTTTCTGGGTCAGGAGACATGATGCAGCAAATCATCCGTCAGGTTTTTAACCCTCGCCTCCATGACAAATAAAAAACTCTCCAACAGAGGAGCAGGAGGAGGAGGAGGAGGAGGAGGAGGAGGAGGAGGAGGATGCAGCAGAGATGTTCTGGACCGGCTCCTGCTCCAGTTTTTGGAGATTCTCCTTACATAAGAGGAGTTTTTATCAAATGTAGGAGGATCAGAGGAGTTTAACCACGAACATCTGCAGGTTGACGATGTCTGCAGCCGCTCCTGTCGGCGATATTGTGTCGTAAACATCAGACAGACTCAGCTGCTGTTGTTTCCATCAGGAGAGAATCAAACGCTCGTCTGTCGCACTGCTGCAGCGAGAGAGAGAGAGAGAGAGAGAGATTATCGCACATTACTGCCCCACATGTGACATTCCTGCACAGCGCCGCCTCGGCCTCGTATGTGATGCTGTCTCCATGGAAACGGGAGGAGATTCAGGGCAGGCGTTATGTAAAATGGAGTCCGAAATAGAAGCAGAGACTCGAGTTTGTGTGAAGCCGACGCGAGTCCTGAACGTGAGCGAAACATCGGACTGAGTCTGTGAGGTTAGCGCGCTAACATCGGCGAACGATCGTAAACTCAGAGAGTCGTCAGGTCTGCAGGATTTCAACACTGCGTTTGAGTGACCTCAGAGGTCGGAGGTTAAAATGAAGTTTTAGTTACAAAGTCGGAAAAAAGCAAAATCGGAATTCTACGAAAAGTGATTGTAGCGCCTTCCTCGTCCAAATTTACTGCAAGCGCTTAAAATAACTTTGTGTGTGAGATTCTGGATCATAGGAGAGGTGTGGTGGAGCAGGTTCTTCTGGGGAACTAGCCCCGCCCACTCTAATCACTGCATAGATAATGAGGTTACAAACTGAGAGGCTGCACGACTCAGACATGTTAGGTCACATCAGGTCTACGTCGTCTTAACCACGGAACACCATCAGGAGGAGAGTTCGGGTCTGAACTGGTGTTTCTTCAGGACATCGCAGATTCACGACTTCTAATCGAACAGTCTGAGTGTCCCCGAGCGGCCTCTGGTGGTGGTTAGAGGAACTGCAGCGTTAAGAATTATCGATATTCTCTCCATCATCACCTGCTGATGCTCCAACTGCTCACGTTTGCCCCAGGACTGACAGGAAGTATGAATTATGTGACCAATCAGGCGATCCGGCTGTAATCCGGCGGTGATGGATGACGGCGGCGGCGGCGGCGATGGCGCTGAGGACAGAAATCCTCACACATGTTCGCATGTGGCGACTAAATCAAGAAGCAGAGATGATGGAAGTATGTGTGAGGAGGCGAGGGAAGAGAGGCTGTTGCCATGGCGCTGTGCCACGTTCTGCTCCCTCCACCTGTTACACACACACACACACACACACACACACACACACACACACACACACACTCTGGTGAAGCTATATGAGCGTTTTGGCGTCAGAAACTCTCCCGTCTGTGGTTTCTGTCGTCTGCAGCTGCTGACTCACTCTTAATGCATCTGTTAGAAACAAAAAAGAGACGGACATTCAAAAAGTTTTTATCCTGATATTTTTGATTCATGAGGGACAGATTTAAAGGGATATTCTGCTGTAAAATTAATTCAGGCTCAAACCCACCGTAACACCGAGTTAGACCCCCCCTCCAGAGATGAATGTTGTCGACTGCTTACGTTTCTCCACCTCTGTAGTCTATAAGCTGGGCCAATAAACTTCTACTGTAGAAAAATGAAAAGGTAAAGGTGTTTTTATTGAGCCGAATTATCAATAAAATCATGATTTTGTTAACAGGTATGGATTTATGTGCTGTTGAGTTAATATTTCTGAACAAGAGCACAGTAAAGTTAAATCAGCTAATTTTCCAATGAGGTTCTGTTACTGAACAGAACTACACCATGATCTACTGAGGTTAGTACATATATGGTCACAGCCATAGTACTAGACACCAAACATCTTTTTAACTTTGACTCATTTCTTTAGCAAAGAGACTAAACACAACTCACCTACTCTCTTCCAGCAGACGCTTGTTTGTAGAGAGACCTCAGGCCAGTCCATTACAGACTACAGCGGGGTGCCGCAGCTCAAGGAAGACCAAAGTTAAAAGCATTATGCTGCATTATGTCTCAAAAACGACAGTTCCTCTGGTGTCCACTAGAGGTCGTGTCCATCAGTGAGTCAGTCTCTGTAGAGACCGTACGACTTCAACCTGACCAATGACTTCAGAGCAGCTGAGACTTTAAAGCTGCGTTCCAGTTTCCTCGGAGGTCTGATGTCAGAGCTGGGAATGACGTTACACCTGAGTTGACGACGCTCCAGTAAACAAGTCAGAAAACTAAGATGGACGCCTACAGTTAGCTGTTGTCAGTTATGTAAAGATCACACAGTATTTTACTCGTACAAACACCACATCAGCGTGTTCTCAGTTAGACGTTGGGCGGTTCGACATAAACCACTTTTTTAATTTACTGTGAAGGTTTAGAGACGGAGAGAAGAGATGATCTTCATGTTGAAGGAAAAACAGATTCTCAGGGACATGAAGCCTGATAAGACCAAGGCTGTTTGACCAGGAAAACACACACACACACACACACACACACACACACACACACACACACACACACACACACACTGACACACACACCTCTGACCTCTCCAAGGACTCTCTCCCCCGTAGGAGATAAAACCAGAACTCCTCCGTCTCCCTCTTCATTCTCCTCTTCATCGCAGACATGCTCACTCACCTCCTCTCCTCTCTCCTCTCCTTCATTCCCCCTCTTTTCTCCTTCTCTCCCTCCTTCCTCTTCTTCCTCTTCATCAGCGGAGTCACCGCAGTCGTCGTCTTCCTCCTGGTCCCTAAATCCAGACCTCGGTCCTCCATCCCCTGCCTGCCGAGGATCCCTCTCCTGGGCAGCCTCCCCTGGCTGAGTGGAGACCTCCCCCCTCACCTCCTCTTCACCCGGCTCACCCACAGGTGAGGAAACTCCCACACCTGACGACGACTTCATGTTCACGTTTGAAAAGACGATCTCCAGAAATCAGGATTATTGAGCTGTAGTTGATGAACTGAAGGACTTTTATTTTGGAGGTGCCTTGGACATGTTGAGACTTTTACTTTGTTGGAGTTTTTTTTATGTTTTGAAAAAATCCAAAGATTAAAAAATAAAAGAACTCACTAATAAAATAAATGACTTGTTGTTCTGAGGGACTTTTATTTTGGAGGTGCCTCGGACATGTTTCGATACTTACTGACAAGAAAATGAAACGAGGAGTTGATTGTTTTAAAGGACTTTCAAAGATTCGTTAAATTTAAAATTGGCGAATGTTTGGGAGGACTTAAAAAAAAGGAAAATGAAAATTTTAAAAAGTTTGAAAGACTTCAAAGATTTTTTTTTAATTTTTAGAGACTTTTTCGGTATTTTCATCGGCATTCAAATTTTCTGGAGAAATTCTAAATTTTTTTAAAAAGACTTTGAGTTATTGTTCATTTTGGAAGAGATCTGTTTGAATGTTCCTGAGGTCTTTTTAAAGTTTTCAAGGACCAGAAAATGTTAGAAATGTCAGACTTTTGTGTTTCCGTTGATTTTTGAAAATAATTAAGAAGTTTTAAATGTTGATTTTTGTTGATGTTTGTAAAATCTAACCCTTTATTGTCTTTTGTATCACATACATTTTTGATACTTCTATCAAATCAATATGATCAATAAATTACTCTTGTAGTTTAACAGTTTCCAAAACCATCTGATGAATCAAAGAGATAAATAAATATATTTCTTAAATTTTAAGGACATTTTGATTTCTTTGTTTTTCAGTAGTAAATAAAATTTTAGCTCCAAAAAAATTGAATTTTCTGACCATAATTTTTGTTTTCAGGCATTAAAGGGTTAAGGCCTTATTCATGTTTTCTCCTCCCCTCTAATGATTCTTGAATGTTTTGATTTCCCGCCATAAAGATGTTGTTGTTGTTGTTGTTGTTGTTTTCACGTAAACAGTCGTTGAATTTACTGAAGTTTGATTCGTTTCATTAAATCCGTTTCGCTCTCAGGTACGGCTCCCTCTTCGCTCTCTATCTGGGTCCTCACTTCACCGTGGTCGTCAACAACCATCAACACGCCAGAGAGGTCCTCCTACAGAGAGGGAGGGACTTTGCAGGGCGACCGAGCATGGTGAGACATGCTGCATGAGAAAGAGAGAGAGAGAGATCTATGATTTATCACATACAGAGGTGTCCCACAGGGATCCTTCCTGGGTCCTCTGTGTTTCAAAATTCACACATTTAACGTTATTCTTCCGGTAAACGACTTTGAGATCCGTCTTTATGCAGATGATACTGCGCTCTGTTTTTCTGCTGACTCTGCAAAGCTCCATTTAACCCCCAATTTTTACCGCCACCGAATGGCGTGGATTTTCGCCATCTGCCAATTCCTACCAGATCCATTTGTGAGGCGAATTTCGTGGCGGATTACCGACAGTAAGAATCGTGAGAACTCACAAGAACCCGCGGAATTCCGGCAATCGCGCAATATCGAGTTGTCTCTCTAAAGACAGACACATAGACATATAAGCAGTAGATTCTGTCCTACCAGAGGAGGAAATCTACTTCTAGACTTCTTCTAGAACTCTTGTGATCCTCAGAGGAACGGAAAGAAGTCGGTGTAAATTGACACGTTAACTTGAATGGTTACGATCATCTACGATCGGAGGATACGACCTTTTAGGAGACGATCAGGATGAAGGTGGAGGTCGGGGGTCAGAGTAATGTGTCCTTGTCTTCAGGTGACCACTGACCTGTTGACCAGAGGAGGTAAAGACATCGCTTTTTCCGATTACTCTCCGATGTGGAAGATGCATCGTCGCCTCGTCCACAACTCCTTCACGCTGTTTGGAGAGGGAACAAACCGTCTGCAGGACATCGGTACCCTACGACACCCCTACGATACCCTTCATTTCCAAAAACATCGTCCTCTGATATTTCGTAAACCCGCCTCTTTACCGAGTCTTTACTGTGTCCTCTGTCCAACAGTCCTGTCCTCAGTAGACAGTCTCTGTGCGGAGCTGCTGTCCAGTGGTCGCCGTGGCTTTGACCCATCTCCAGCTGTGACGAGGGCCGTCACCAACGTTGTTTGCACGCTGGTGTTCAGTGCTACATATCGCCATGGTGACGCCGAGCTGCAGGAAGTGATCCGGTACAATGATGGCATCGTGCAGACGATAACGAGAGGAGGGCTGGTGGACATTTACCCCTGGATGAAGGTGCAGTCAGATCTTTTTAAACCATCTCTAAGATAAACTCCTGGGTTCTAGAACCTGAGGTCTGGTTCTGTCTCTCAGGTTTTTCCAAACGAGTGTCTCAGAAAACTGAAGGAGTGTATCATCATCAGAGACCGACTTCTGTCTCAGAAACTGGAGGAGCACAAGGTGAAGTCCTCACACACACTCAGTCCGTTTCCATGACACTCGAGAAAAACGAATTATCGGCTTATTCCGATAAAGACCGGACAACTAAAGGTCATGTAAACACCTTAGTCTGATTTTCTCTACCATGTAACCAGCGTAGTTGGAGTAGTCGGTTACAGGCCACGCCCCCGTAACCCCGTAACAAACCCCCAGAGTAGAGGAGTAGCGTTGGTCTCATCTTTAGAAAAAGTAGCGCGTCCATCATGTCGGACAAAAACAACGCTGTACGATGCTCCATCTTCTTGTTTCTCCAAAATGCCCAGCAGCAGTTGTAGACACTTCTGACGTCTGACACCGACCTGCTGTTGTTGTTGACGGTTGGATGGGGTCGGAAACAGCGCCGCTGAAAAGACCGGACAGGTTCACGTCAATAATTCAGTTTCCTCAGCTGCATGTAAACGAGGACGAGGAGAGAAGTCTGATTCAGAGAAAAAGACGAATTATGAGTTTATTCTGATTAAACTGAGACTGTAAACTAGCTGAGTGATGTCTCCGAACACTTGATCGAGGAGCTACGACAACAGTTCGTCTTTAGGAGGTTCTGATCGATGTCGGAGGATAACTCCTCTAGTTTAAAATAATCCAAATAAAATATCTGGAAAACACGTGAGATTCAGAATTTTTCACGTTTTTTGAAAATTTATTTCGAGGACATTCGATCAAAACACTAAATCTAAACATTAGAAACAAACATCAGCCGATCGATAAATTTGTTGAACAAGATATTAAGTCTTAACTTGTCAAACTGATGTTGAAATTATTTTGTTGTTGAATTAGAATCACAACTCTTTAAAAAAGTTATTAGTTTGGGTGTGATTAAACTTGCTGAACAAGATTGTCCGAAACAAAAACAAGATACCAGCTAGCCAAACACACATGATACTTTTAATGAAATCTAAACTTGAGCAGCTCAAACAAAATGATGAAAATATTTTTGAATTTAAAATTTGTTTGAACTTTTTATTAAAACTGTCACTTACTTGATCAAGATATTCAGAGTTGAACAAGATTAGGATGTGTCTCTTTTGTCACCTGGATCCAGGCGTTGCTGAGTGACGGTGACCCCTATGACCTTCTGGACGCCTTACTAAAGGGTAAGATGGACAGTGGGCGGGGCCAAGGTTCGTCTGAGGGGGAAAGGATAACAGACGATCACGTCCTGATGATCGCGGCGGAGGCTTTCGGAGCCGGAGTGGAGACGACGTCCACCACGCTGCTGTGGATTCTGGCCTACCTGCTGCACCACCCGGAGGTCAAACAGGATACTGCAGCTTACAGCTCACGATGCTAATTCAGGACGAAGACAGAATGAAACTTGTTTCTTATCGTTACGATCCGTCCGTCTGCTCATTTTCTGTATCATAAAAAAATCGTTGCTCAGTGACCTGTCCACTTTGCCCCGCCCCCTTCAGATACAGGAGCGCCTGCAGAAGGAGTTGGACGAGAATGTCGGCGGTGATCGACCGGTGTGTATGTCAGATCGCGGCCGGCTGCCCTACCTGGACTGTGTGATCAACGAATGCATGAGGATCCGCCCAGTCAGCCCAGTTCTGATCCCGCACACCGCCATGACTGACAGCAGGTCGGCCCACACGCAAATCTCAAGTTTCTGATTGGTTGCTGACGTAAAACTAACTTCCTGTTTTTGTTTCTATGATGAAATGCCGAATTTTTAGCTTTGAAGTTTTTTCCTGATTCGCAGCATCGGGGGTCACCCTGTCGCCTGTGGGACTCGTGTTTTGGTCAACATGTGGTCGATCCATCACGACCCCGAACACTGGGATGACCCGGACCTCTTTAACCCGGGTAACACACGCGTGAAAACAAACAGCTGAGAGTTGATAAATGTTTAAACCCCGCCTTACGACACTGTCTCTGTCGCTTTATTTTCCAGATCGTTTCCTTGACGACCAGGGCCAGCGGGTCACTCCCCCCTGCTTCCTGCCATTCGGGGCGGGGCCTCGAGTGTGCGTTGGTGAATCATTGGCCCGTCTGGAGCTCTTCCTCTTTTTGTCCTCTCTGCTCCAGCGCATTAGCTTCAGTCTGCCACACGGGGATCCCCCACCCAACCTGCAGGGGCGGCTGGGTGTGGTTTTGCAACCTTTACCTTATAAGGTTGTTGTCTCTCCCAGGGCGGGGTGGGGAGGGAGGGAAAAATAAAGAGGGGCGGGGCCACAATGTGTTGATTTGCTTTAATTTCTAACAAGTGAAGATCTGGACCTTCTCCTGTGTGTTAAAGGTACAGTTAGCAACGTTTCCTGGCATTTATCAAATCAGAGGAAGTAGAAACGGCAAAAAATATCTATGAGTATCTTTAAACGAGTGTAATCATCTAAATACTAATATTTTTGATTTTCTTAAAGGGATATTCTGCGTAAAATTAATTTAGGGTCAAACCCACCATAACACAGAGTTAGACCCCCCCTCCAGAGATGAATGTTGTCGACCGCTTCCTTCTCTAGTTATACCAACTTTAGTAACGACCGCAGGATAGTAATACAGAGAGCCACGCCCCCAACCAAAACGCCACTCTATAGACACGAATAATGCTCAGAACAGCACCTAACTTCATCAACAGGACATATAGGGTCACAGACATAGTACTAGACACCAAACATCTTTTTAACTTTGACTCATTTCTTTAGCAAAGAGACTAAACACAACTCACCTACTCTCTTCCAGCAGACGCTTGTTTGTAGCGAGACCTCAGGCCAGTCCATTACAGACTACAGCGGGGTGCCACAGCTCAAGGAAGAACATTTATGATCATTTCTTTATGGAAATACAATCAGACCGAGACGCTGAGGGGTAAAACCCACAGGATTCGGAACGGCTCCACTCTGTTCCTGCCCGGCAGGCGGATCAAATCCACAAGCATTATAATCAATGCGAGTCATTCCACAGAATCTGTCCGCCGTCCTGCGGATCAGCTCTGGCAGCCGGATCAGATATGCAAGGCTACTATTTTTGCTGGACGCCGCAGTACGGCGCATCAATTAGCTTGAAAATAGGAGAGACCAGGGTTGTGGGATGGGGGTGTTTATATACACCGATCGGCCGATGTCATTCAATGTCTCACGGGGAAACACGCAAGATCTTGTGAGATCTCGTCCAGTCTCATGAGAACTATCAGTAATATCGCTAGAGCTTCGCCTCGGATGGCGGCAGCGGATCGGATCCAGAAGGCGCTGTATGCTTGCGTATTTGATCCGCCTGCTGGTCCGGAGCGGAGCCATTTCGGATCCAGTGGGAATCCAGGGTAAGACAGAAGAACTACCGCGTCTGTAAAATGATCAATATGGTGATTATTACTTCAAGGAAACGATAAAGAAATGATCATAAATGTTCTTCCTTGAGCTGCGTCACCCCGCTGTAGTCTGTAATGGACTGGCCTGAGGTCTCTCTACAAACAAGCGTCTGCTGGAAGAGAGTAGGTGAGTTGTGTTTAGTCTCTTTGCTAAAGAAATGAGTCAAAGTTAAAAAGATGTTTGGTGTCTAGTACTATGTCTGTGACCCTGTATGTCCTGTTGATGAAGTTAGGTGCTGTTCTGAGCATTATTTAACGAACTCAGTGTTTTGGTGGGTTTGACCCTAAATTAATTTCACACCGGAATATCCCTTTAACCTATATATCTCACTTTGTTGTATATCTCCTTAAAATAACCGTGATTATGATTTTTTCCATCTTCCAGCAGTTCTTTGTTTTGGTCATAAAACCTGTTTAGAAAGTCGATGCTGTTTTCACTGTTTCTTAAATCAATAAAGGTGATTAACCTCCTGATCACGATGGTGTTTTGTTTCATTTCCTGTAGATAGATCGATACTCTAGAGACGAACTTTCTCTAGACTATCGATCTCTAACGTGTTTTTTACTGAAGAATGGAGACAGTCGGGCCGTTTTTAAGTCTGACAGTTTTATTCAGTATATCTTCACACACTTTTAGAACAGGCTGGTTTAGTTTAATCACTCACATACATCCACACACACACACACACTCACACACACACACACTCAGAATTAATGTAGTGATACTCATAATTAGCATTGTTATCGTCACTGTAATAATACGGGATTCCAGAGGCCGATCTCCTCTGACCTTCCCTGGAATCCTCCGACAGAAACCCCATGCAAACAGGAAGGACAGAAGAGAACGGAGCGAGAGGAAAAACATCCTGCAGACAAAGGAAGTGGGAGAACATTTAACATTTTAGTTCATCTCAGAACATCTGATGAGACCACAGGTGAAGCTGCTCCTTCAGGAGCGTGAACGTGGATCAAGAGCAAAGGTGGAGAACAGTTCATGAGTCGTCTCAAACTAAGACTGGGTCCACATTTCAGTCAGGATTGGTTCTCCATGTAAAGACCAGCTGAGGTTAGACCTTCACATGACGAACAAAAATTTATAAACAGAAACAAGTCTACCTTAAGTCTAAAGGTCGACCTTATGTCTACATTTTGTAATGTATCTTCAAACATCACTATGATGTGATGGTGTCAAAATAACTCTGATCATGATTTCTGTTTTTGTGCTCTTAGACGAAGTTTCTCGACTCTGAGTCCAACTCAAAGTCAAAAATCAGACTGGAAAGTTTTGGTCATTTCAACGGTGACTTTTCAAGGTCTGACGATCAACAGTAAAGAAGATGAGCAGTTTTTTCTTTGTCTCTCGAACCTCAGAGTAAGAAATTGGGAAGAGAGAGAGTGGAATTAAACCTGGTTTGTGTACGTCTCTGATTTATCTTGTGCTGGACCAAACCAATTCTGACCTGATCATGGGAATCCAGTCAGAGTTCCTCTAATGAGGGCTGTCTATCATGGTTGAGTCCTCCAAAATCTCATGAAAAACTGGCCCTGGTTTCACTGAACAGATAATTCAAAATAAGGTGACAGAGACGGTTTCCAAACTTTTTGGCGAACCCAGAAAACTGCCCCACGTAAAGGGGGATCCTCCAAGTCTGGATCATTGTGGCAGGTGCCTCAGCTGACTAAAGGGAAACCACCAAGTTCTCCATCAATCTATGATCTAATCTACTCTGTAGTAATTCAGCGGTTGAATAATAAACAGCAGATTTTTCCATTTCACTGATCGAAGGGGTCAGGGTAAGTTGCTGGAATATTCCAACCAATGCGTAAAATCACCATCTATGATCATTGGTCTACAGTGACCTGGTAAACTCAGGAAGTTCATGATGTTGGAAATGATTTGCATCAAACCAACATCAATGTTCTTGTCATCACTCTCCTTGTACCGGTAAAATATTCAGATAAATAATGAAAATGTCTGATTTCACTGTGAATGGCTGAGGCCCCCCTTGACTTGACTGATTTCTGGGCTGCAAAGCATTTGGAAACCCGAGTTAACAGACATATATGGACAAAATATCCACAGTCACTCTGGTCAAAAGTCCACACCCACACAGAGCAAGAACGGCTCTATCTAATGCTAAGTAGTAACAGTTGTCAAGTAGAAATGGCACTCTGTAACCATGAGATATACAACCCTATCGGTTCAGGTAAACAAAAACACCATCAACCACAACATCAATGGACCGGTATCAGCCTGAAGCCTTCTGAGGAGGTCTGTCTGTCAGCTTCTACGAACCCATAAGTCTCACCCAACAGATCCAACTTTGGCCTGGGTTCAACCAGACAAGCTGTCCTTTTCAAGCAAGGTCTGGGACAAAGTCAAACTGAACCCGCTGAAAACCAGATTCTGGGGTCTGTTGAGAGTGGGTATCCATTCATGTAGAGATTCAATCATAGGACACTGGTTTCCAAAAGGATGGCCAAGACTTGTGGCAGTCCCAAAAAGATCCGACTCAGGACCAAGAGTTCTTTCTCTGCCACTGTAGCCAAGTCCTTCCCGTGTCAGGACATTGGCGCGGTCCATCACAGGCGTCCAAATGGTCGCCTCTGTCAGCCCCGTTTTACTTTGTAAGAATGGGTGATCAAGTACATGAAGTCCATGTTGTGATGCAGCATTGACACAGGGTTCAAGAATCTGTCAAATGTCTTTCCGTTGTGAAGGCTGACTTGATCTGTGAAGGAGATACCTGTCCTCTGATCAGGAACCAGAGCGCATCACTTTTCTCAACGGTTTACCGTCACAGTCTCCTGCATCTGTAACTTTCAGGACCTCCTTCCAGACTAAGAGGAGTTCTGTTTTTTTTGTACAATCAGAAGTGACTGCACACTCGTCTCAGGTTGGCTTCAGGTCAGACCTTGCTCTCTGGTGTCTCTGACGTGTGGTTTGGAACGACACACATTTGAAAAAACTTCCTAACACAGCTTACATCAACAGCAAAAAACAAGTGCACTTTGTAGGATAAGTTGAAAAATGAAAGAAACATCTTGCTTTTACACTCAAACTCAGATAATTTGTCCCAAACGTATGGAGGCATCCTGCTACAACACTGTGTTGAGATTCAGGTGAAACAGACTGTTGTTGGAAAAGCAGTAAAAAAATCTGCTGAAACAGAACGACACCTGACATTTGTAAAAGCGTCATTGGAAGGTGATTATTTTGTTACAATGCAGTTTTATACTGATTCTGACGTGATTATTTGAGACGGACGGACAGTGAAAGGCAGAACTGAGCGATGGCATACCTTTGTGAAGTGAGTTCGACTAGATTTGTCTCTTAAACCACAAAACCCCCACAGTCTCTAAAATGCTCATGTCGGGTGAAATCGCACATTTCCAAGAAGTTGACCAAAAATCTACCAAGACCAAGGAGGAGCACATAATGTCCAAATAAAACATGAAAACATTCATAAATAAACCACCCCTTCTCTGCTATCAAGACTTTTCTTTGACACACAGATCTTTGCTGATGAAAAATATTGCTAATTGCTAATTTCAGTTTCTAAAGTGATTTGAAATACACCAGCATGTACTACACAAATGTTAATAACTCTCTGTCATTGACAAAATATAGTCTACCTTTACGTCTTTTTGTCACAAAATATCAACTCGTCTACCAATCTGTAAGGACATAAACATCTATATATAATACAAACTCCTACATTTGTTTTTTTTATTCCCCCAGTCAGTTACAGTAAGTCCATCGATTCATGAGTTTATCCTTCAAGGGTATATTGTGGTTGCTAAAAGGGAGGAGCTCAGGTTTGGACTGGGACTGAATGTGTTCTTGTGTTTGACCTCAAATTCAGAGAAAGACAAAGACAGGATCCGTGACGTGTTCACACCTCACTTTGTTAGCTGCTTTGTTTCTGTCTTACAGCGCCCATTGTTGATTCTGGTTAAAGCGAAAGGCTGACGCTTCGTCTTCCCTGAAGTCTCTCATACAGGATCGAGTTGCTTTGAACATATCAAATCTGAGAAACTGTGTCTTAATTCATAAACTACCCACTTCATTCCGCTCTCCTGACAGGCTTCAACATGAATGTGTCCCCACTAATGAATGAATCAGTCCTGCTCTGTCCTTCAGCGTGAATCATCCTCCTACACCGGACTCACTTCTTTACCAAAACAGCCGACCCGTACCGGCACGTTCCCAAATCCCCGTCATCACTCATGACACGTATGTCTGTGTCCTCTGATCAGCGTCAACGATCTAAAGTTGTTCTCCTGATGGTGGAAACAGAATTCACATGTCGTTTCTGTCAGGGATATAAAAACCCACCAGCCACCACCTTTCCATGTCTGTGACTGAGGCGTGTTAACTTCATTGTGCCACTCAAGAGTTGTGATCAAATCAGAGTGTTAGTAAGTTACGTGGGTATGTGACGTACAACCCATTACATTTACTTCTGATCCCTGTGATCGGTGTTCTCTAACATGTTCCACCATGTTTGTTTGCTTTCCCGGCACTTCTGCATTAATCATATTTATGGTCCTGCGTTAAAAATGTGGGAACACTCCAGCACCCAGAATAAGGAAGGAGCACAGATGACAGAGTGGTTGTCTGATAAAGTTGCAGGTTGGCTAGAGTATTACAGGTGTTCACCGACCACAGGCTGGTGGTGCTAGCTCTGCTAAGATTAGCCACACTAACCCCCATTTTTTACTGTATCCAGAAGGGCTCCGATCCGGAATGGCAGCAATTTTCGCCGTAGGCCAATTCCTACCAGATTTACCTAGGAACCCTCAGATTCACGTTCAATCACGCAATAACGAGTTGTCTCTCTAAAGACAGACACATAGACATATAAGCAGTAGATTGTGTCCTTCCAGAGGAGGAAATCTACTTCTAGACTTCTAGAATCAGCATCTCCTCATCCATGGTGTCATCGGGGTGAAATGACGTCTAAAAACCTTTCACTTGTTCGTCTCCGCCCGTTTGCATGGTGTGAAATACGATCCTCCTGAAACACGGAGTGTTTTATTTTGAAAAGAAGCCGGATGTTTTATTTTGTGTCTGTGCCCAACTTCCTTTCCATTAACTTGAATGGTTACGATCAGCTACGATCGGAGGATACGACCTTTTGTAGCCGTTCTAGATAAAGTGGAAATTGGGGGTAAGCCAACCAGTTTGACAAGATTTACTCAGAGATCCTGTTATCCCGCGTTTGGGTGGGTTGCTTAAGTTGTGCTCAATTTTGACCGTTTTATAAACTTCAGATTAGATGGTTAACCCACATTTGGGCTTTTGTTTACAGACAGAAATACGCCACTTCAAAACATCCCATCCAACATCATCTCCTGGATTAGTAACGTTATCTCTAACCAGCTGTTAGGTAAGGTTAGCTGTGGAAGGCAGGAGGAATATAATGACTAGCTATCAAATATGGTTTGAACCAAAATTTTACAAATCACTGGATCAAATTTTCTCTGGAGCTGGCTAATTTGTCCTGTTCCTCTGAACAAATGTACAATATTTGAAGACTTGAGCAGAGCTTAGACAGTTTCCTGAATCCCCTGATGCTCACCAACCAAACTCACCTCACATAAACCTGTCTGAACTAGCACTCTTCATAACTGCTGAAAAAAACTAGACATTCCTCATCAGTTTTGAAGGAGACAAAGAGTTGGGCATGTTCTCATGGGAGGTGGGGTCTCATCGTCTGACCCGCAATAATGGTTGAAACTGAATTTTAATAGTGAACATGAATCCTAAACCGGTTATTTCCAACTCCTAGTTGAAAAAAAAATGTTGTTACCCAACGTTTATCTGCTGAATCTGTGCCTATTAGATATCTTTACTAACAAATCCTGGAAAATGAACATTTACCAAAGTGACCCTCCTCATGATGACCCAGATCCAGATCCTCTCCAGTTTACAGAACAATAAAAAACAAATATATTGATAGGTGGATTCCAACATTCATCTTCAGTTCTCCCCTTGTCTAGGCAACCAATGGTTTGATCCGCCTACTTCAGTTGATCACACCGTCTCCATGGCGACGACTTTGCTATTGTCTTCAGATGTTGGTGTGGTGGTGGAGGTTGAGTTACAAAGTAAAAGTTCTTCTTCAGTGGTTATCTGACTGCGGGCAGGGCAGTCCACACTGTCATGGAGGCCAGTGTTTGCAACTCCTTTTTTATCTTTCTCCACTCCTCCTCCTCCATTCCTGCCATCCTCCTTTCTTTTCTCCTCCTCTTCCTCTTCCTCTTCCTCCTCATCCTCCTCCTCCATCCGACACCTGCACACCTCAATCCCAGAGTCTCCCGTAAGTCGCCGATGTCTGTACTGGCTCTCGTCCGCTCCCATGTCCTCATCCTCATCGTCATAATTATCATCCTGATCCTGATCCTCCTCATCATCTTCCCAGCTGGGGGGTCCCGGTTCAAAGATGTCCACACAGGGGGAAAACAGAGTCTGTTTGGGGGGAGACTGAGTGGCACGAGGTGAGGGGGAGAGAGAAGAAGCATGGCCAGAGGAAGATCCACCTTTGTTGGATGGGTGCAGAGCAGTGAGGGGGTCCAGAAGTAAAGCCGGAGCAGGGTGGGAGGTAGGAGACAGGGCAGGGGGAGAGGAAAGGGAGGGAGGAGAAGGAAGTGATCTGGGTGAGGTTGAAGATGGGGAATGAACTGTAGGGGGCGACTGAGAGGGAGACAGAGAAAACGCGGTGTCTACAGTTATGGCCGGGCAGGGGAAAGAGAAGGCTGCTTGTGATTGAACGGTGAGACCTGGGGCAGGACTAGACAGTGAACTTGGTATGGAACCAACTGTGGGACAAGGTCCAGAACCATTATTTAGACCAGTCTGGACATTTGATGGTGAGTGACAGGTAAGGACTGGCTCTGATGACAAAGGCAGGACTAGAGAAAGGCCTGAACTTGCCGGATCTGGACAAGATACAAGAGCAGGCCCCTGGTATTGGGGCGAGTCTGACCTTGGGCTTGTGATACCCAAAGCTAGGCCTAGCCCAGGTGACAGTTCTAGCCTCTGGCAATCGGGAAGTGAAGCTGGAGCTGCATCTGTAGCTTGGGCAACATTTGACTGTGCGAGATTTGGATTCAGGATGAGGGTGGGTTTGTAGTCTGGGATATCCAGGATCTGGGGTTGAGAATTTGGCACTGGGGCAGGTTTTGAAGGTACCTGGTCAGGAAAATGGGTTACAGTTTTTGGAATTTGATCTGGAGAGGGGTTTAGGTTTGTTGATACCAGTTCTGCACCTTGGGAAAAGTTTGTTGGTATTGCATCTGGAGCTTGTGCAAGGTTTGCATCTATGGGGGTTGAAATATCTGTGAGACTTGATGGTACTGGGTCTTGGGCCAGGTTTTGGGGTACTGGGACTGAAACTTGTGTAAAGTTGGCAGATGATGTGTCTTGATCTTGAGAAAATATTGAAGGCGTTGCATCTGGACCTTGGGTAAGGTATGAATGCATTGTGCTCAAGGCTTGGATAGAGTTTGTGGGTACTGGACTTTCGGCTTGAGAGAAGTTGGAAGGTATTTTATTTGAAAGTTCAGGGGACGGAGCTTGGGCAAGATCTGGGGGTGTGATCGCCACAAGACTATGATTAGAGAGATCAGAGGAGTCTGCTATGAGGACTAACACTTTCTCAACATCTGGGGACGGTACTGATCTTGAGCTACTCGGGACATCAGCTGGATCAACATTTCTTGTTAGGTCTAAGATTTTAAGGGTTTGGGTGTCTGTAGGGGTGTCACAAGAGGGGTCTGGTGTTGAGGTGGTTTTCGGTGAGTGGGTAGTTGGAGTGGTAGCCTGGTGAGCAGATGATGCTGAATCAACAATTGGACTAAGTCGTGTACTTGAGCTACATGTGCTGACTGTTTGAGTAAAGGGTGTTAGGTCAGGCATTGTGGGGGAGGAGCTTTCAACCGGAAGGGCCATCTCTGACCCTGGAGAGGGCAGAGAGTGGGTGGGATCTACCTTGGTAACGAGCGCCACAGTAACAGTCTGGTTGAGAACTGATGAGTCCACAGAAATTGGTTCCTGTGCCCCAGAAGCCACTTCATCTCTAATGTCGATGGCTACCGCGGCAACAGTCCTGTCAGACTCAAACCGTGTCTGATTTACCTCCAAACTATTTGCAGCGGCGGCAATAGTCTCCAAGGTGACATCAAGAGTGAAGGGCGCCGCCTCGCTGGGCGTGGTGGCGTGGCTTGTGTCAGTCTCATAGGTGACAGGTGCAGACAAGGAGGAGCTACATGGTGAGGAGGGGCAACAGGAGTCACAGGAACAACTTGAGCTGCGAGAGAGAAAAAATCATCAACCTTCGTTAAAGATCACGGCCAGGACTGACAGAAGTCCCTAGAAGGTGGTACCAGCATTAGTACCATTCGAACCAGGACTTGTTACCTGTTGTCGGAGCTCAGAGAAGACGGACCGTCGCTGAGTGTCTGGTGCAGCAGTGGGCCGTGCTGTGTCAGTAGGTGGGGGTCACTGGTGCGTGGAGGCTGTGGGTACCGTGGGGTGGTAAACACTGAGCTGTAGGGTGGAGGAGGGGTGGAGGGTTGAGCTGCCACCTCCTCGTAGGATGGTAGCTTCAGAGAGGCCAGAAAACCTGGAAACAGACGGAGGACAGTAAGGTTGAGGGCAAAGTAGCGGTTCTACAGTGTTCACTGTCCTTTAAAGCAGGGGGTCTTAGGGGTCTTACTAAGGTCCAGCATGGAGGAGGGGTAGGAGTTGGCACCGTGGTAGGCCAGCAGGCTGATCTCTCGCTGTCTCTGCTGTTGTTGAACTCTCAGTTTGGCCCGTCGGTGTCGGTAAGCGCAGCAGCAGCTGAACAGGATGAGGACAGTCCACAGGAGCCAGAACCCTGAACACAGAAGTACAGGTTTATTTAGACCTTTAGGTCCAGAGCGTTCCAGCCTAGATCTGGTTTCTGTCTGATTCTTAACTAAATACTGACAGTCCACACAGGTGAGAACTGGGACATCACACTTTGCCAGTTAAACTGTTGTTTTTTGGGATCATGTAGAACCAGTTTTGGTTATCTTTGGTAAAGAAAGCAAATAATCTGCTGATAATCAACCACAATAGGGGGCAGTAGAGGTTCTTCTGCTGGTCACTGCAGCTGCTGCAGGTGAGCTACTACAGCCGTCCTCCAACTGGCAGACAGACACTTTAAAAACTGATTATTATGAAGATAACCTCAGATTATCAACACATATTAAAGCGCGCTGAACTTACACCAGAGTTCATAGTAGTAGGTGCAGCATCCGGTCTCTCCACAGCAGTGTCCCGTCTCACACAGGTAGCCTCCATTAGCATTGGCCCCAGGGCAGTACCGTGGTCTCCCCAGCAGGGGCAGGCTGCCACCGGAGTGGTACTCCATCGCACCCCTGCTCTGCCCGGAGTTAGCCCCGCGCCACCGCTACCTGTTGCTTGTAGCTGCTAGCAGCTAACAAGCTGTTAGCTGCAGGTTTTGTAAACTACGTCCGACTCCAACTACATTTTTTTACTGATTTATTTCCCAACTGAATTTCTCGGTCTGACTACGATGCAGTTGTTGCACTAGCTGCTAGCCTCAAACTGCGAGTAGCTACAATCAAATCTACATTTTCAGACCTGGTGCAGAGACGCGTCTTCGATTAATGCTACCAGTTTGAAGGCTTTACAGTAAAACAGCAGCTAGCCAGGCAGTTTGAACGTGTTTCCTCTGATAATGAAACACTGAGCTCATAACTCAGCTCGATTTTAGAGATTCAGGCACGGCTCGGGGGGATATGAAGCACTGCGCCCCCGGATGACCCTGCAACAGTCAAGCTAACAAGCGTACAAGCTAAGGCTGTTGTTTCAGGTCAGTTAGCACCAAGATGGACTCAGAGAGTCTTCAGAGAACTGAGTCCGAGTCTCCGACAACAAACAGGTAACAGCTCCGACGACTGCAGCTGGAGTTTAAGTGGCTGGTGGAGCGAGATGGGAGGAGGGCCAAAAAAAAGGTCCTGAACTGTAGAGAGAGAGAGAGAGAGAGAGAGAGAGAGAGAGAGAGAGAGAGAGAGAGACAATAGTTTATTGATAAACAGAACAACAGCACGTCTCTCACACACACAGCAGAAACTACTACAGGCCTGTTTGATATTCATCACTGCACCGGCTCAAACCGCAAGCCGACACAATACCCCTCTCTCTTACTGTGACACACACACACACACACACACACACACACACACACACACACACACTCACATTTGTACTTCAACACTTTGGAGGACCATCCCTCACACGCTGCATTTATTCCATGACCTAGAACCACAGATTACATTTATTTTAATAATTGGATAAACTCTTGAGTACCCACATGTCCACCAAACATTACATTTACAAACCACATACTCTACAGATTCCTGCATTCACCACTATAAACGGTGTCTAACTTCCACTATCTTCTCAAAGGTCTGGTCACTTAAATCCCTCAGTAAGATCCTCTCCATGTTTTCCTGATCTCCCTGACACAGAGTCGGCATGTCTCCATCTGAAGTCGGAATCCTGGGATCATCATCATTTTGACCAGTCCCTCTTATTTCTACAGGAAGGACCAAAGACACCTCAATCACAGATTCCAGACATCTCCTCTGCTTCTGGTGCTAGGTCGCAAACGCTCAGATCAATCAAGTTGCTCCATACGTCCCCCTACCCAGCAACTCCCCCACCTCCTCCTGGAGGATAGATCAGCATATCCTGGGTAGTACCCACGGGTCCAGTCTGATTAGAGTTCCTCGACTTTTAGACCTGATCCTGAAACCCTTGAACCAAATCTTTGACCTCATACGACCTTCAACTGTCAAAGGAGGACCTCTTCTCAGTGTGCCAAAATGACCTCAGATTGATACACAAACAAGATCTCACACCCACCCACACACACACCTAAGATGACCCCAGATTGATAGACAAACAAGATCACACACACACACACACCTAAGATGACCCCAGATTGATAGACAAACAAGACCTAACACCCACCCACACACACACCTAAGATGACCTCAGATTGACAGACAAACAAGATCACACACACACACCTAAGATGACCCCAGATTGATAGACAAACAAGATCTCACACCCACCTACACACACACACACACACACACACACACTCGCTGCTGCAGTTTCAGAGCAGAGTTCAGCTGAGTACACCAGTGGTCTGTGAAGACTCTCTTACTGGGCCAAGTCCTGCCTGCATGCTGCAATGCTGAGATGCGCGCACACACACACACACACACACACACACACACACACACACGCTCGTCTATGAAATAAGACCCTTTGCGTTACGTTGATAGTAGAACTTACAGTCTGTGAACACAACACACTGATTCATAAATACAATGTAACAATGACTAATATTAAAACAGACACACACAGTTCACACTTGATCAGATCAGATATTCCTGCGATTATCTCAGACTAATAATCACTTTATTCAAATTATCTCATAATAATCTAAACTTTAAACTAATTCAGTCAAAAATAACCTGCTAACGTGCTGCAGATGTAGCGATACGACTCAGAGTTCCCCCTGCTGGTCAACATATGGAACAACATCACTTCTAGATTCGACCTCATCTGCTGGATGACTCAGACTTTTCCTAACGGTGAGCTCTGTGATTAAAACTGAACTGTTACTTTGTTAGAAAGTTATCTGTTATTGAGAGAAAATCGTGTTTCCTTTCGTTACCTGGAAGACGAAATTCTCACAAGTTTTTGCTCTGTTTTGTTCGTCCTACTTCGCGCACCAGCAGAAGGTAAACCTACAGCTACATCAGTGAGATGGCGGAGCGGACGGCTTAACTTAATAGAAATGTTTATGTTATGTTGAATTTACAGCCTCGGAGTCCGTGTTACAGTTCTGATATGACAAAAGTACTTTCCTTTTACTGGTGAGTACAGCAGGAATGTACTGGGCAGTAATCTGATCTGATGATTAAGTTCACGCACCGATTCTGACGAGGTGTTACATCAGTCAAGCGTCTGGGTCTGCCTAAAATAAACCCCTGTTTTGTTTTTGCTAACAGCCCCCTCCCCAGGGTATACGGTTTCAAATGTGACCTTTATTGTCGCTGGCCTTCACAGGTGCGTCCAATGATAGAACAGCTGTATTTAAAGAAGCAAACCTTATGGTACATGTCATACAGTAAGAGAAAAACAGGGTTATACTGCTGAGTTAATCTCACAGATCGATGGAAACGATGATCACGCTGCGATGACATGACTGTTCGGATTATCAGACCGTGTCAAGAATGAATCCATGAAAGTTCAGGAACTCAAACTGTAAAAACAGAACAAACGTCACTCCTATAACCTTTTCTACTCTGGCTGAAGGTGGCCTTTTTTACCCCTCCAAAACAAGAGGTACAGGGGGCGGAGCCTTCAGTGATCAGACCGCCCTCTACGGAGATTATCTACCAGTCAGGGTCCGGGAGGTAGACCCCTTTGACCTTTAGGAATGGACTCAAGACTTTCCTTATCGGTGTTTAGAGAGATGGTTCAGAGTTGGACTACAATAGACTTAGACTACTATAGACTTAGACTACTGTAGACTCAAACTTATAGACTTAGACCACTATAGGCTTAGACTACTATAGGCTCAGACTAAGAGACTTAGATTACTATGAGCTCAGTTAATTCACTTATGCTCAATCGGGGCTGCTCTTTGTTTGTTGTTTTCTTTCTTTGTTTGGTTCATCTTCCAATCAGAGGGCACAGCTGTGATCAGCTGACCTGTAAAAGGAACTATCACAGGACTCGACAGTGCGACCGTTTCACTCGCATTTGCGACTAAAAATAAGACGTGTGCGAATTGTAAAATGTATTAAGGGTCACGTGTGCGGATAAAAAAATCAACAAATGTTTTTTTTCCTGTAAATACGGCGGTGAAGTTAGTTTCAGGTTGGATATATTTTCCTGTAAATACGGCGGTGAAGTTAGTTTCAGGTTGGATATATTTTCCTGTAAATACGGCGGTGAAGTTTGTTTCAGGTTGGATATATTTTCCTGGAAATACGGCGGTGAAGTTAGTTTCAGGTTGGATATAATTTCCTGTAAATACGGCGGTGAAGTTAGTTTTAGGTTGGATATATTTTCCTGTAAATATGGCGGTGAAGTTAGTTTTAGGTTGGATATATTTTCCTGTAAATACGGCGGTGAAGTTAGTTTTAGGTTGGATATATTTTCCTGTAAATATGGCGTTGAAGTTAGTTTTAGGTTGGATATATTTTCCTGTAAATACGGCGGTGAAGTTAGTTTTAGGTTGGATATATTCCCTTGTAAATATGGCGGTGAAGTTAGTTTTAGGTTGGATATATTTTCCTGTAAATACGGCGGTGAAGTTAGTTTCAGGTTGGATATATTTTCCTGTAAATACGGTGGTGAAGTTAGTGTTAGGTTGGATATATTTTCCTGTAAATATGGCGGTGAAGTTAGTTTTAGGTTGGATATTTTTTCCTGTAAATACGGTGAAGTTAGTTTCAGGTTGGATATTTTTTCCTGTAAATACGGTGAAGTTAGTTTCAGGTTGGATATATTTTCCTGTAAATATGGTGAAGTTAGTTTCAGGTTGGATATATTTTCCTGTAAATACGGCGGTGAAGTTAGTTTTAGGTTGTATATATTCTCCTGTAAATATGGCGGTGAAGTTAGTTTTAGGTTGGATATATTTTCCTGTAAATACGGCGGTGAAGTTAGTTTCAGGTTGGATATATTTTCCTGTAAATACGGTGGTGAAGTTAGTGTTAGGTTGGATATATTTTCCTGTAAATATGGCGGTGAAGTTAGTTTCAGGTTGGATATTTTTTCCTGTAAATACGGTGAAGTTAGTTTCAGGTTGGATATATTTTCCTGTAAATACGGCGGTGAAGTTAGTTTCAGGTTGGATATATTTTCCTGTAAATACGGCGGTGAAGTTAGTTTTAGGTTGGATATATTTTCCTGTAAATATGGCGGTGAAGTTAGTTTCAGGTTGGATATTTTTTCCTGTAAATACGGTGAAGTTAGTTTCAGGTTGGATATATTTTCCTGTAAATACGGCGGTGAAGTTAGTTTCAGGTTGGATATATTTTCCTGTAAATACGGCGGTGAAGTTAGTTTTAGGTTGGATATATTTTCCTGTAAATACTGCGGTGAAGTTAGTTTCAGGTTGGATATATTTTCCTGTAAATACGGCGGTGAAGTTAGTTTCAGGTTGGATATATTTTCCTGTAAATACGGCGGTGAAGTTAGTTTCAGGTTGGATATCTGACGGACATTCTCTGAGGATCTACCGCTGTCTTCTCACTCTCCATAACCAGGAATAACAACAGCAGCGCGGTTAAATCTACTCGACACCCTCACTGTCAACGTCGGTGTTGAATAAGGGACCGTCAATAAATTACCGGTTGATGTTCTCAGAAAAGGCTGTTTTCCTTCAATAGCTTCAGTGTCATGTGACCAAAAGACCTAAAATTGATTTTAAATAATTGTACTAAGGTCGATCAATAAGACAAACATTATTTGATTAATTAAGTCTTTTTGTGCTCCTTACTTTTTCAACTTAGGAAAACATGTGAACAAAGTTAATGTCAAGCCCTGGGTTCAATCACTTTTTTAAAATCCTGACTTTTTTCACCATCAACTTTGATTTGATTTGATGTTAGTACGATAATAACCAGCAGGGGGCTTATTTACGTCCTTAAATCAGGGAATTACAGGTGAAAATGCAGCAGATTACTGTGAATTTAGAGTCTTAAAGACATTTATTCTCCAGGAGATCAGAGTCAAAGTGACTGTTTGTGTTTCTGTATTTGAGGATAAATGAGGATTTAAAGACCACCACCAAGACCACCTCTGCTCCGGCCTGGTCTAATCTGTCAGGAATTCACTTCAGGACCAAGGAGAGCACACACACACACACACACCCTGAGACTGGACTGACCTGGAGAAGAACCCCCTCAGTTCTGGTCCAGTCCGGGTCCAGACCAACCTGTTGGTTCTGATTGATGGTTTGTCTGTCTGCAGAATCCACTCAGGTTAAAAACACTCCATGTTCATTAAATTGATGATTAAAATAAAAACACTGTGATAGTATGGTACGTGGGCTCTTTATAGGTCCCCCCATTAGACTGGCCTACCCCCCCACCCCCATAAACCCCCTAATAAACCCACAGACAGACACAGACACAGAGGCCACATGTGTTTAAATATCTGTGACATGGACACGCAGCGTGGGGCCTTCCACGCTGTTTTCTGCTCTAAACTCAGTCCTGAGTGGATTTTCGTGTCAGTGGACGGACAGCCTCCTTCAGACGGACGTTAACGGCAGAATCTCCCGGTAACAGATAAACAAAAACACCCGTACCCTTCACTCCTTCCCTCCGTCCTCCTCGGTGAGGGCTCCCCGGCCTCTCTGCTCTCTCCTTCGGCGTCGATGATGTTCGTCTGTCGGTGTGTCGCTGCTCGGTACCGCCGGGGCCTGCTGCTGGTTCCGTTTCTCCGGTTCCCCGCCTTCTCGCTCTCCCTCCTCGGTGCGACCCTCCGCCAGCCCCGCCGCCATCAGCGCCAGCGGCAGGTCAAGCTCGCGCGGCGCGGGACGACGCATTTCCGCCTTCTTGCTAAAGTCGATTTCAAAATAAAAGCCCGATTTACGGTTTATGCAGAACAGGCTAAAAGGTCACCGAAAAGGCGAAAACAGTTCTCTTAAATTCAGAGGAGGTAATAAGACCTCTAAAGACATTCTAATGTTATTCTCTAAATTCTGGAAACGTTTTGAAGTACTCATAATTTCTCTTAAATCACTTTAATCAAGTTTCACAGCTGAAAAACACTTAAAGGTGGGGTGGACAGGATTCCATTAAAAAGGCATCTTTTTATTTTGTGGTTCATTTAAAAAAATTTTCTAATATCAGTCAATAGTTATTAGTTATTGATGACATTTGGTAATATATTGATATCTCTGTGTTCTCTTATGTCTGTGTCGTCAACATTTGAACATTTTTGAGCGGTCCGCTCTTTCTGACTGTAAACAAAGCCGTTCTCCACCTCCTCTAACCTGATTGGTTGTGAGGCAGACGCTGCTCCCCCGTGTCGTTCAGGAGCCCAAACAAAGTTAGCGTGCTACAATATCGGACAGTAGAAACCAACCAGAAAGTTTGGAAAATTGTCTGAATCCTCCTTTGGCCACGACTGCTGACACAAGCAAGAAAACAAAGTAAATACCGGAGACTCTGGAGGAATAACGGGCGCTTGTCAAACGGACCTGCTGTATGTCGTTGCGCCGCTGGAGCTGAGGGGAAAACTGGTTGGAGGGGTAGAGTTTACATTCAAGATTTCTCCCAAAAACTGGGACTAACTCAGTACTCAGCCTTAAATTAATGATGTTCGATTATTTAGAAACACCCAGTGGACTCACAGAGACTCACAGAGACATTAATCCTGGTTACTGTCGAGTTTAAGGAAGTCAAACCTAGACATCATCACAGCAGTTACACTAAACCTACCTGTGTGCTGTTCCAAGTGTCATCAGAACCGTTTTAATTTGTACTAACTTACTTTGAAATCAAACCGGAAGTGGTTATTGCCCGTTTTTTTCCGGTTTGACGGCCCCGCCATTACAGACACCAACCGGTAACGGCAGCGAGAGTCCTGCAGTCGAGAACCGTCAGACTGAGGCTGAAATCAGGGCAGAAAATCAGAGAACAGGGATTAAATTTAAACCTACAAACGTGTTTTTAGATTTAGTCCTGAAATCACAGAAAACGGAGAGTTTAATTATTAAAAAAATCACATTTATGGTCCAAAATGTCCGAGAGAAGCTGAAATAATCAGGGATCATATAAAGCCAATAAACGGAACAGACGCTCTTCGCTGTAGTTTGGGTTATCAATCATTATAAACATTGATAAGGGGAAATAGAGAGAGAGATTATGGATTCTTATGGCGGACGCACTGGGTTCTGATTGGCCAGAGGGATGAGCTGAGGGCCAATCAGAGAGCAGGCTGAGTGAAGCTGCCGCTCCTAGCAACAAGAGGAAAGTTTGTCCTCTGAGTGAAAAACAGCAACAGGAAACTCGAAACTTCACTAACACTCAGTCATTTTTCATTAAAGTGTTCAGAAACGTAAAAAGGAAGAATCAAAGTTTATAAAATCTCAGGAGAGTTCGAGTTTTGACGACCACTGAAGGGATTCTGGGAGCATGTGGAGATTTCCACTCCAGAGTCTGTTTATATGATGATTACAGAAATAGATTCTTAATCCCGTCGCTCAGCACAAAACAGACAATCAAGAGAAGTCAAGTAACCAAAGCGAAGGCCGACAGCGTGAGAAAACGCCCACCCTGAGGTCACATGTTGGTGTACACGCCATCCTCTCAGTTTAACTGGACAGACTACACTAATTTGGGTATTTTTGGACCTTGTTCACTCACAAAACTCGGGTTTTAGTCATTTTATCATTTCAAAAACAAAATCAGAGACATGAATTCATGCTTTCATCACACACAGATTATTGTAATGCCCTAAAAGAACATTTCACACCTGCATTTGAAGGTCTCTGCATCAGCTCCCCGTCTCTTTTAAAATAGATTTTAAGGTTGTTTTATTGGTTTTTAAAGCTCTTCTTATTTACCTTCTGAGTCAGGTCGAGTCCTCAGGTCTTCAGGAAGTTCTCTGTGAACATTATTAAAGTTATAACCAAAACATATGGTGAGGAACCTTTTTATTAGTACGGAACAGCTGACCTGAAGACCTGAGGACTGAAACTAAGCTTAATGACTTTAAAACCAAACTAAAAACCTTTTAACTCAATTTTATATCATTAACTTTAAGTGTTTTAGCATTTGTCTCTTTTTAGTTTTAGTCACAGGATCATCTTTTATTGAGCTAATTTGTTTTTATTTCATTTAATTGATTATTTCTTAAATTTCATTTTATGTTCATTTGTTGTTTTTTTTCTTTATCTTGAGTTTTAAAACAGCGTTTCTTCAGTGCGCACATTAAAGCCCTTTTTAAGTTCATCCATTTTAATTCTGTTTCTGTTACATGGTTGTGTATGACAAGTGCTGTATAAATAAAGACTGGTTGATTGATTGATTGATTGATTGATTGATTGATAATTAAAGGTGGAGGGCTTTGATAAAACAGAAACTTTGCTGTCCAGGATTTTACAGATCAGGAAGGAGTGGAGCTTTTCTCTGGAGAGTTTTGTCGCCCTCTGGTGGTCACTCAGTGTAAAAATAAGACAGAATCTGCTCACCAAAACATGATCATGATCTAGATTTCAGTCTGCATCTATACGGGAGTCTCTCTGATGAAACAACAAACATTTCAACTCTCCTCGTCGTAAAATCACGTCTTTGTGACAGAGACTCTGTGCTACCAGAACCAGTCCAGTTGGATCAGAACACATGGACCTGGTCTTTACCCTCCACACAGGTCTTGGCGGTCCATGATCCTGATCATCTGCTCTCAGATGTCTTTGGATTTGGTCTTCATTCATGGTTCAGTGTTTCTGTAGGAGCCAAATATGTTGCTGTGAAACATGTGATGAGGTGCAGTTCACCTTTTGTGCCCCAGGTGTCGCTGTCTTGTTATCTTGGGGCTCAGGAATAGAGGTAGTCATGTCACTGTTGTGGGCGGGTGTTCGACAGTTGTGTTTTCCCTGTTTGTTCGTCACTATAAATTTATTTTGTTTTCTGAATCTGAGGATCAGCGTCCGGACTTTCAACGATCATCACGACTCACGGTAAAAGTTTGTAGAGCGGCGCGTCACCCCGGTTACTCCAGGTCAAACATCTGAGTAGCTTTAAGTATCGACTCAGCTCCTCCAGTATCCATCAGACATTCGTACCCAGGTGAACCCGGTTCTCGCTCTCTGAAGAACGTCAGACGGACACCCATCATGAACCTAAAACCTCCTCGTCTTCCTGAGGTCTTCAGGTCCTAACAAAGCAGCCCCCCTCTTACAAACATGAACTCACAGATCACCCAGAAGATTTATCAGATTCATCATTTATTTGTTGAATTATCGGAAACATGGCAGCTTTTGGAGCATCGTAATGGTTTTACAACAACAACAGAAAAATTATCCAGTAGATCAGCGTCAACGGGGTTAGGTCTCTAACATGGTGACAGAAAACAAAACCTTTACCACCTACGACTCATTTAAACTCAACTTTATTTACCGGAACATTAACGAGAAACTGAAGCTCATCGGAAAAACACGACCGAGGTGATTCAGGAGTACTTTCGTACGTTCATCACAGCAGACATTCCAGATTTTCACTCGGACAAGTTTCCTCAGCTCCGAACTCCGAGCTAAGACTGAGACCAGCATCCAAATGTTGGTTTGTTGTTCATCAATATTCCAACTGTGGATCCACGGACCTGCATCTGTTTAATGCTGCGTTCCAGTTTCCTCGGGAGTCGGATGTCGGAGCTGAAAATGACGTCACATCCGAGTTCCCAGCGTTTCAGTTACCAAGTTGAAAAAAAAGCAAAATCGTATCTTGTCTTGTCTGAATATTAGGCAAGTGCTAAAATAACTTTCATAGATGAAGCCATCTTGTTTCAGGCCTCCGATTTTGCTTTTTTTCCGACTTGGTAACTGAAACACTGGTAACTCGGGTGTGACGTCATTTTCAGTTCCGACATCCGACTTCCGAGGAAACTCGAACGTAGCATAAGAGCACCAGGTGTTCTGGTTTACAGAGTGACCCTGTTACGGGCAAAACCCACAGGGTCTGGAACGGCTCCGCTCCAGCACGGCAGGCGGATCAGATACGCAAGGCTTCGCACGGCGCATCAGTTCAGTACAGCCCCGCATGAGCAGCAGCGGAGGTTGTATGCGGTTACAAAGTAAAATATCTGGTTAATTTTCAAAATAAAATAAAGTCAACACAGTGAATTGTTCTTAGCTTGATAATAGGAGAGGCCAGGGTTGAGGGATGTGGGTGTTTACATACATCTATCAGAGGATCTCATTCAATGCCTCATGAGGAAACACGCAAGATCTCCCGAGAGCTTGTCCAGTCAGAACTATCAGTAATATTCTGAGAGCTTCTTGGCGGACTGGATCCGGTGGGCACTATATACTTGGGTATTTGATCCGCCTGTTGGTCCAGAGTGGAGTGAAGCCATTTCAGATCCAGTGGAATCCCCGGGTTGTCTGGTGACCTTTGGGCGAAGGTGTTGTGCCATGAGCGGTTTTACAGAAAGTGGTCTAGAGTGTTTGTCTTTGGCTTCTACGACTCCTGGACTAGTTCTCAGCCCCCACCTGAAAGATCTAAAGCACAGAGTCTAAGGTCCATGGCACTAGGTGAGTTGAGGCATTTCTGACCTTTGGTTGCTGGTCATTATATGGATGCTAAGAGGTTGAACTAAGTCACTGGATGACTCAAAGGTGAACGTGGATCACACCAATCAATGCCCTTTGCTCTTGTTCCCGTTCAGAGGCAGGTGTTCTGGGGCGCCGATAGCCTCAGGACATGTCAACGTTTTCAGACAGTCGAACGAGTTGAACGAGTCCTGTGCATGTTCCAGCAAAGAAAGGTTGGATTTGATGGAAACACACGGCTGTACTCTGAGGATTCTGTTCAGGCTCTTTGAGTATCTTCAGTTCCAGTCCGTCTGCACAGAAAACAGAACTATGTCGAGCCTGGAGAAGGTCTAGGACTTGATTAAGCAGGTGTGTGAGGTGACAGTGCCCTCATCTTCTGGCATCCTGGGATCAGCCTCATATAGTATCATGGTGTATGCAGACAAGAGACAGTACTGAACCACTGACATCAGACCTCACACAGATCCGGGAGTCCTTTTCCATGAGCCAAAGTCAGTCCCGGTCAGTAGAAACAACATACCTACAAAGTAGAAACTCACAACTTCTGTCTACTTCAGTGAAATCTATCCGACACCACGTGAGGCACAGGAATTGACTGGTTGCTTCTGAATATGACATAGGTATGTTATTGACCAATCACAGCTGAGCGCCCTCCAGTAACAAACAGGAAGTAGAAATCTTCGTCATCATGGTTCTCGTCTGTCCAGAACGTTGTCCAGATTTCACTTGTTTGTCGTTTTGGCTGAAATTTCTCCACAGCTGATTTAATGTCCTTTAAAGCACAACAGTCCTTGAGGTAGTGTGTGTGTGTGTGTGTGTGTGTGTGTGTGTGTGTGTGTGTGTGTGTGTGTGTGTGTGTGTGTGTGTGTGTGTGTGTGTGAGTGTGTGTGTGTACATATATTTATATGTTGGCATCATTTCTTCATCCCTTTCTGTCGGTCCAGAAACTTTTGTCTCCTTTCAAGTGGAATCTCATCCAAACTGATGCCATGATTACTCGCCCTGAGAGAGAGAGAGAGAGAGAGAGAGAGAGAGAGAGAGAGAGAGAGAGAGAGGTATATCCTGACACCTGTCTTTGTTTGTTTTTATTAGTTTTACTTTGAAAGGGTGAATCTGAAAGTTTTTCTATCTTACCCTCCGGTGAGGTCTGGGGGAACAGGAAGTGGTTTATTGAATCCCTCTCGACCCATCAGCCAGTAGGTGTCCATGGTCCCCTTTACCTGCAGACACAAACAAACCGTCACCTTTAACAGAGCAGACCAAAATCCTGATCCTGGTTTTCATTGACAGGGTTTAGTGTCCCAGCAGGTGAGCGTACCGTTGCCTTCCTGGTGTCTATGTGGTATCCCAGTTTGAGACTGGTCAGGACCTTCACCGTGCTCAGACTGATGTGGATCCTGTAGGCTGGAGACCACAAACACAACATCACAACACTTCACATTCTGGGGTCCAAGTGGTCTTCCTCTGACTCCGCACAGTCTAAGTCCGGGGAAGGCCACCAAGTCAAGCCCAGTCCGCAACACATCAGGTGATCTTAAAGTGAGACCAAGATCAGCCGACAGCTCCACCTTTAAGCATGACTAACCCCCAATTTCCACCGCATCCGGAACAGCTCCGATCTGGAACGGCAACGATTTTTACCGTCTGCCAATTCCTCCCGGCTTCGATTCTGAGGCGAATTTCGTGGCGGATTACAGACAGCGGGAATCCTGAGAACTCACAAGAACCCACAAATTCATGTGCAATCGCGCAAAATCAATTTGTCTCTTGGCCACAAAGGCTAACAGTAAAAGCAGTAGATTGTGTCCTTCCAGAGGAGGAAATCCACTTCTAGACTTTTGTGCCGACTTCCTCTCCAGCACGGGTTAATCTGTGCTGGATTTATCCGCCATGCTCCGGCGTCCAGAAAAAATAAAACTCTTGCGATCAGCTGAGGAGTCCGGCGATCCGCAGAGGAACGGAAAGAAGTCGGTTATGGTTACGATCAGCTATGATCGGCGGATATGGCCTTTTTGTGGCCATTCTGGATGCAATGGAAATTGGGGGTAATGCAGACTCGGCTCTGTTCCCCAGGATCTTTGCTGCTGCTCTGCCCGCCTATGCTGTGTCTGATTTCACCAGTGTCTCAGAGGCCGTCCCTGATACCTGCTCGGTTCTGTTCCCCCTGGTTCCGGTACTGCCATATAAAGTTTCTTGTGTTAATTAATTCTCTGTAAAGTCATTAACTGAGTTGACTCTTTTTTTACGTACGCAATCCAGTAGCCTCCATGTGAGATGCTGTCGTCACCGTGTCACCAAACAGGCAATACCTGGGCATCGTCAACCCAACCACGCCAGCAACCACCGGACCTGTAGGAAGACACGGGTCCAGAAGGAGACGGTTTCTTGAGAAGGGTCAGAAGGACTCAGACGGTTCAGGGACAGAAGGACTCAGAGGGTTCAGGGACAGAAGGACTCAGACAGTTCAGGGACAGAAGGACTCAGACGGTTCAGGGAGGGGCTGTTTTGATCTACTGTGTTGTCAGGAACATAGACTAGGTACCTGAGTGCAGGCCGATTCGGATCTTGACTTTGATCTCGGGCATGTGTCTGATCTTGAAAGCTGCGATGGAGTGCAGGATGTCCAGAGACATGTTGGCCACTTCCCCGGCGTGCCGATTTCCGTTCCTGTTGGGGACCCCTGAAGCCACCATGTAGGCGTCACCGATGGTTTCCACCTGTAAAGGAATCCAGAGGCCGTCACAGCGGTCCGAGGGTCACAGAGTAACCCCCACGAGAACTCGTCTCTCTCACCTTGTACACATCATGGAGAGCTATGATGGCGTCAAACATGGTGTACAGGTCGTTGAGCAGGTCCACCACCTGAACACACATACGGACACGCTCAGCACCGAAAAAACAGCGACATCAGAGATGATCGTCATTTTCGTATAATCAGCGGTTTCTACCTCGATGGGTTCACTGAGCGCCGAGATGGTCGTAAATCCCACGATGTCACTGAAGTACAAAGTGCAGTCGGAATAATGTTCGGGCCGGACCGGCTTCCCCTTCTTCAGAGCCTGAGCCACAGACCTGACACACACACACACACACACACACACACACACACACACACACACACACACACACACACACACACACAGGTTACATCACTGCTTCAGGAGAACCTACAAACCCTCTGACGACTACGTAGGTCTCCCCTGGGATCTGGACCAGGGAACCTTCACACTGATCACTAACCACTGAGCCACCAGGTCTGGTTTTCCTTACTTTGGCAGCAGCTGTCCAACCAGCTTCTCCGTCTTGTTCCTCTCGACCTCCAGCTCGTCCGTCCTCTCCCGGATCAGATCCTCCAGGTTTGAGCTGTACTGCTCCAACATCCGCAACATGGAGTCAATGATGTTCGCCCTCTTCCCCCGATTGATGCCCCGAAACTGTGAACACAGAGCACGACAACTGAGGAAAGATCTACGAAAACCCCATCAGTCAACTGGACAGAAGAACAGGGACAGTCCAGTCTAAAGAAGTTCAGGTTCTGGTTCATGTCTTGGCTCGCCATTTCTCCGGTTTCTCGTCACACTCTCTGTTTGTCTGTGGATGGAGAACTCACGGTGTCCACTTTAGCCACTCCAATCACCTGTTTGAAGACTTCGTCAAAGTTCGGCCTCTTTATCGGATCTTCATTCCAGCAGTCGTTCATCAGGCTGAGACACTCGGCAGGAGCTTCGTCCACTGAAACCAGAGGTCTGCACATAGGAGGGGGGTGTTTCAGACGCTCCAGGATCTCTGAGGGACGGACAAGGGGGTCAGAAAGACAGACAGACAGACTCAGTGACAGACAGACAGACAGTGTCCTGTCTCACCCTGGGCCGGCATGTCCATCATGGAGTACGGAAGCGTGCGGGTGATCACTTCCTGTATGATGATGGAGAAACTGAAGACGTCTCCAGAAAAGGTTCCTCCTCGGAGTGGATTCTTCAAGAGTTCTGGAGCTGTCCAGAGAAGCTCTGAGAGACGGACAAAGACAGACATTTGAGACGGACAGAGACAGAGAGAGAGAGAGACATGCAGAGGCCGGCGGGTGTAAACAGACAAGTATAACCCCAGATTTTCACCGCATCCCGAACAGCTGCGATCCGTCTGCCAATTCCTACCGGATTGTGAGGCGAATTTTGTGGCGAATTACCGAATCACGCTCTCAAACGGATTCACATGCAATCATGCGATAACGAGTTGTCTCTATAAAGACAGACACATTGACATATAAGCAGTAGATTGTGTCCTTCCAGAGGAGGAAATCTACTTCTAGACTTCTAGAATCAGCATCTCCTCATCCATGGTGTCATCGGGGTGAAATGACGTCTAAAAACCTTTCACTTGTGAACTCTTGTGATCAGCTGAGGAGTCCGGTGATCGGCAGAGGAACGGAAAGAAGTCGGTGTAAATTGACACGTTAACTTGAATGGTTACGATCAGCTACGATCGGAGGATACGACCTTTTCGTAGGCGTTCCGGATGGGGCGGAATTTGGGGGTAAGACTCATCTCCTACCTTGAGGATCTTCAGTCACGTTGATGTTCTGGGAATGAAGGAGCACGGGAAGTCCATAGTCCGTGATTTTCAAAACAAAGCGCCCGTCCACCAAACAGTTGGTGGATTTCAGACGACCATGACTCAAACCTCGCAGGTGGAGGTACTTCATCCCCTGAAACAAAGTCACAGGACCCAAAACCCCGATCACAGTTTGGACAGTTCAGAGACACTCTTGATCTGAGGTCCAAACAGTATTGAGAAAAGTAACTGTAGTACCATGTGAGTGTAATCGGTACCTTGATGAGGTCCATGAGCAGTGAACTCTTGAACATCCAGTCCAGTCTCATGTTTCCGTCGGCCAACAAGTCCGCCAGACTTCCTCTGGGACAGTGTTCAACCACCAGAGCAAAGATACCCGAGTCCAGGAACAGACCCAGGTACACGTTCAGGTTCTCGTGTCTCATGTCTCTCAGCTGGACAGACAGGAAATAAAGTCCTCAGTCAAGCTTTATGTCTCGTAACCATGCTCACCGGGACATGAGGGAGGTTTGTTCAGAGTGATGATCGAGTGTTTCCCACCTGGCTGAACAGGTTCTGGGTACTCTGGTTCACAACTGTGACCATCTTTCCAGCACAAATCTTCTTCAGCCAAACCCAGTCACCCTGGAAACAGACCGACCAATCAGAGCACAGGTCAGTACAGGTGTACTGCTAAACAACCAGGGTTAGAAATTTGATGGACTGCAGTCATACAGGTCCAGGTTCACAGTCCGGTAAACAGGAAATCACACAGACACAGCTGTACCTCCAGTATTCCGATGTTGGAGCTCTCAGGAGTTGTCAGGATGTAACTTCGAGCGATGGATCGGAACGGAGTTTTGATTTCCAGAAGACTCCTCATGATGGACTCATCGTTCAGTTTCTACAGAAACAACAACAAAATCAACTAATGTCAGCGTGTCAACAAAAGACAAACAAGTAAACAAGAAAAACAATTATAAAAACAACAAAAACAACTAAAACAAACACGTAAACAACAAAAACAAACATGTAAACAACAAAAGACAAACACGTAAACAACAAAAACAAACACGTAAACAACAAAAACAAACACGTAAACAACAAAAACAAACATGAAAACAACAAAAACAAACATGAAAACAACAAAAACAACTAAAACAAACATGTAAACAACAAAAACAACAAAAACAACTAAAACAAACATGTAAACAACAAAAGACAAACATGTAAACAAACTAAAACAAACATGCAAAGAACAAAAGACAAACATGAAAACAACTAAAACAACAAAAACAAACATTAAAACAAACATGCAAAGAACAAAAGACAAACATGAAAACAACTAAAACAACAAAAACAAACATTAAAACAAACATGCAAAGAACAAAAGACAAACATGTAAACAACAAAAACAACAAAAACAAACTCAGAAACAACAAAAACAAAGAAAACAAACATGAAAACAACAAAAACAAACATGAAAACAACAAAAACAAACATGAAAACAACAAAAACAACAAAAACAAACATGTAAACAACAAAAACAACTAAAGACAAATATGTAAACAAACTAAAACAAACATGAAAACAACAAAAGACAAACATGTAAACAACAAAAGACAAACATGTAAACAAACTAAAACAAACATGAAAACAACAAAAACAACAAAAACAACAATGAAACTGACCTTCCTGCTGACTTGGGTGTCGATGAAGACGATGTCATCCAGGGTCAGGATCAGTTTGGTGATGTTCACTGATCTCTTGTACTTCCTGTTAACACACACACACACAGACACACAGACACACACACACACACACACACACACACACACAAAGTTCTTGAGTAGTACTGGAGTATGTTTTGATATTTGCAGATAAATCATTGATCAGTTTTGAACCTCATCAACAAAAAAATTAGACCTATTTGGTAGAAACCAGACTGATTGGACAACAAGTGTGTGTGTGTGTGTGTGTGTGTGTGTGTGTGTGTGTGTGTGCGTGTGTGTGCGAGTGTGTGTGTGTGTGTGTGTGTGTGTGTGTGTGTGTGTGTGTGTGTGTGTGTGTGTGTGTGTGTGTGCTTACTTAATCCAGTAGAATAAAACTCCGACCAGAATGCAGAATACCACGAAGAGGAACAGTAATGTTGTCGAGTCCAGACCTGCAGAAAAACACGATATTTGAAGATTGTTGTTTTTTTACCGGCAACACCTGAACGCCTCATTTCAGACACAGAATAACCCGGATGTCTGAGAATGAATCTCCTGAACTCTAAGTGCCCACCCTTCCTGAGGGTCGCTGAACGCACCTCCATTGCAGGACTCGTCCGGGTCGAACCAACAGAAGCTGGACATGGGGGGTTTTCCTCCAGGAAAGATGAAGACGTTCCCCAGACGTCTCAGACCTCCGACCGTCCCGTCTGTGTGGGTCGGTGCGAGCGAGTGAGTCGGCACGAGTCGGTCACCATCACTGTCCAATACAATGTACCTGGCCTGGAGGCCACGCCCCTCCTTTCCTCCATACAACACCTACAGAGAGAGCGGGATGAGGCCTTGGTCATGTGACTCAGGTTGGAAACAAAAAAGTTGACCTGTTTTTTCAAAGTTTTCAAAGTTTCTCACCTGGTTGAAACCCTGGAATTCGAAGCCTCCGTCTGAGTGGATGAGCTTATCACCCGTCACCCAGTGCCCGCCCCCTGCCTGGCGACGCTCCTCCACCGCCTTAGCAACAAAGTACACCATGTTGAAGATGGTCCCAAAAAACGGAGACACCTGCAGACAAAACCCAGGGAAAACTTACGTCAACGTGTTGCTGTTGACTCGTGTGTGTGTGTTCAGCTACAGTCAGTCCGTTTCCATGACACTCGAGAGAACCGAATTATCGCCTTATTCCGATTAAGACCGGACAACTGAAGGTCATGTAAACACCAACTCTGATCAAGACACCCAGATAATGTGATTGGAATTCGATTTTCTCGACCATGTGACCAGCGAAGTCGGAGAATGATCGGACAGTGCATGCGTGCCGGAACAAAAACAACAAAGAAGAAGTGGCGCTATCATTTTCGACTCAGAAGCAACAACACGGCTGAAACACGAAAGAACGTCGACTTTAGGAACGACGAGGAAAACGCCGTTCTGCTTCCTGTCCTACAGAAACCGACATTTTAAAGTTTACAGACGGTCGCAAAACGAGGAACAGAGACATCTTTAAAAATCGTCCAGAAACAGCGCCGCTGAAAAGACCCGTATCGCCCCCTAGTGTTGGGGAGGAGGACACGTTCACGTCAATGAGCTTAGTCCGATTAAACTGTTCATGTAAACGCACTGATTGTTGTGTGTCCCTGATGTGTAGTTGAAGTTGTGTATTCCCTGTGTGTGTTACCTCTGTGGCGGACACCGCCGAGCGAATCTCTCGCTGTAATTGAGCCTCCCGGAAAGCTTCGTAGAAACCTTCGTCAGACGCCATGGTAATCGTCAGAACGGCGCTGTAGGCGTAACGAAGATGAGTGCTGTTGGTCAGCTGAGGAAACGCCGTCTCCTGATTGGACAGAGGGGGAAACAATCAGCTGTTAAAGAACTACTGACTCACTGCTGGACAGCGCCCCTGGTGGACACAGGAGGAACTGCAGTTTATTTGTTCATTTGAGCCGACAGAATCAACATTTTATTATCGAATGACTAACTCAGCATTAAAGTGAACAGAGAGCAGCAGCGCCCCCTCAGGTCACAGAGGGAACTACATGAATTTGATCAATCCAATAAGGAAACAGATTCACTAGAACATATAGGCAGAATAGTTGATTATTGGGGTGATTGATCACCTGGTAAGGCATGGCGTACAGCAGAGCGTCATATGGAATAAACACGTAACCGTCGGAAACCATCCCCATGTCCAGAGCCTCCAATAGGAGCTCCTTCTGGTCCTCTCCACCAATCAGAGCAGAGGTCATGCACATGATCACAACTGGGGTTAAAAATAAAGAGTTAATTGATCGTTAATGTTTGAAACTTTTGAAACGTGTTCAGTGATCGGTTATATCTTCAGCTCTGACCTTTGACCCTGTCTGCCTCTCTGATCTCTCGAAGCGCCTCCCGAGGTCCGCCATTCCTCTTTTTCTCCATGGTAACCACCGGACCAATCGGCAGTCCCAGAGCTCTGAGTGCTGAGGCCACTTCCTGTCCGGTGCTCTCCCATAGGTCAGTCGGAGCTGGAGACCCAATAAAGAGTTATCATGACGAGACCACACCCATAAAAGTCTGACCGCCACCTGTGCAGTGACGCCACGCCCCTTACCTGAGATGACGGCGACGTGCGCCCAGCGGAAGAACCTGAGGACGGTGAACAGGACTTTGCTGGGAGGAGTGATAGGAGGGAGGTTTGGCCAGCTAGAATCCAGGCAGCCTGGAGAGGCTAGCCCCGCCTCCCAATGCTGAGCGTATAGGGAGGCGGCGTGGCAGAGGGCGGGGTTAAAGGGTCCGATGTAGGCGTGACCATATCCCTCCATCTCCCCGAGTTCTACGAGCGCTGAAAAACAATTTCAATACTTCAGGATAAACTTTCTGGATTCTTACTCACTGAGTTAAATCCCTGTCAGCTGATTGGTTGACGTACCTTTGGAGGTGGAGCAATCTTCGTCCAGCAGTTTAACGTCGTACCAGTACCCTCTGCTGAGGCCGCTGTCTCTGCGTAACCGTGACAACGCCAGGTTTGCCGCAGCCGTCGGCATGGCCCGGGAGAACATGGGGTCACATGACCACGGGCCAATCAGAGCCAGCTTAAAGGTTGCTGTCCAGACCTCTGTGATGCATAGCAACCACAGACATGTGCCTAGCAACCAATGAGGAAGCTGCATCCTGGTGATAAAAAAAAAGTAGAATAAAGAGGTTTAAACGTTTCTGCTCCGTTAAAGTTGAGGACTAACCCCTAATTTTCAACGCATTTGGAACGGCGGTGAGTTACGCCGTACGACAGTTCACACCGGATCTGTTTGTGAGGCGAATGGCTGAGGAGTCCGGCGATCCGCAGAGGAACGGAAAGAAGTCGGTGTAAATTGACACGTTAACTTGAATGGTTACGATCAGCTACGATCGGAGGATACGACCTTTTAGGAGACGATCAGGATGAAGGTGGAGGTTGGGGGTAACTCTCTTTTGGAAAGGACAGTTGGACTTACTTGGGACGTTTCGCTAATCCGCCATGAAATTCGGATCTGGTAGGAATTGTCGTACGGCGAAAATCACCGCTGTTCTGGATGCGTTGGAAATTTGGGGGTAAATATTTATCAAACTGACATCATCTCAACATTCAAACCTCAAAATAAAACCGAGGAGTGGAATAAGTCGTCACTTCACCTCCACCTTTACCTGTAAGACAACAACAGTGACTTCACTCTCTCTCTCTCTCTGTCTCTCTCTCTCTCTGTCTATCACTCGTCCGGTGTGACCGATCAAACGGATTGACCTCCACCGCTCTGTCCGACCTTTGACCTTTAAATCCCCACATGTTAATGCTGACTGACCCCATTAACTAATGCTAAAGAGAGCTAAGGGCGCTAAGTTTAGAAACAATGCTAACGCTCTTAAGACAAGCCGAGAGAGAGAGAGAGAGACGGAGCCCCGCCTCCATCTGCTGACATCATAACCCCGAACAACACAAAGGTTCGACCTCCCCTCATTCACCAGAGGGTAAATAAAGTGAAGACTTGTCAATATCTGGACCCACGGGCAGAGGTGTGTTTCAGCTGGAGACCCCCGTACCCCCCCAGGTTAGGCTCCGCCTCCTCCCCCAAACTCCCTCAGGATGATAAGAGAAGGAGAAAGATGGAGAAAGGAGACGAACAGTTCTCTGTTTACTTTGTTTTGGCCTTCAAATTGGATTATTACTCCTGATCCAAATCCACTACCTGAGTTTAACTGACACCACCTTCCCCGTCTCTCCCAGAACTCTCCCAGTTCTCCCAGTAAGAAGACGATGAACGATCGTGTTATCGAACCTTCTACCCTCCACTTCAGGACAAGCTCCTAAAAACACTCAGGAAGGTCAACCTGACAGATCAGCTTCCTCAACCGCTGTCCGATTAAGACTGCTTTGTCAGGAGGGATCCCGGCGCCAACAGAGAGGTCACGGAGAGGGTCACTGAGACAACCAATCAGGACGCAGGAGCAGGAACGTGCCGCGCTGGCCTGAATCTAAACCCCCGACAGCATCCAGGAGACGCTAAATGATCCACTTCCCCGAGTCCTTCACCTGCCTGACCCCTGCTGTGTTTACTGTTTCAGAGAACTGGGGGAATCAAAATAAAAACGCACCAAAGAAACCGCACCAAGAACTCTGAGCGGAAGGATAATGCACCAAGAACTCTGAAAGGAGGAATAATGCACCGTGGAATTCTGCGCCAAAAGTCAATCACTAAAATTAATGCACCAGGAAACATTTACTGTTTTTCACATAAACTGTACCAACAAGCACGCATTAGGAACAGTGCGCTTTTCAACGCTTCAGGGCACTGCACCAACATTCATGGAAACAACGAAAACTGTGCAACAAAAGATTGCACCATATAAAAACTGCACTACAGAACGCTGCACCAAAGAACATTAACAACAGAAGAGTGCGCTGCACTTTAATCCGTCTTTGACAGTCCTGGTATTTCAAACTCTCACTTCACGATCTTGGTGCGGAAGCTGCGAATATTCCCATCGACGTTCTCGCACCTTCTCAGGTCATCGGCGTGTTTTCTGTTGGATTGTTTTCAGCTCAGTTTCAGTTTTACTTTCAGAGGTTTTCACTGTTCCAGACTTCCAGACTTCCAGACCCGGATGGTCTGAGTCTAGAGGAGCTCTGATCTCCCTGAAATGATCTGTCTGACCCAGCAGTCCAGGATAATGATCATCACCGCGCCAGAGTTTAATTTCATTTGGAAACAGATCCAAGACGACCGGATTAGTGCGGGTTAACGTACACATACACACACACACACACACACATGAACACACATACACACACATGCACACACAAACACAGATTTTCCATGACTCACATAAAACCAACATTCAGCTTTTCTACACTAGATTCAACACTCAGACTATAGAACAGAATCTGTTTTTGTTTATCGTAAAATGCCGAACTCTGACTCGCTGCTGTCGGAACGACCTTAATAAGAGAGACGACCTCCGATCCATCGCTCTTTAAATCCACATCCTCCTCTTCATCAGAACTCAAAACTGTTGAAGGTGAAATTAGAGACAGGAGGTTCAGGTGACGACTGTAATCCAATCACACACACACACACACACTCACACACACACACACACACATACACACACACACACACACACACACTTGAAAGCTGTAAATTTGATTTCTCAGGACAAGCTGCTGATCAGTGATTGGCTGTTTTGAAATCAGGTCAAACTTCCCCTCCTGTCGTTTCCATCGATCAAGTTTTTTTTCTTTTTTTTAATTTGAACTGAATTCTGTTTGTTTTTGTCCAATCAGACGAGGAGCTTCAGGAAAAGAACAACGACTCTGACTGAAACACATTCCTGCTACTGTCTCTTTAAGAGATTTCAAAGACCTACGGAACCCAACATTCTAGAACACGGAACCACAGAACCCAACATTCTAGAACACGGCTTTCCTGAACTTATGCTGCGTTCCAGTTGTTCTCACAAGTCAGGATTTCTGATCTCCGAGTCGGAAATTCATCTGGAACGCCCCCCTGAAGTCGCATTTCCGATTCCGTAAGTCAGACGATCCTCGCCAACCCCGACTTGACGACAACGTGATAATTCAAGATGGCAGCGCAGTGCATCAACAGTGAATTTCTTGTAATGTTCGATTTATTCGCACTTCTGTTTTGTTTTTGGTGTTTGTACGAGTAAAATACCGTGTTGTACGTCGTTTATAACTGGTACAGCTAACAACGGCTGACAATTATAAACAACGGCTAACAGCGGCTAACCGTTGGCGTCCACCTTAGTTTTCTGACTTGTTGACTGGATCGCTGTCAACTCGGCTGTAACGTCATTCCCAGCTCCGACACCTGACTTCCGAGGGAACTTGAACCAGGCATCAGCATGGTCAAACCAATCACTACAGAACCCAGAACCCGGACCCGTTGAACCCTGAACTTTATCTTGCTTGCCAGGACTTGGCACTGCAGAACCCGTCATTCCAGGACCTAAAGATCTGAACCCGACCCCCAGAATCCAGTAGTCAAAACCTTTTATTCCAAAAGCAAGCTCCGCAGATCCCAGGACCCTGACATTCCGGAACTCAGAACTCTAGAACCCAGGATTCCTAGAACCGATTTCTACCTGCTGCCAGTTCAGAGCCGCCTGGTGGGATTCCACCGACACACCTTTACCTCACGGCCTGACACTCTGACTCTGTCGGTGTTGACAACTTAAAAAACTCCTTTAAAGAGGCCAGTTCCACCAAGACCACAGTGAACCGAGCTCATCCCCCCCGGACTCAAATGCCGGGACAGTCAGCTTGGAGACCCTGGGGTCAGATCAAACTAAGTCCCTCCTGGACTAAACAGTTCCTGCTCCACCAGCTGATGTCCGTATAGATCTGGTCTCTGGTCTCAGTCCGGTTTGAGTCTGCGGGAGGTACTGAAGGGAAACTCAACAGAGAGAGAGAACCTCAGAACAGCAGAGGATCTGGAAATATCTGAAAAAGTCCTGTTGGGATTATTCTTGAAATCAGAGACTGTCCTGCCTGATTATCAGAGCAGGTCTGCAGTACACACACACACACACACACACACACACACACACACACACACACACACACACACACACACACACACACACACACACACACACACACACACACACACACACACACACTCCTATACTTATGATAATAATCCAGAAAAACCACCTCGGAGTGACCGGACTCTGGTGGTACAGGCCTAATCCACACATGCAGACATGACTGAATGATGTGATGTTGGTTATTATACCTCCAGCCACAAGATGGCGCCATTGGTCCAGTGTGATGGAGGCAGACACTCACCCTTTAATAAACCACACACCTCTGTAGTTTCAGACCATGAAACTGAGAATTCTCATTTACTGTCACTCATTCAGCTTTCTCCCAGAAGGAGGCGTGGTCAGTTTGGCGAACAGGAAGTGACATTTGACTTCTCTCATGCATTGTTATCTTTGTTTTCACTTTTCCAAATGTGATCAACCGCCCAGTTTCTCTCCTCCTCTGTCTGGATCGGGTCGGTTCAGGTTCACCCGCCTCTCTTTTCGGGTTTCTGCGATTTCTGATTCGGTCACACGGACGTCAGGGGAACTTTGTGAAGTTGACCTTTTATAGACGCACTGAAGGACAGATGCTCCTCCCACTCGACCATCTCTTATGGAAGCAAATTTGGATCATAATTCAGATGAATAACAGAAATGCATTTTCTTTAACTTCATTCAAACATAAAATAAAAATCCATTTAAGATTAAATTTTCTAAATACGCCCCAGAAAATATGAACCAAAATGTCAAATCTGAAAATTCAAATTTATTTGCATAATTTGACTCAGAAATAAAATTAAGAATAAATGAAACAAACTGCATTTTCATTTTCTTATTCCAGCGGCACATTTCATAACACGATTCAAAAGAGAAACCAAACATGTCGTTGTTTTTCCATTTTCATGTCTGCCTGCAAAATGTGAAGCTCAAACAAGAAAATGAAAATACAGTTTTTATTATCTATTCTAAATATTATTTCTGAGTCAAATTATTCAGTTTGGACTTTGGAACGAAAAAGACAAACTGCAAATTCTCAGATCTGACACTTCAAATTGAATTTTGGTTCATTAAGTTACAGAGTGATCAATTATGAAAAAGAAAAAGCCGCTCCGATTTTTTATTTTTTATTTTATTTATGAGTCAAAAAGTGCAGGTACATCCTGAAAACACAACTGCATTTCTGTTCATCTATTTTCATTTTTGAATTATGATATAAATTTTCTTCCATAATCTCTCGGCTGTTTTTAACCACTTTGTTTCAGGTCCGATTTCTTCGACTTCGGACGTCTAACTTGTTTTGTTTGAGTCTGTTGACCAATCAGAGGGTCTGTTATAAATGTCAGTCAGTGTTGAAGAGTAATCCTCCCGTCACTCAGAGATGGTTTTATAACAGCAGAGCAGAACAGTCTGTCTCTGTGAGATAACATCGTAACAGACTCGGTTATAAACGGCGACTTTTTTCATTCTTCTGTTTCTGATATTTGGACTTTTTCGCTCAAATGTTTTATAAGCTACTTCAGAAAACATCGGCACAGCTGCAGCTGACTTCGTAACATCGTTCAGCTCCGACAGTTTCAGGAAAAAAAAGCCTCGGCAAACTTTAAAACGCATTTTAACTCCTTTTTAAGTCACTATGAGCCCTAAAACCTGCGGTGAAAAAGGAGCAGTCCGCAGATTTAAAGGGACAACCTGCTCATTGAATATGTTATGTAAGGGATACAGAGGCTGTATTATATTATGGGGTGCAGTTAACACTTTATTAAATGCACCACTTAAACTAACATTACCATGGAAACGGTTTAAAGTGGATTTTCAGACAGTTTCTTGGACACTCGTCTCCTTTTCTGTCACTTTCTGTTGTTTTCTGTCAGCCACACATCGAAACATCTAAGCGTGCAAAGTGAACGCCCTTACATGAAAAACCTTCCACCAAACTGAAGCCGCCGTGCACACTGACTTTAAAACACACACTCTCACACACACACAGAGTTTACCTTTAACTCAGGGGTTCATCTGTCCAAACAAAATCCTTCAATGTCTCTCCATAAGATCCAAACTCCTCCGAAGGCGCAGGAAAACGATGAGCTGCAGAAAGTGCTGATGTCAGGCTGAACAGGAGCGAGAGAGAAACACACACACACACACACATGCACACGCACGCACACACGCACGCAGTTACACAAACACACATGGAGAGGACTTATCTTAATCTTGTTTAGAGTTCAGGAAGAAGTTTGGCTTCAGGGCAGAGACAGTAATGAGAGGATAACTTACTGAGTGAGTGAGAGAGGGACCGTCTTCCAATCAGAGGTCATTTCCTTAAAGTGACATCATGTTCTCGCTCTGATGTCACAGACGCAGGAAGTCTCAGGTCTACATCTGGGGTGAACTCTGCTCCTCATGCCCCCCTCTATCGGCCCCGTCCCCCTCAGGTCCGGTTCTCAATGATATTGTGCGGTTTGCTCTGTTGGCGTCTTCACTGTCTGCTGCACGGAGCTGCGTTGGGCACTCTCATCCTGACGGAGCTCAAATCCAAATCCAAGGACATGCAGACCGGAAGAGTGAATGTCCAAAATCCAAACCAGGACTGAACCCCCACTCTTCAACCTTCCAGGATCCTGGAACACACTATCTGGGTAGGCTGTGTGATCTCATGGTGGTTGGAATAAACCTCTTGGTGGCCCTCATGAAAATGGGAACCACCATCCTGGTCTTCAGTCCCACACCTACTCTCTCCACTGAAGAGCTGTATCAGCCAAGTCAACCCAAAAGAGTCCAGAACCTTCAGCCTGGACTCTCATCCACCCACCTGTCACCAAGGTCGTGAACTTTGGGTCGTGACTGGAAGAGTTGGACTGTAGATACAAACAGCAGAGAGGAGTTTCCTCCAAAGGGGGGCTGGACTCAGTGGAGACAGGGTCAAAAGTTTGTTCATCTGAAGTGAGTTCAGAAGACGGCCAGTTCTTATTTGCACTGAAAGGGGTCATCTCAGGAAGGATGGATGGATGGATGACTGAGTTCTGACCCCCAATTTTCACCGCATACGGAACGGCTCCGATCCGGAGTGGCTGCAATTTTTGCCATCTGCCAATTCCAACAGGATCCGTTGGTGAGGCCAATTTTGTGGTGGATTATGGACAGTGGTAATCGCAAGAACTCACAAGAACCCGCGGTTTCACGTGCAATTGCGCAATAACGAGTTGTAATGAGTGTTTTATTTTGAAAAGAAGCCGGATGTTTTATTTTGTGTCTGTGCCCGACTTCCTTTCCAGCACGGGTTAATCTGTGCTGAATTTATCCGCCATGCTCCGGCGTCCAGAAAAAATAGAACTCTTGTGATCAGCTGAGGAGTCCGGCGATCCGCAGAGGAACGGAAAGAAGTCGGTGTAAATTGACACGTTAACTTGAATGGTTACGATCAGCTACGATCGGAGGATACGACCTTTTAGGAGACGATCAGGATGAAGGTGGAGATTGACACGTTAACTTGATCGGCGGATACAGCCTTTTAGTAGCCGTTCCGGATGCGGTGAAAATTGGGGGTGAAAGTCCAATGTTCTACCAGATATCAGGGCAGCCCAAGCCTTTCTGAGAGCAGTGCCTTCAGTTTTGTCTCAGTTAGGTCATCAGGATCCTTCTGCCCTTACTGAGCGTCCAGAGTTAAGATGGCTTCATCCTGCTCACTGATAAGTTTGAGTGTCATCTGCATAACTGAGGATTTATGGAGGGTTCACTGATCACACTAACTAACATGAGGGAGCAGAAATCAGATGAATAAAGATTGATCTGTTTAATAGGCTTAAACCTGATGCAGGTCCTTTAATGCCAATTAAGTTTCCAAGCCTGTGTAACAGGATGTGATGGTCAATTGTGTCAAATGCAGCAACTAACATAACGAACAGGACAAGTCAAGAAGTCCTCCATCCCCATCATGGCGGATAATTCGAACTTCTCTGTGACTGATGAACCTGAAACGAATCCACTGAGACCCTGAAGCACAGTCCTTCAGAATCGCACAGGGTCTCAGTGTTGAGCTGAGCTTTGCGGATCTGAAGGGTTCTGTAGACCTTTGGTGCCCTGCAGTGCTCAACCTTTGGCATCATTTCTTTGTCCTGCAGGGGTTTCAAGGCTGCAGTGTTCAAGGTCTGTAGTGTTCAGCGGTCTGCAGTGTTTCAGGTGGAGTGGGGCTGATCTGCTAATCCTGATCTGGATTAGGTCCATCCCTAGAGATCACAGTTCCCAGCTGGTCTGCAGCCAGGAATAGAGGCAGGATTAGACCTGTGCTAACCCGCCTCGAACAGCCTGGAATGGTTCTGATTCCCTAATAGGTGAGGGTGTGCCAGCTGGGTCAAACTCTTGAAGTGAAGGAAATTTAATGAGTCAGGGAGGACGAGGACCTGGCACAGTGACACCGCTAATTCAAGTGACCATATTCCGAATCCCCAACAAGAGGACATGATTACATGGGGCGAAGTCGCACACAAAATTATGAAGGTTTTTTGGGGGTCGGGTCGAGACCCCCAACACGCTTCTAACTCAATTAGTCCACGATACACAAACTTAAAACTTCCACACTAATCACTGGACATTTGAAGGATTTTATAAACTCCCCCCAGACGGGCCGGACAGCCCCCAAAAAGAGGACTCGTCCAGGTAAAAGAGGACATATGGTCACCCTACCACTAATATATGTCGGGTAAGGAGACGGTCTTGTTTTACAGACTCCTGTTACCCCCAATCTCCACCTTCATCCTGATCGTCTCCTAAAAGGTCGTATCCTCCGATCGTAGCTGATCGTAACCATTCAAGTTAACGTGTCAATTTACACCGGCTTCTTTTCAAAATAAAACACTCCGTGTTTCAGGAGGATCGTATTTCACACCATGCAAACGGGCGGAGACGAACAAGTGAAAGGTTTTTAGACGTCATTTCACCCCGATGACACCATGGATGAGGAGATGCTGATTCTAGAAGTCTAGAAGTAGATTTCCTCCTCTGGAAGGACACAATCTACTGCTTATATGTCTATGTGTCTGTCTTTATAGAGACAACTCGTTATCGTGAGATTGAACGTGAATCCACGGGTTCTTGTGAGTTCTCGCGATTACTGCTGTCTGTAATCCGCCACGAAATTCGCCGCACAAACGGATCTGGTAGGAACTGGAGGACAGCAAAGATTGTCACCGTTCCGGATGTGGTGGAAATCCTCCTCTTGTTAGTTAGATACTCGTGCAGTTTCATCACTATGCTGATGACAAACTTGTGTCTGTTTACAGATTATTCATTTTTTATGTATTTTAATGTTTATTTTACAGGAACAATACCTACAACATTGCCACAAGATTTGAAAATGAAAAGACGTCTTACTTCAGCTAGTTTGTGATCTTTGTCCCTGGTCAGGCTTTAGTGAAGGATGAAATTAAGATCACAGTACGGATTGAGAAACAGACACAAGTATGTCATCGGCGTAGTGATGAAAGTGTACGAGTTTCATCACGACGCTGATGACAAACTTGTGTCTGTTTACAGATTAATTTCACAGAACTAGAAACCAACACGACCCTCTGAGTGAACCACATTCATTTATTTGACAAGATGCAGAAGTAGAACCAAAATTTAACAAGATTCAGTTTTATTTACACCAATGAAACAACAACGCACCAAAAATACAAAACTCTGGACCGTCCAAACTCTGACCAGCACCCATGGTACTGGTTATACTGGTCTTTACTGGTTATACTGGTTATAGTACTCATCAGGTTTAAAGATCCAAGAAACTTTCTTTCCTCCTGCTTATTGACAATTTATGAGAATCTCACACACACACACACACACACACACACACACACACACACACACACACACACACACACACACACACACACACACACAGCAGAGAGGGTGGTCGGTGTCTCGGTTGGTCACAAGGACAGTCAGCTGGCACATCTGTCTTCAGAGGGAGATCTTCGTGTTCCTAAAGCTCGAGTTGTCCCTGAAACACAAACAGAGAATCTGATCTCCAGGATCCGGTTCTGGTTTTTTATAGGCTGGATCTGAACTAATCTGGTTCTGGTTCTGTCAAAGGCCAGGACATTGAGTACAACCCCCGCCAGACCTGACTGGAAACGAATGCTGGATCTCAACCAGAACAACTTGCTGCAAGCTCTTAAGAACCCAATCAGAACCTGCTGAACCCCAACCAGAACACAGAACACTGTATCCCCATCAGTGGATCCGGCTCAGTGTGTTCCCGACAGAACTAAGATCTGGATACCAACGAAAACAACATCCTGTTCTGTTATCGGAGCAACCGAGTAGACCCAACCTCCTAGAACCTTCTGTAGGCCCACCCGAACCTTCTAGAACCTGCTCTATCCATAACAGAAGATAATGTTAGTCCCCAGAAACACCAACAAACTGGACCATCACCAGAGTAACCTTCAGGAGAACATCCTGTTACAATCCCTCAAACAGAACTTCCACCCCCACCAGAATCTGCTTCATCCCCATGAAAGGCCCGTCTTACCACCCCCAGAACACCCTGCTGTATCCCGACCAGAACACCCTGATATGGACCCACTAGACAAACCCTCTGGATCTGACACAAACCCCCTGCTTCATTTTCTACCAGGATTCTGCCACGCTTTAATGTCCCTGTGCTGATTCACCGACGTCTGATACCCAGAACCATCGGATCTTCCAGGACCTGGACTCTCCTCTCTGTTCCCTGACAGTTCTCCGGCTCTGGTGAAAATGTCAGGACCATGTGGAGTCCTGTGGGAGTCCCCCAGGGTCCCATCCTGGGTCCTCGTTCTCCCCCCCCCCCCCCCACGGCACGAACACCTGAACACAGATCTTTGAATTTGTCTGATCTTGTTCTGAACCCGGTAACCTCTGAGCCCAGAATCCCTGACAAACCAGTCCATCAGCCCAGAATCCCAGCGTCTCCATGGAGACCACAGACCTGGTTGTACGTTCGTCTCATTACCTGAGGCTGTCGTTGTGGGTCTTGTACTCCATGATGGTGTTGGTCGGGAGGTTCAGTACTCGTCTTAACGTGTCTCGGATTCTGGACGTCGTCATCTGATCGTTGGATGTTCTGTTCCAGATCGACAGGATGTCTTCCTGAGAGTGAAAACGGGTCATAGAAGAAAAAATGACACGCACATTAAACCGCCCCTAAGGTTTACGAAGGTTTCACATCATCAGGTTGTCCTAAAGTTCAGCTGAATGATGTGAGGTGAAGCCCAATATTTAGGTTCTTAGGTTTTCAGAATCATCGTCTCTTAATGATTCAGAGACCAAAATAAAGATCAATATTCAGGAAACTCTGCAGCTCCATCTGGACCCGAGAGTCCGGTTCATGTTTTTAAGTTCCTAAAGGTCCCGTTACTCCCGTCAGTGATGAGGAGGACAGAAGAGACGGAGGACGTTTGCTTGTTTGGTGTGAGAGGTGTTGTTTTCTGTTGGTTACAAAGATATTTAAAACAATATGTGCAGTTTTCTGAACGTGGAGTCCCACAAGGCTCAGTTTTATTTATATATCAATTACATATAAGAAGTGTCAAAATTATCACAGTTTGTATTATTTGCAGATAACTCTTTAAAAACTCTTGCAAAAAGCTTAGAAAATAAAATGGTTAAACGAAACTTTTTAAATATAAATAAACTAAGTTGATGGTTTTTGGTGATCAGAAAAAAGAGGTAAATGTTTGGTTACGTATCGATGGAGTTCTTATTCAGAGAGTGTCAGAATTTAAGTTCTTAGGTGTAATAATGGATGACAAAGTGACCTGGAAACGTCATATAAATGTTAATTAATAATGAGGATCTTATACTGTTCTTTAACTCTGATATTTATGTTACCTGTTACTGCAGGTAGAGTAGGAGTACTGCAGTATTACCTGAAAGCGTATGGACACCACGGCTCCACAGATCTCCTCTCCCACCATGAACTGCTCTCCTAACATCGCCAGGATGATGTTCTCCCAGAAACGACTCGCCAAACCTTTACGCAGACGGATGATCCACTTCCCCCCGCTGCGGTTCGACTCGTCCTGAGAGAGGGAGACGGGTGAGAGACGGGTTCATGAGCAGGACTATGATGTCACTTAAACAGGGGGCGGGGTTTACCTCCCACATGGGTTTGATTCCCTCCTTGAACAGGTGGAAGTCACTGTGTCCACTCAGGTCACCCGGTCTGACCAGGTGACTGTAGAACCTCCAGAACTGCTCCACCTGAAGACACAGAGGACAGAGTCACACCTGTCAACACCTGAGGGCGGGACTCTTCCTAAAGAACTCTGCAGATACGGTCTCGGGGGGGGGGGGGCATCACTGAGTTACAGGTTCTTCAGAAAACAGAAAAAAATAACATGAGGGGTTCCTCAGGGGTCAGGTCTGGGACCAAAACCGTTTATTTTATAAATCATATTTTTAACGTCTGAAATCTGTTAAAATTTGTTCTTTTTACTGATAATAAAAACTTTTTTATATCGGAGAAAATCGAGAATGTTTGTCGGAGGAGAAGGTCGGAAAAGAAACGAAAAAACGAGACTCTGGTTTGACGTCGATAAATGATCCTTAAATACTGAAAAAACTAACGTGTGTGTGTGTGAGTGTGTGTGTGTGTGTGTGTGTGTGTCTGTGTGTGTTTGTGTGTGTGTGTGTGTGTGTGTGTTATTACCGATGCCACGGTGCCGATCTGTCGGATGTTTTGTTCGTAGCTCTGAGAACTGGCCGGCCGACTCGGAGTTCTTCTGCTGTACCAGAAGGTGTAGTTGTACTGAAGAGGGTGTTCACCTGCACCTGGACTCACCGTCTGAGGGGGAGAGGGGGAGGGGGAGAGAGAGAGAGAGAGAGAGAGAGAGAGAGAGAGAGAGAGAGAGAGAGAGGTTAGAGTCACACTCTGGATCCCCAAAGTCCTGAACCATCGTCAGACCCACCATGATGTGGACCTCTAAAGTCCTTCACACTCGTCATCATCTACAGTCTCTCTATTTACGCTCATTCTGTCCCTGATTTTCAGACACAAACATCTGCCTCCTCCTCTCTCTCTCTCTCTCTCCCTTCTCCTCCTCCTCCTCCTCTCTCCTGTTGTAGACTCACTCGTCCTCCTCTATTTAAGTTTCTGTTTTAGCTTTTCCTTTGACTCAGAGGACACAGTCTCAGCGTTGTCTCCGTCCTCCTGGTCTCATGTCGGCGCTCGTCTCTCGTCTCACCTTGCGTCTGTTGTTGTTGTTGTTGTTGTTGGTCCCGTCGTTGTTGTCATGGTGACTGTCCGACTCCTCCAGCTCCTCCTCGTCCTTCGAACTGAAACACAAACAGAATCAGAAACACTTTAAGAATCCTCAGTAACTCCAGTGTAAAAACAATAAAGAGGAGATAGATTTTTTACACTATAAACAACACAAACAGTAAGACAGTGAGCAGAGTCCAGGTAAAGACTGAGGGTGTCCGAGTCTCTGAGGGAGGAGCTAAAGTCTCTGATGACCACCAGGAAAGATCTCCTGTGGCGCTCTGTGGTTCATCGTGGAGCGAGGAACCTTCAGCTGGAGGTCCTCGTCTCTCTGAAGGACCAGTTCACTGTGGAGAGGGTGGAGACCTGGTCCACAGCAGACTCATCAAAATCCTCATCCTGGTCCTGCAGATGTTGAAGGACCTCAACCTCCTCAGGAAACGGAGTCCGCTTTGACCTTTGACCCTTCCTGTAGACGTCCTCAGTGTTCCTGGTCCAGTCCAGTTTACTGTTGAAGTCCACTTCTAGGTACTGGTGCTCCTCCAGTGTCCACTGGGACCCCCCCAGATGGAAACAGGGTCACAGGTGTTTGGTTCCTCCTCAGATCCATCAGCTCTTTAGTTTTTGTCTCACTGAGCTGCAGACGGTTCAGCTCACATCACATGACAAAGTTATCGACCACTAGGGATGGGTATCCAGTCTCGAGCATCGATGGGACCTGGACTGACATTCTGATTCTCCTGGAACTGTTCAAATTTTACCATTTCAATTCCAAGTTTCTATGCCGGAGTCTGGAAGAAATATCCGCCAAACACCGATGAGGAAGACGCCACAGAGAGAGAGAGAGAGTGCATTCCAACCCACAGCATCTGAGGTCAAAAGTTTGTCTAAGTTTATCTCCGGTTAGCGCCTTCATTTAAACCATGATTTTTTAAAATATCCTGCCTTTGAAAAAAATCGGAATAGAGAATCGATCGGAATCGGAATCATTCAAAATCAAACGATAACCAACCTTATCTCCCACAGTCCTGTATTCTCTCCTGTAAGTCCCTCTGTATGCTCTTCCTCCTCAGTTACAGACCGTTTTATCCTTTAATTGCGCCGTAATTTATGAAAGTAAGACTCTGATCATTAAAACTCTTTTAAAGTTGATTTTTATTCGTGTTTCTGTCTCTTTTTTCTCCTCCTGCAGACTCTACTAAAGATTTCACCGATTAAAGACCGTGTTTATCAACTAAAGCTGGAGTTTAATGTATAAAATGACTCTTATTTCGGTCATTTCTCTCTGATTTTAACAGTTTATCTCCGAACTTTGTTTCAATGATTCAGATCGGAGCCTGTTAGCTGTTAGCCGTTAGCTCCGGCTTCGTTCCGGATATTTACCGGGTTACATTCTAGTCTTACCGCTCCAGCTGGTTCATCCCTCCTCCGTCTCTCTCTGTTCTCCTGTTTTTACTCCTTTTTCTTTCACTGTTTCTTTTCTTTTTCTCCTTTTCTTCCTCTTCATGCGGCTCCGCGGATCCTGCTGAGCTCTCGGCTGACGGTGAGCATGCGCGGAAGCAGAGTACGGCAGAGGAGAAGGGACATGTTTGACGGATGGCGTTTCAGTTCAGGATTTTTCTTTTTTGCACATTTTTACGATAAATGAAACTCTGAACTTTAACTAACCTGAACTATAAATCTTCGACATTTAGAAAATATCAGGAATTATCAGAGATCTTTTAGTTATTCTTAAATCCTGACCTCATAAAATTATTAACTCAATATAAAATTATGAAAAACACATTTTTGTTTCGGTATTTTAAGAACTTTGTTTTTCTCTGAACTCATAACTAGACCAGTTTTACTTGAGTCCAGATTGTTGTCTCTGCTTCATCCCTGTTCTTAAATTCTTTTCTCTCTCACATCCTTGTTTGAAAAGCAGTTTATCTAAAAATACAATTAAAAAAATTTCACTTTTAATTTAATTTTTTATCTTTGTACCGTTGTTTAAAAACAGTTTCCTATTTAAACACTTTTTCACGGAGTAAAAAAATACGAGTCCAATATTTCAGAAAACGACTGATTTTATTAGTAAAGCTGAAAGTGACGATTGTTACAGCACCATCTAGTGGATAAAACAGGAAGTGCACACCTGTCTCTGAACACCTGACTGATTGACCAATCACTGGCAGAGATCAGAAAGCGTCGCGTCACACCGGGTTCCTGCAGGCAGGATTTTGTTTTTTTGTAGGATGGTTGAGCGTGTGATGACGCTTCCAGCTCCTCTAACCAATCAGAGATGAAGGAGGCGGGACTTTCCCCTCCCATCCTACAAAAATAAATATCTGCACTCCATGTACCTGCAGTGTGATGTCATACATCAGGCCCCGCCCCAAGTGGCTTAAGTTTGGTGTATAAAGTTGGGAACAGCCTTATCACCATATATGGGCATAGGAGCAGTGCGGGGCCATCTGATTGGTCGAACTTGTCTGTGCTATTAACCAATCAGGAAACACGTTTTTAAAGTGTTTTTAAGACAAAGTGATAAAGTTTCTTTCAGATGAACCAATCACAGATTGACATTAAAACATTGATTACATCGGCTCTCAAGCTTTTTAAAAACAATCAATAATACTGATCACATGATAACACACACACACACACACACACACACACTCACTCACACACACTCACTCACACACATCTGCTATGTTTCAGTCACTATGGTAACCAGTGCAGTCCATGTCAAAAAACAGTAAATGGATCGGCGTCCAGCAGGAGGCGGGGTCAGTTCTTACAGGTTGTCATGGTAACTGGTACCTGTTTTAAGGAACACCTGGACTTCACACAGGAAGAGTTTCGGCTGCTCTGAGATCTGTTCGAATAATCCGAAAAATGATTTACGAAGAAGAAGAAGACGGACTATCGCGCTGGAGAGATTTTCAAAATAAAAGCCTGAACTTCCCTCTCCAAGAAAAAGTCCCTCTGCCAGGACACAATGCTTTTATTTTGAAGGATTGTCCAGGACACTTTATTTATATATACTGTATATTTATTTATAGAAGAATAAAGTCGTTCATTAACCAGACGGTAAGTTTAGGAGTCATTCAGAGCAGCCGTGACACTTCCTGTCTGAAGCCGAACTAAAGCTCCTTTCACACCGGGCCGACGTGAATATAGAACGTGAAATTACGAAATATTCGGAGGCGAATTTTGGCGTGCCTGACTATACAAATCAAGCCTGATGCAATTTTGTGACTTTCCGGGGGAAAAAAGACGCGTCCCGGGCAAAACGGTCAGCACTTACAGCCAATCAGAGGCGATAAGATAAACACATGTAACCATGGTAACAACCGTTAGCTTACGTTAGCACAGATGAAAGTTCAAACAAAGACGTTTATCAAACCAACGCTATGACTCTCCACAAGTTGTCCTTCAGGTCGTTATCTTTGTAATGTTTGTGTCTTTTATCAAAAATCACTCTGTTCTCCGACACGGAAACAATCAGCCGGTCGGCCATGTTGGATATACCAGTGAATCTGACGTCGCAACAACATGAAATCTGATTGGTCAGAAGTGAACACACGGTATGAGAAACTTTAGAAAAATCGACCGTGATCCGAAAAAATAAGCGCATACGAAATAATCGCACGAAAAAAACGCTCCCGGTGTAAAAGGACCTTTAGACTGACCTTTGACCTCAGCAGAAACCATCAAACCTTCACATTATTGGGTGTCATCAAACTCTAACTGGTCTGAGCGAGATCCCGCCCACTTATGAATGACAACCAATCAAGCAAAAGGGGCGGGACTTTCACTGCCACTAACGCTACTCTAACAAACCCTACCCACAATTCATTGTTTCAGTGCAACGGTTCGGCTAACCAAGAACCGACTATGATTTAGAACTAAGCTAACATGCTAACAGCTAGCCTAGCATGGTGTGTGCTACGCACAGTGCTCTAGAAGCTAACTAAGACCTGACTCAGCTAACGGCTAACGAGCAGCTGATTGGTCGAGATTGTCGAGGAAAGACTTTGATCCCTGATTGACCTGATGATATGTGCAGTATTTAAATCTAGTCCGTTCAATAAAAAAGGTTTTTGGAGCAGCTAAAGACAAAAAAACGTCACGTCTTAAATCTAGAAAAAGAAGAAAATCTAACCAATTACTGAGATTTATATTAAAAATGATCCGCACAAGAAAAAACAAAGAAAACTCGTTTTTAAAAGAGAAAAGAAGAATAAAAAAATAATAAATATCAAAGTATTAAAAACCAAACTGCAGAATTATTCAGATTTTTAAAAATTTATCGATCAAATCCAGACAGCAATGTGATCAAAGACGCATGATTGGATCATTCAGCACAGTGACTCCGCCCACAGCCCATCGGCTCAGCCTCCTCATTGGTCAGAACTCCTGATTGTCAAACGATCGACTCCTGGAGGTTTTTATTGCTTTTATAGCATCGTCCACAGTGTTCACTTTGCTGGTTTCAATAAAGTTGGCTTCAATTAAATTTTTTGCCAACAATTTGTAAACGAACAGCTGCTGTCAATAAAGTTTGATTCAAATGTTTGCTACAGTTAGGAAGTTTCGATTTAAACCTCCCCTCAGAAGGAGCAGCTAACAGGCTAACAGGCTAACAGGCTAATGCTGCATTCGAGTTTCCTCCGAAGTCGGCGCTGAAAACGACGTGACACCCGAGTTTCCAGCGTTTCAAGTTACCAAATTTTAGCACTTGCCTTATAGTGCAAGCGCTAAACCAACTTTCTTAGATGAAGCCATCCTGTTTCCGACTCCCATTTTGCTTTTTTCTGACTTAGTAGCAGAAAAGCCGGGGTGTGACGTCATTTTCAACTCCAACTTCCGAGGAAACTCAAACGCCGAATAACTGCAGCTGCTCCTGGAAGACATAAAGGACATTATCACCGTCGTCATTTCCGTCTCTATCATCGCAGTCCTCCTGTTCTCATCCTTGACCACCTGAGATTTATGTTACTACGACAACCATCCCATCAACTACATCTGAAACACACAAACACACGCACACGTAAACACACACACACACACAGTGTCAGTGCTCGTTGGGCATGTGCCGGATGGTGTGGAAGATCCAGTCCATCTTGGTGCTCCAGCCGCCATGATGAGCGTCGTTCATCTGTTTGGTGAAATACTCCAACGCCTCCTGCTGACTCTTCTCTGAGAGACGGAGGGACAGAAAGACAAGCAGACAGGTCAGACGGGAAGGCGGGGCAAAGAGAAAGTGAGGCGGGTCGGACCGACAGACAGACGGGTAAAAAAGACAAATCCGTCAAAGACCGGGAGAGACGGACTGGAGACACAGGGACGTCAAAAAAGACAGAGAACAGAAAGATTCCCTGGATTTCCACCACTATGACCCAGAACGGCAGTGATTTTCACCGTCCACCGATTCCTACCAGATCTGTTTGTGAGACGAATTCCGTGGTGATCCTCAGAGGAACGGAAAGAAGTCGGTGTGTATTGACACGTTAACTTGAATGGTTACGATCAGCTACGATCGGAGGATACGACCTTTTTGTTGCCATTCCGGATGTGGTGGAAATTAGAGGTTATCTGTCCCCTTTTCACATGTCCCCATCTCTCCACCTGTCTAGCTGTCTCACCCAGGGCGAGCGTCTTCCTCAGGTAGGCGATGTCATCGAAGCTCTGGAGTTCGGGCATGCCGCAGCCGAGGAGGAGCGAGAAGAGGTTGATGAAGAGGCTGGCGTGCTGCCTGATGGCCAGGTAAGCTTTGTAACACATCTCCTGGAACCTGGAGACGGACAGGTACAGAGAGAGTGAGACAGGTGGAGGGAGACGGCCCGAGCATTACACAGGTGTGGTGTAGGTGAGACCTCTCGAATTCTTTGGTCTTGGTGGACTCCTGGACGCCTTTGCTGATGACGATGAGGAAGTCCTGCGTCAGGACGAAGGGCACGCGCTCCCTCTTATAACCAAACTTCTTCTTCTTGTGATCCAGAAAGTGACCGAAGTCGATGTGGAACAGCTGGAAGACAAAGAGGACGAAGAGTGACGAAGAGGACAGGTGATGGAAAAGGACTCTGACGGGACAACAGGTGTGGCTGTCTCACCTGTCCGTTCTCCTTCAGCATGATGTTGGAGTTGTGTCGATCTCCGATCCCTAAAATGAAGGTCGCCACACAGTAACCCGCACAGGAGCGCGTGAACAAGTCTATGGCACGGTCATACCTGAGAGAGAGAGAGAGAGAGAGACAGGTGGAGAGACAGACAGGAAGTCAGACAGAGACGGATCAGAGGACGGAGGATCAGTAAGAGAAGATTAATTAGGCGTCAGTTTCAATTCCAGTTACTGCTGCTGACAATGTGAGGGGGAGGAGAGACAGGAAGTCATGAAGACAGGTACGGAGACAGACGGGTTCAGTTGACCTGCTGGGGTTCTTGTCTCATGGTTTAAAGGTGCAGACAGACGGGTTAAGACAGGAAAGGTAAAAGACGGCCCGACAACAACAACACTGGTAGAGACAGACGGACAGACAGACAGACAGACAGACGGACGGACAGGTACTGACGCCTCCCCGCGGTTCTTGTCTTTGATCCAGTGGTGCAGTGTGTTGGAGTTGAACTGCAGCGCCCCCTTCAGGCCTCCTTTACACTGGATCTGCATGATGGTGAAACTGTTCTTCACCACCTCGATCAGACCCACACAGTCCCCGATGGACAGGCAGCCGTACGGCAGCATGCTGCCGGGCAAACACACACACACACACACACACACACACACACACACACACACACACACTCAGAGTTAGGCAGGTGTGTGTGATAACGTCACAAACACTGATGGAGTCTCAGGTCCTCACCGAAGGTCCAGGCCCTGGTTCTGCCAGATGTTCTCCATGATTTTAATGATCTGCAGAGTCAGCATGTCCTGACGCAGGTCTGTAATACACACACAGGTCACACACTACATTACCCACAATGCCTTACAGGGGTCGATGGTTATCATTAGTGTAGGCGTAGCACCAAGTTAGCTACCATCTCCGTTCTTGAAGATGATCTCGTTGTTGGTGAAGAGAAGTTCAGACATGATGTCAGGGTTCTCCCAGTTCAACCACAGGGGGCGCTTGGCCGAGGACATGATCCTGCACTCCTCCAGTCTAGACTCAGACACACAGACACACACAGAGACATTTAGAACTCTCCTGAACAGACACTCAAACATCTTCATCGTTTGGGGTTAGGGTCAGGTTCTCCATTCAGTGGGTTACCTGAGGTTTCCCAGTTGGTGAACTGGATTCAGAGGAGAAACGAATCCCTGCAGAGCCTCCATGTAATCTGGACGGGACATGTGCTCCACCAGGAACTTCATCTGAGTCTGTCCACCAACCACAACACAGTGAATACATAATCAATTTGATGCATGTCATGATCACCCAATCACATTGCAGCGAAATCTCGGACAGACAGGAGTTCTCGTTACTTTTTGAGTCTCATCTTTCTTCTCCTGTTTCAGAGTGTCGGTCAGATTCACCAGTTTATCCATGGCCTCCACCTGAACAAAAGCAGACACAACAACATGAAAGAGTTCAGGAGAGACAGCGCTGACCAATCAGAGCACAGACCAGATCAACCTCATGTTTACCTGTCTGTTCAGGTGTTTGAGGTACATGCCGCAGGCTCTGCAGAAAGCTTCGAGCAGGAGACCGAAGCGCCGGGACACCGTCTTGTTGTGCATTTCTGACCTGAAACATGAAAGATCACGCAGGTATCAGGAACCAGAACTACTTCAAAAGGACTAGGTCAAGGTTTTTTGGTGTGAACCCCAATTTTCACCACATCCAGAACGGAACGGCAAATTATGGACAGCAGGAATTGTGAGAACTCACAAGAACCTGTAGATTCGCACAATAATTCCGAATGCGATGGAAATCGGGGGTAACACTCCTTCATTCGACGGTTGAGGTTTCTTACTTCAGATGCCAGAAGAAGAAGTGTCCTATCCTCTGATTGGTCAAAGCCTTCTTGATCAGGAAGCGAGCCAGAGGGTTGTCCAGGTACATCTCGTACTTTAGCACCTGAACTCAGGTAAACACAAACATCATCAGCATACAGTCGGAGTTTGGAACAGACCTAATCAGACTGCACCTGTCCCACACCTGAGCCAACAAGAGTACTGAGACTCATCAACACACCTGGACCAGCTGCAGCAGGTACTGCGACAGCTTGTCGTCTGTCAGGCCCTGAACCAGGCAGCGCAGAGCGAACTCTCGGACCATCGGATCAGGAAAGTTACAGTCCAGCAACTCCAGAGCCGACTCGGGCTCCATCAGAGGCCACTCCTTCAGCAAACAGTACATCTGAGGGGGGAGGCAGACAGGTGAGGACAGGTGAGGACAGGTGAGGACATCAAGGTCACTGTGGAATCATACAGGTAAAGGTGAACGCTGTACCTGCGAAACCTCATCTCTGGAGTTCCATTTGACGGACAGGAGCAGCTTTGGAAGAGACTCTGGGATGTTTACGCAGTAATGTCTGCAGAGAGACAGACAGGTACATGGTGAGACAGGTACTATGGGAGACAGGTACTATGGGGGACAGGTACACAAAGAGAGAGGTACACAGGGGGACAGGTACACAGGGGGAAGGGTACACAGTGAGACAGGTACTATGGGGGACAGGATCATAAAGACAGGCATACCAATAGACAGGTGCCCAGAGGCCGGAGATGGAAAAGACAAAGACAGACAAACAGACAGACAGGTGAATGTTTGTAAACAAAGACAAAGACAGACAAGGGGGGGGGGGGGGCAGTTAAAGATGAGCAGTGACTTTTATAAAGACACTTCAGACAGGTGAAGACAGAGACAGATGGACACTTGGACAGGAACATTCGTCTTTGGTCCTTTTTTATGTCAAAGTTTGTTCGTCCTCACCTGTGTCTCCAGGACAAGCCCTGTCCTGGACTATGTCACCAAATTTGAGTCTGCTACTGCCCCCACCTTTGTAACTTAGCTAACCCACCTCCACCTGTGTCCTCAGGTAGAGCCCGTCCTCACCTGTGTCTCCACAGGAAGTCCTTCTCTTGCTCCGACAGCTCATAGAGAGGATCTCTGGAGCAGAGAGAACGAAGCTGCTCCGCATCCGCCGCCGAGACACTGCTGTCACAGGCCAGACGACTGCTCTGAGACGGACAGGTGGAATAAAGGACAGGTCGAGTAAAGGACAGGTAGAGAGAGACGGGGGATGTTATTCAGGTTAAGGACAGCTGTCTAAACTCAGTGACATGGTTGGACATCGATAAATCTAATACCAGTCCTTGGCAGTAGTTGTAGCCCAGCTCTCTGCTGATGGTCCAGTTGGCGTGTTCTTCGATCTGCTGCTCATCAGGGAAGACCACGGTCTGGTTGAACCAGGAGAACTCCAACTCCACACAGGGAGTCTCCTACGGACAGAAGACACCATCAGTCAGTCGGTCAGGATCGATCACTCCACCCGTGACAGGCAGGTGTGCACGCAGACAGGCTGGATACCTTGTTGGGATTGGAACCGGCCACTCCGATTGGATTCAGGAGGTCCTCCAGACCATGAGGAACCGGCCAGAGACTAAGAGCCACTTTACCCGAAACCAGGACATCAGTGTAATCGAACAGGTTCACATTCCCCCAGGCCAGAGGACAGTGCTCCTGAAGACGGAGAGAGAGAGACAGGTGACCAGGTGGATACAGAGACGGAGACAACAGACACTCAGTTCGTTTACAGTCACAGTTTAATCGGACTATAAGCTCATAATTCAGGTTTTTTCGCTGAATCAGACTTCTCTCCTTGTCCTCGTAAACATTCGGTTTTCTCCAGTGTCATGGAAACGGACTGAGACAGACAGGTGATCAGACAGACGGGTTCATTCAGCTCCTTCAACTGTCCTTCTTTCCTTACCTCCTTGGCTCCTTTCCTTCCCTTCACAGAGCAGATAGACAGGCAGAGTCTGGCCGAGCGAGGGAGGTCAGCCAGGTAGATGTCATAGGTCAACCACTCATTCCACCTGGAGAGACACACAGACAGGTAGTTCAAACACACGACACCACAGTGTAATTTCATAGTGTGTCTATTGTGTACCTGTGAACCTGTATAGTGCACGTGTGTGTGTGTGTGTGTGTGTGTGTGTGTGTGTGTGTGTGTGTGTGTGTGTGTGTGTGTGTGTGTGTGTGATGTTTCTGTCTTACCTGGGGTTGGAGCAGGGAACTCTCTGTGTGTTGACGTTATCACAGAGCGGCTCTCCACCATGATAAATACCTGTCCTCACATAGATCTACACACACAATAACACACAAGAACACACAAGGACACACAAAAGGACAAGTCTGTCAGGACCTCCTTCATCATAGACAATCATTGCAGTTATAATTGGTGCTTCGGGGTTACAGAGCCATGGCACACACACATGCACTGTCCGATCATACTCCGACTACGCCGGTAACATGGTAGAGAAAATCGAATTCCAATCACATTATCTGGGTGTCTTAATCAGAGTTCTCCGACTCGGACTAAGGTGTTTACATGACCTTCAGTTGTCTGGTCTTAATCGGAATAAGGCGATAATTCGGTTTTCTCGAGTGTCATGGAAACGGACTGATCGTTAACGTAAAGACTGTGTTGATGGAGACAGGTGGAACAGGTGGGACAGGTGGACGGATGGTCTCACCTTGTCTATGTCCCGGATGTTGACGTTGACGTACGTCGCACACAGCAGGCGGACTCTCAGTAACGTATTGAACGCCCACAAAGAGCGGGGAGGCGATCCGTCTCCTCCTCCAGGACACGGGGACGGCTGAGGAGTACGCCGGCTGAAACACAAACAATAACGCATCATCACAAACAGGCTCCTGATTGGCTGATTGATACCTGTGTCTGAGATGCTGATTGGCCACTGTACCTGTACGAAGGCGTGACGAAGCCGGAGGCAGGAAGCTGAGAGTACAGACTGTCTTTGGACACCAGCATCAGGTGAGGAAGACGACCGACGATGATACAGGAGCGGATATACTGCAGGTAGACAGACAGGTGAGTGGGGGGGGAGCAGGAAGAGACGGGAGATCAGCTGAGAAGGTGAGACAGGTGGAGATCAGGAGGTGATGGGTGGAGTTTAAGGTTACTACCTTGTACTGACTGAGAGGATACTTCTCCAGAAGGTACTCGTCACAGCCACACACCTGAGGGAGCAGACAGGTGAGTCAGACAGCTGTGTGAGTGTACAGACAGACAGGTGTACAGACGGACAGACAGGTGTACAGACGGACAGGTGTACCTTGAGGATGTACTGGCCCTGGTATTCCTGCACACAGAGGCGGAGCTGCTGGGGGGACAGGTGCATGGACCGGCTCTTCTTCCTGATGGACTCTGCGATCAGCTGCTCAGGTAAACTGTCGTGACTCACCTGGACACAGGAAATGAGAGTCCGTGATCTTGGATGGAGGTCTGGACAGGACTAGAACCTTCACCTGTCCGCAGGTCCCAGGGTCTGGACCAGGACCTGAGTTAAATCTAATGAAACTTTGTCAACTGAAGCTAATGGCCTCGTTCTTTTGAACCTCCTGATCAGGGTCTGGAGGACTACGGAACCACAGCGGGTCAACAGAACCTTTGGAGAACCCTGAGGAGTCAGTCTGGATTACCTTCAGAGTGTACTTCTGTTTGGAGTTGGATGGAGACACGATCACCCAGATGGTCACGATCAGCCGCCCTGCAGAGGAACAGAGGAGGATCTCAGTAAGAGGACAACCAGGTCCACAGACAGACCGCCCCCTGCTGGTCCCCCTGGGTCACTACCTTTGTCCAGCTTGCTGTAGATGTGCTGGGGGAGCTGGGGGCTGGATTCCACGTTAGGGGGGTAGACATATAGCGCCTGGCTGTGGGCTCCGCCCCCTTCCCTCTCCTCCATAGCCTCTCTGCAGACACTCAGAATGGACCTCCTGAAGTCCTGAACCTCGGGGTCCTTCAACATCTCGAACTCACACACAGGCATCCCGATGGCGAACCCTGCAGAGAGAGAGGGGTCAAAAAGATCGGTTTGAACCCAGGTGAGGATCTAGTATCATCATCTAAGTCCTGTCTGACCCCTGACCTCTGAGCCAGTTGGACCCACTTTGAAACCAAAATCTATACTTGAGTACCTTCTGGTCCTGCCTTGGAACCAGTTCCTCTTCTTTAACCAGTTTTAACCCCAGATTGGAGCTCTCCTCTGTGACCCTGATTCTGAACTGGTTTTCCTTCCAGAGTTGTCTTGACCCCACATCCAAACACGAACTCCTACTACAGTCCATTTAAACTCCAGTTTGGAACCAGTTTCTCTAAGTCAGACCTTTTTGACCCCAGTTTGGAAGGACTTTTACCTCCACACTGACTCCACCCCATCTCCACTTTGGAACTTGTTCTTTTTTTTGACCCCATTCTTGAACCAGTGTCCACAATGTGGTCCTCTTTCCTCTTATTTATAGCCTATTTTGATCCCCGTCAGGTTCTCTACATTGGTATTTTGACCCCTTTTGGAATAATCTTCTCCATATTAGTCTATAACCCCCCCACCCCGTCCCCCATTAACCCACTTTCAGACTTGTTTACCATCTTTGACCCCTAATTTCTTTTCCCAGCACCAGTCTTCTTGACCCAGTTTAGTCACCAGTTGAAGTACACCAGTTCTTCTTTTGACCCTGTTTTGGGACTTTTTTTACAATAGTGATTTTGACCCCATCGTGGATCTAGTGTTCCCTCCCAAGTCTTTATAGACCCAGCTTCTGAGCCAAGTCTTCTTTTGACCCCAGTTGGAACCATTATTCATCATGAAGTCCTTCTGACCCCACTTTGTAACTGGTCTAAGTCCCCTTGTCTCAGTCTGGACCTGATCTTCTACGGGTTACCTTTTGGCCTAACTCATGAACCTGTGTGACATCAGAGACCAGGTGTGAAGACAAGCTTTTGGCGGATAGGCTGAAGGTGGGATGTGGTTGGACTGTCCAATGAGGTGGTGACAGGTGAGAACAGGTGATGATGGTAGATGATGGCAGGTGCTGCATGACCGGTGAGGACTGGTTATTGTTGAGGACATGTGGGGACAGAAGATGAGAGGTGAAGATGGGTAAAAGCCAGTGAGGACAGGTGAGGACAGGTGAGAACAGGTGAGGACAGGTGTTACCTATCTCTCGGTTCAGGATCTTCTCTTCTCGGTTTCCCAGCGGCTCGATGACCTTCAGGATGGGGTGGAACAGCCGCAGGTCGCACAGCCGCCGTGTCTCATCGTAAAACTCCTCCCTCTCTGCTTCCTGGGTCACGCCCACAAAGATGTAGCATGACTCCTCCTGGCCAATCAGAGAGCAGAGGTTATTCCAGCATTAACCAGTAATTTTAAAGGAGCGGAGTCAAAGATGAGTAAGTGACTTACCTGCAGCAGGTGGTAGAGCGGGTACTTCCTGGCCTCAGTGAAGAGCTGCTGCTTGATGCTGATGAGAGGCGTCTCTCGGAGACACTCCAGACTGACCATCATCCCTGAGACAGAGACCGGGGACAGAGAGAGACCGGGGACATCGCCAGAGGGACGGACAGAGAGCAGGGACATCGTAAGAGGGACAGACAGAGACCAGGGACAGATAGAGACAGGAACATTGTAAGAGGGACAGACATGTAGAGAAACAGACACTGTCAGAGACACATTTAGAGACATTACCGTTGGGCAGACAGCAGTCCACCAGGATCCGAGGGGGCATCAGGTGGAGCCCCCATAGCTCCCCTGAGGACGGCCTTGGCGCCATGACAACCACCAATCACAACCTGCCTCACCTCAGGGCTGGGCTACCTGGACAGACAGAAAGACAGGTGGACAGTGAGACATCATTGGGGGACTCTGAAGTCTGTTGTTGTTCTTGAAGCCTAAATGTCTCCTAAACCTCCATAGAGGGACTCAGGACTAGAGACCAGGGACATTGTAAGAGGGACAGACAGAATTCACAGATGTCCCAGGAGACCAAAGACCAAGACTAAGACCTGACAAGAGACAGTCCCTGTACTAAGGTGACCCTGTCCAACAGCTGCTGTCTCCCAGGACTCGTCCTAAACCTCTGATCCTTCAAATAAGATTTCTGTATAAAAACATGAATCAGCTGTTATTTCACATGAAGAGGTCACATGACCCGACAGCGATGAGGACGTCTCCAAGATTTCGTGTCGTGTAACTTCGTCTGTTGTCGGTTTATTTAAAGAATAAAGACTTTCTGATGTTTCTCTTCCTTATTTCAGTTATTAATATCTGTCCTCGAGTGTCTGTCCAACAACGTCTTTGTGTTTTTCAATGAAGACGTCAGACAAAGAGCAGAAACTGGGACACACACACACAAAGGGCCGGACCGTGTGTGTGTGTGTGTGTGTGTCAGGAAGCTGACTTCCTTCACTGGTCTTCCTGTTGACCGGCTGATTTAAAGGAACAGTCTGTCAGCTTTGATTCACGTCAACTCAGAAATTCAAGGAAATATTCAAAAAAATTAAAAATTAAAAACTTTTTCAAGAGCAGAAAGTGAAAAAAAATGAAATAATATTTATAGAAATAATAGAAAACAATAATTACAACAGCAACAATAATAATACTACTTAAAATAATTATAATAACATAAAAATAATAATAATAATAAAGTTACATTAGAAACATTTAAAATACTAGAAATAAAAATATTAACAATAAAAAAAAACTTAAAATTAAATCAAATAAAAAATCTCATAACACAACAAACAACTAAAAAAACAAAAACATTAATGACAACAACAATAATAACACTTAGAATTATCATAATAATGTGTATATATATAAATAAAATATACTTACAATAAAAACAAAAAATTAAATAAAAAATAACAGAAATATTTATTGAAAAATAATATATATAATATTATATTATTAATAATTATTAACAATAATCAAAACTCAAAAATGTTTATAATTTTAAAGGACAATAATGATTTTTATGATCATTATAATATATTTGAAAAAATAAAAAAGTAATAATAAGAAGAATAAAGTTTGAAGCGGGCCAATGGGAAGCTGTTTGACTGATGATGTCACATGTTTGTTTGTAAACACAAACAGGAAGAAGAACAATTAATCAATAATCACTGTAATAATTATTAATAAGTCTGTAAATATTTAAATATTAAAGAGTTTTCAGTCGTTTTTAAACCGTTAATCTTCACTGATATTTTAAATATAGATGAGCTCTGACACACTCTCTCTCCTCCTCTCCTTGTTTCCTTCTCTCCTTGTTTCCTCCTCTCCTTTTGACATCAGACTATGGTATGGTTGCCATGACGACGGCAGTGGGAGCATCAGAGGGCTGAAATCAAAGAGAAAAGCCGACGAGGAGGACTCTTTGTTCTGGCCGACACTCACCTGAGCTCGTGCCTGCCAACGGTCCAACGGCGCGAGGCTCCGGTCATAGCGTCCGTCCGTCCGTCCGTCTGTACGTCTGTCTGTCTCACTGTCCGCCCGTCTGTCTGTGTGTCTGTCTGTCTTTGTCTCCTTACGCTTCAGCCGGTGGATCCATCAGTCTCCGCCCCGCCGGTTCTCGGTCTGACACAGAGACTGTGTCCCGGTACCGACCCGAGACCAGAGACCACAGACCTGTCTCTGTGTCTGTGTGTCTGTGTGTGTGTCCTCCTGAGTGTCTGTGTGCAGCAGCAGCAGCAGCAGCAGCAGCAGAGGGAGGTTGCTGCTCGCCGGGAGCTGCAGAACAATGTGCTGAGGGAGGAGGGGGAGGAGGAGGGGAGGGGAGGAGGGGGTGAGGAGAGGGTGAGGGTGGGGGTCATCCTCTTCCTCTCTTAAAGGGCCAGCAGCCTCAGCCTGTCATCTACAGTGAAGTTATTTTAATTAAAAACATCATTAAATAGAGTTATTTTAAAAGATTTTGAGGATGAAAGTTTCACGTTTTTTTTTAAGTAGATGAAAAATCTCAGACCAAAATTATCAAAGTGATAAATTCAGAATATTTCAGGATAATTTAAAATATAAACATGTCCAATCTTTTTAAAGTGTTTCAAATATTTTAACAAATGTTATATATACAAAAAAGTGTTATTTTTAAAAATTAAAGTCTGTAGATAAATGTTAAATAGACAAAAAAGTCTATAAATAAATGTTATTTATACAAAATAAGGTCTGTAGACGAATGTTATATATACAAATTGAAGTCTATGAATAAATGTGATATATGCAAAAAAGCCTATAAATAAATATGATATATATAAACAAATGTTGTTAAAAAATTGAAGTCTATAAAAACATTTTACATTTAAAATTTGAAGTCTATAAACAAATGTGATATTAACAAATAAATTCTGTAAACAAATGTTATATAAACAAAAAGTTTATAAACAAATATGAAGTATATAGATTAAAGTCTATGAATAAATGTTAAAATTTATAAATAAATATCATATGCATAAATTATAGTTTATAAATAAATGTCATATTTCCAAATTAAAGTTTATAAACAAATGTCATATAAACAGACAAAGGTCTGTAAACAAATGTTTTTATACATACTAAAACCTATAAATATAGGTGTTTATATACATATCAAAGTCTATAAACAAATATTATGTATTTAAATTTAAGAATTTAAATCAATGTTATATATACAAATTAAAGTTTATAAATTTAATTTTATTTTTAAAATTAAAATGTAATAATAAATTTTATTTTTAAAGTTATAGTTTATAAATAAATGTTATAAATATAAATTAAAGTCTATAAACAATTATATATGTAAATTTAAGTCTTTACAAAATATTCTATACATACAAACTAAAGTCTATAAACAAATATATATATATAATAGAATTATATATATATGAATGAAAGTCTATAGATAAATTCTCCATATATCTTTATATTCTTGGACATTGTGCTTTAATGACACTGAGCTCTTTAAAAGGTTCTTCAGGATGTTTAAGTTCACGTCTGATAATCAGAGAGTCAGATTAAAAATAAGTCTGACACACACACACACACACACACACACACACACACACACACACACACACACACACACACACACACTCACACACACACACACACACTTTTAGAGAGTTAATCCTAATCCTGTTTTTGTTTTCGCGGACACTCTTTGTTTACCACAGCTGTAGGAGGGGGCGGGGCTTATCTCTGTATCTGACGTTGATGATGATGTTTTGACGGACTCGAACCCTCAGAGTTTTAGATCAGTGGACGACCCGCTGTCCCCCTGAGCCACAGGAAAATCCAGAAGAGGACTGATCCCACCCAGAGTTTAACGAACACAAAAATGTTTCAGCTACGATTTTAACAAACAAAGAAGAAGAAGAAGAAGAAGAAAGGTTCGTGGTCAGGAAACTCACGTTTGGATAAAAACAACAAACTTTATCGACTGAAATCAAAAACATGTTTTTCACTCAAACAATTCTCTTTTCCTCTTCCTCTCTCTGAGGAACAAACATTTCCTCTGCTCACGACTCCTCCTTTCCTTTCCTCTCTCCTCCTCTCCTCTCCTCTTCATCAGGCTGCCTGATCTTACACCCAGAGTTTTGCCTGTCAGGCAGCAGGTCTATTTTTGCTGAAGTCCTGCCTGTTCGTCTTTGAGGCAGCAGTCTGTTTGTCTGCCTCTTTTTGCCCCCAGTTTTGTCTGACAGACTACAAACCATCTCCAGTCTTCTTTGTACTGCCTTACCATCTACAGTATCTTTGTCCTAATAAGCCCTGAGTTTTGCCTGTCAGGATAGGGGGTCTGTCTTCACTGTGTGCTTTTTTTTATAGTGCAGTGCATCCGCCTTTTTATTCCCCATGCGTTGTCTGCCAGGCTGCACTCTCTCTCTCTGCTTCTTTGTACACCAACCTTTTTTCCATGAAGCTGTTTTTTGTGTTTATCTTTGCCTGTGTGTCCTTTTACCCTGAACTCTGTCTGTAAGGAGGCATACCTTGTTTGCCTCCAGGAGACATAGGTGTCTTCTGTCAGACTATGCATAATTCCTGATTTTTGTCTGTCAGGCTGCAGTCTGACTTTATTCCCTGATTTTCATCCATCAAGGTTGCACTCTAAGTTTTCCCTGATTTTTGTCTGTCAGGCTGCAGTCTGACTTTTCCCTGATTTTTGTCTGTCAGGCTGCTGTCTGACTTTAATCCCTGATTTTTGTCTGTCAGGCTGCAGTCTGACTTTTCCCTGATTTTTGTCTGTCAGGCTGCAGTCTGACTTTATTCCCTGATTTTCATCCATCAAGGTTGCACTCTAAGTTTTCCCTGATTTTTGTCTGTCAGGCTGCAGTCTGACTTTTCCCTGATTTTTGTCTGTCAGGCTGCTGTCTGACTTTAATCCCTGATTTTTGTCTGTCAGGCTGCAGTCTGACTTTTCCCTGATTTTTGTCTGTCAGGCTGCAGTCTGACTTTTCCCTGATTTTTGTCTGTCAGGCTGCAGTCTGACTTTTTCCTCGTTAATTCGAACATGAAAGTCTTAGATAAAAAACTCTGATTCTTGTTTTTCGCCTTTTTTACGTCGACTCAGAAAACGGCATACTTTATGGGCGTTGTTTACTTCCTCCTCACAAACAAACAAAGATGGCGTGGATCTTTAATTAGTTTTATTAATATATATTAGCATCATCACCATTATTATTATTTTATCATCTGTTGTCATGGTTACCAGGCTCCTCATTAGTCCCATTATCAGCCTGTCCAAGTCGTTTCTATGACAACACTCTCAGATGAGGAGCGTGTGCTCACTTTATGTGTGTGTGTTGTTGTGTGTATTTTAATGTTGTGTAATTGTGTAGTGTGTATTTGGCACAGTTGTCGTGTTCGTGTGTTACATGTTGTGTAATTTTGTGGGTATTCTCGTACTCTGTGTATGATGTTGCGTTATACATTGTGTAACCTGTGTGTATTAGATGTTGTGTAGTTTGTGTGTAAGTGTCCTCAGGATGTGGTTCTCTCTCTCCAGGTGTTGGTTCTTCTCCTGCAGCTCTCTGATTTGTTCTCTCAGAAGCTCCACCTCCTCTCTGACGGCCAGCATCAGGTGACTCTTCACCAGGTCCTTCAGGAAGAATAAGAACAATAATAATTACAATAATTATAAATATTGAGAATCTAGAACTCACAGGTCTATGAAGACAGGACTCACCATGGCCTGTTCAATCTTGTTGTCTATGGCCATCAGACTGTTACTGGAGCTACTGCAAGACACAGACGGACACAGACAGGTGAGACACAGACAGGTGAGACACAGACAGACAGGTGAGACACAGACAGACAGGTGAGACACAGACAGGTGAGACACAGACAGACAGGTGAGACACAGACATGTGAGACACAGACAGGTGAGACACAGACCTCGTATAAAATCGTCATTCTGTCTCAATCATCTCTCATCAATAAAACAGAATCTATTTAACTGAATCGACACTGTAATAACTGATCAATAATCAATATCTCTGAGATTCTGGAGTTAAACCACCAGGTGTTCGCCATCAAAGGTCCCGCCCCCCGACTGGTTTCCACGGTTACCTGTGACAGAACAGCAGCAGTGACATCATGGTGGCTTCAGAGCCCCGCCCAGTGGGTGTGGCTTTAACAGGGACTGACCAATGAGGGTGAGGAGGACCCTGTGACTTCGCGGTGGGCGGGGCGGAGGAGGTCATGTGATGTCTGTTGGTGAGTTTTGGCTGAGGCGCTGTGATTGGCTGACAAACGGCGGGGGATGCTGACCTGCGCTTTGGTTCAGAGGTCATCGCTCCGGCACCCGGCCACGACTCTCTGACGCCTGAAACTTGACCTTTGACCTTTTTACGATCTCGTAACACCACAAATGTTTCTGGTTGCCTGGCAACAAGCTGCAAAGCCCTCCGAGGAAGGGGTGGGGTCGAGGGGGGGCGGCGCTGATGGGAAGGGGCGGGGTCACACTGAGGAGAAGGTGTCCTGCTACGCCCTGAGATCATTTTCTGTACGCCGCCAAACATTTTCAGCCAATCACAGCGCACTATTACACATGACCGACCAATCACAGCCAAGCAACAATCATCAGAACCAATCACAGCTCAGATACAATCATCAGAACCAATCACAGCTCAGATACAATCACCAGAACCAATCACAGCTCAGATACAATCACCAGAACCAATCACAGCTCAGATACAATCTTAAGAACCAATCACAGCTCAGATACAATCACCAGAACCAATCACAGCTCAGATACAATCACCAGAACCAATCACAGCTCAGATACAGGCTCAAGACGCACATCAATCTCTGAGTCAGAGGTCGAGTGGATCTGGCTGATGTTCCTGTTCCTTTAGCTTGAGTTCACTCTTAGGGACAGTTTCCTCATTAAGGCTTTGAATCCCTCGTTAAGGCTTGAGGTCCCTCATTAAGAATTAAGTTCCCTCGTTAAGGCTTGAGTTCCCTTAAAAGGACAGAGTTCCCTCGTTAAGGCTTGAGTTCCCTCGTTAAGGACAGAGTTCCCTCGTTAAGGCTTGAGTTCCCTCGTTAAGGACAGAGTTCCCTCGTTAAGGCTTGAGTTCCCTCGTTAAGGACAGAGTTCCCTCGTTAAGGCTTGAGTTCCCTCATTAAGGACAGAGTTCCCTCGTTAAGGCTTGAGTTCCCTCATTAAGGACAGAGTTCCCTCGTTAAGGCTTGAGTTCCCTCGTTAAGGCTTGAGTTTCCTTGTAAGGACAGAGTTCCCTCGTCAAATATTGAGGTCCCTCATTAAGGTTCAATGATTGTTGTCGTCAGTCCATGCTCCCGGTCTCCCCTACTGTCGTCTGTTCTGATTTGGTAAAATGAAATCCTGATGATGAAGCTCGTCTGTGATTGGCCGGTTCTCTCCGAGCTCAGGTCCTGATCTTTAATCCATGAGAGTCCGGTCCAATCAGCATCCTCACCCTCGTTAATCTGAACCCCGTCTCTCTTGGACCGTCCTCAGAATAAACGTGAATCCACCTCCACATTTACACGCTCACTCTCTGCACTCTCATTGGCTATCTCCCATTCCAACCCCAGCCCACTCAAACTCACAGCCAATAGGAAGAGAGCAGAGGGATTCTCTTCCCGCCCACTCAGACGGAGTCAGAACAGAGAGCTTCATTCATTGGTCTGAGTGTTTTCCTCTGTCTGTCTCCTCGTTCTCACACAGATGGTGAAATTATATCTTTATTACTTTATTTTATTTAGTTATTAAAGGGTCAAAGTTCACAAAATTAACCCTTTCTGTGCCTCGTTGTAGAAGTCCTGCAAACATTGTGTTTGCTGGTAGTCTGTTGGCATCTACAGTAGCACCAATGCTTTTGACTTTCACCTTGACTGGGCCCCATTTGTAATGATCTGAAGTATTTATCTGCATTATATCTGAATTTAATTGGAACGATACGAGCGAGCAGGAGCATCTGTTTGTGGGCGGGGCTTGAGGGGAAAACTGGTTGGAGGGGTAGAGTTTACATTCCAGATTTCTCCTAAAAACTGGAACTAACTCAGATCCTGACTACAACACCTTTAAAGCTCCAGTCAGTCGATGCTACAGCTAACTCACGATCAGCTGCTGCTTCTTCTTCTTCTTCTTTTTAATGGACCAGTTTTCATACTGCAGGAGCTTTAATTTAAATCATTTCATAAAGTATAAAATATCAAATATCTCACTTCACTCCACAGTAAAGAGGAAAATGAGTTTCCATGTTTGAAACAACAAAAACAGGAAGTTTGACGTTAATCCACAGGGATTAAAATCAACAGCAGATTATTTTCTCTGAAACTCTGTAAACAGTCAGACATCCTGTTAACACACTGAATGAAACACTCCTCTGTTCCTACTAATCCTACACACACACACACACACACACACTTTCTCTCAACACTGCAAAATCAGCTGATTAACACAGCAGTGAAAATAGAAGTGTGTGTGTGTGTGTGTGTGTGTGTGTGGTATGCAGGTCAGCTGTGTGTCACACTGGTGATAGTTGAAGTTTAGCGACATAACACAGAAGCTGTAAGTGTGTGTGTGTGTGTGTGTGTGTGTGTGTGTGTTATTTTGTCACTATGATCATATTCCACTGTGTGAAGAGAGTTAGGGCCTGTTTCCACTGACAACATCGCTCACACTTTAACCCTCGGTGTTGTCAGCGCAGGGACACCCTCAACATCAGCTGATCTTTGTTGTGATTTTAGGGGCTCACAGAAACGTCTCAAAAAATGATCAGCGTCTGTGTTTACATTCGGAAACTGAGAGTGGGCGTGGCTTATATCAGAAGTTCGAGCTGCAACATTAAAAAACTGTTTCATAATTTTCATAAGTTTCATAATTCTAATTTTCTGAGAGTTCTTATTTTTCCTCATATAAAAAAAAAACTGTAGTTCTCCGTCATTTTAGCTCCGCCCACCCTCCTTTGTCGGCCAATAGACTTCCATTAAAAACTGTTTTTTTTGAGCGTGTGTTTACGGCTCCATAACAACACAAGTCTTCATTCATGGACTGAGAGAGTCTGAAGATTCATCCACTAAACATCATCAGAAATGAAGGAAACTTTACATGACACTAGATCTGGATGTCTCAGAGTGGGACATGTGTGGAAGGAGAAGTCTGTGTGCTCCTGCGTGTGTGCACGGGTGAGAATCTGCCTCCATGTTCTGCAGTGTGGGACAAAGAGAGGGGGACATTTGGACAGTTTCTACTTTGTCCTCACTTCAGAGCAGGTGGATGGACATGCATGAGGATGAACAGGTCCTTCAGATCATCAGGGGAGAAGATATCACATCTGAAATATACAGTTATTTTTATATCAGAGTAATCAGATTTTAGTTAGAGGAGGATAAACACTCATAAATGATTCTATCTTACAGATATCTGATGATTTTATATGTTTATATATGAAATTAATTTATTATGAACAAATGAATTTGATCGTATTTGATTTGGTCGAGGACGAGGTTCGAGAAAAAGTGCTCCAATAGACTTTATCAATAAATATGACATGGTGAAAAAAAAACTGGAATAAAAAGGGAAAAACATCAAATTTATTATCGATTATTTTTTAATGGTCAGAGCTGAAGGTGTTGAAGAGATCTGAGTCAAAAAAAGGAAGAAAAAATGTTTAAAAATGATGATTTTATGAACATCTGTATGTCTGTTTTGGGGTCAAAGTCAGCTGATGGAGCGAAAATATGAAAAAATCGACACGACAAAAAAAAATTTAAATGCGTCAAAATTGGTTTAACTTCTCATCACTGATACGGTCCAGACTCTATTTATCAATAAAAAAATCATCTACTTCATTTTATTTGGGAAATATGGAGATTTTGTGTTTTTTACCAATAAAAATAGAAGTGACTGGAATAAAAAAGGAAAATACATCAAATTTATTATTATTTATATTTTAATATTTATTTATAATATTTTTTAATAGTCAGGACTGAAGTTATTTAAGAGATTTGAGTCAAAAAAAGGAAGAAAAAAAGTTTAAAAATGATGATTTTATGAACATTATTCTGCTCGTCAGTTTTGGGGTCAAAGTCGTCTGATGGAGGTTCAAACGAACAGGAACTAAAGGGTTAAAGACGTTAAATCAGGTCTAAAAACCTGAACCTGAACTCAACAGGAAGAAGCGGCGCCGCAGGACAACGCCACACACTCAGTCAGTGGACACAGGCCCTTGGTTCTCCTGAGAGAACCTCAAAGGTCCTCGGCGTGGGTTTACCTGGCGTCCCCCGGCAGGTTGAACATGGTTTGGTCCAGACTGAAGACTCCTGGGGTCTGGATGGGGGTCAGGGTGGGGTGGTACGGTCCAGCGGGGGGCGAGCTGGGCTGAGAGTGAGACAGTCTGAGGACGGACTGAGGAGAGAGACGGACAGGTGAGTCTGAGTGACATCATTTAACCAACCGTCCAATCAGGACACAGATCTGAGTGTTCGTACCCGCCCAGCTGCGTCCACGTCCAATCGTAGAGGAGGAGGGATGTTACGTGGGCGTGGCGATGGAGGGGGCGGGGTGGAGTCCTGTAACGCCTCCTTATGGTCCAGGAGCCGGATGTTGATTGGCTCCTGGTGCGTCGGTGACGGAGGTCCGCTGCGCGCTACAAGTCCAAATCTGTCCCTGCCTCTGATTGGCTGAGCCAGCAGGTGGGGCGTGTCCTGTGAGTGGACGCCGTCTCTGTCCACGTCCCGACCAATCAGCTCTAAGGACTCCAGCGAGTGGGCGTGTCTCATGGTGTCCATCACTCGCCTAAACCCCGCCCCTTCCTGCCGCTCCACAAAATCTGTACACGTCCATCGCCCGCGGCGGTAAGGCTCGCTCCGCCCACCGCTGCCGGCCCCGCCCACTGCCAGCCTCACCACTCTGAACCTGGAGGAACAGCCCGCCCCCTGGCCCGGGGAATCCTGGGACATGTATTTCCTTTTCAGAGAGGGCGTGGTGGGCTGGGAGGAGCTTCCCTGAGCGCTGCAGGAGGCGGCTGCTGATTGGAGGACGCTCAGGACCATGCTGGGAGCTGATTGGCCGGCTGGAGTCTGGTTGAAGTCTGATGTCACGCTGGTGATCTGGAAACCACTCCTCTTTTTACCGCCGCTCATCCTCACACACACACACACACACACACACACACACACTCACACACACACACACACACACACACACACACACACACACACACTCTCACTGTAACACACACAAACAGGTTAATGGGACTTACGAGGACGTCTCACGGTTGGACGTTAAAAAATGCGAAATATGAAACTGGAGACGTCTGCACCTGGACCGTCTCACCTGAACCTGAACCTGGACCCAGGTGTGAACCCTGACCCCGGTCTTACCTGCCGCTGCGCCCCTGACGCGTCCTCACAGCGCGGCTTTAGGTGTGTCCCCATAACGTCTGAAAACAAACACAGCAGAGAAGAAGAGATTCAGCCCGTCTCTCTCTCTCCCTCTCTCTCTCTCCCTCTCTCTCTCTCTCTCTCCCCCCTCTCTCTCTCTCTCTCTCTCTCTCTCTCTCTCTCTCTCTCTCTCTCCCTCTCTCTCTCTCTCTCTCTCTCTCTCTCCCTCTCCCTCTCCCCCCCCCTCCCTCTCTCTCTCTCTGTAAGGTTAGTGTCTCTCGCCCGTAGCTCCTCGCTCAGACTCCCTTTTCTCGCTGTTTCCTGTTTCCTCTGACTCGCTCTCTCTTCTGTTGCTGGTTGCTTCAGTCCGCTGCATGTTGCACAACCTGGATTAACATGTGTGTGTTACTGTGTGTGTGTGTAACTGTGTGTGTGTGTGTGTGTGTGTGTGTGTGTGTTAGTGTGTGTGTGTGTGTGTGTGTGTGTGTGTGTATGTGTGTGTGTGTTACTGTGTGTGTGTTAGTGTGTGTGTGTGTGTGTTAGTGTGTGTGTGTGTGTGTGTGTGTGTGTGTGTGTGTGTGCGGTTCAGGTCGGACAGGATCTTGAACCTCAATCACAGCTGTTGTGTACTTTTACTGCAGTCCTTCACGCCTCTCTAAACTTCGTGGTGTTGACTCTCCTCCACTCACGCCGATCCACGGTGCGATGTGATTGGCCGAGGAGCAGGCCCGTTTCAGGAAGTGTCTTTTGTAAACAGTAAGATAAAACCCTCTCAGCTGGAGAATACCTCGCCGTCGTGTCGAGCGCGGTGCCGTGGGCGCAGCTCGGAGGCGTGTTGGTCTTAAAACAATGTGTGGTCAGGTGCGTGGGCGTCGGGTTTCATTCCTGAGAACTCGGAGAGCTCCTTCAGGGCGTGGATCAGTCCGATGGTTACCCGCTCCTCGATGTTTGAGACGCTCAGACTCCAAACTCTAAAGACTAAATCTGATCAAACTCCTCCTTTAGTTTTTGTCCTCCTCAGATGTTCCTAAAACCCCGACACTAACAGGATCTGTTTTCTCGCACCGTTGCATCACTCCGTCTCCGCCACACTTCCTTTTTTTATCAGAGTGAACTCTACCTTTAAACCACGTCTGTGTTTTTATTGGACACAGACATGATGGAGACGCTCCTCACTGAGGTCAGAGGGACTAAAGAAAGAAAGACGAGAGAAGACCTTTTTTTACATCAGCGTAACCTTCCACACCGGCGCCGATTTTTCCACGGGGCGAAAAGCCTCTTTTATTTTTTCGCTCTTGTTCTTCTTCTAGACCTCTGGCCGATCACACGTCATGTGGTTGATGACATCACAGATCCATGCGGCTGGAAACTTTTAAAAAGACGTGACAGACTCTTTTATTGAGACGAGCTTTAATGAACGGTTCAGTTTGTCTCTTTAATTTCTGCTCTTATCTCCGTCTTCACTGACCTGCTTTAATATTTGTGTTTTTTTGTCCTGTTTTATGTTATTTTAAAGTTATTTTATCTACAGCTCTTTTATGAAAGTCGCTCTATAAATAAACTTTAATTTCTTAGTAAAGATACGGCTCAACTTACCCCCCATACCCGGGGTAAGTTGACCGTAGGAGACCCTGTTTTAGTCTGAAGATGACAGAGACAAACATGGATCATCCTAACCCGCTCTCCCCTACTGTGGTGAACGTCTCAGACCTCCTGAAGGGCCGTGAACCACAGGTTGGATCTCTCTGATCGTGTTCTTCTGGACTTTTAAAGGTTTTAGAGACAAAATAAAGTCAAACGGATCAAAGTTTCAGATTTTAAAGTTTCATGTTTGATCCTGTAACAAACACGAACTTCAGACAAAAACAGAATCTGGAATAAAAACCGGAAAAACTCGTAAATTCCCTCAAACTCACAAACTTCAGACAAACAAACATCAACAAACACTCACGTGAACGCGCTCCGCTCCGGCGCGCCCCCGACGATCCCGAGCCCGAATCCGCAGCCGCGCGCGCCTCCTACCCTCCCGCAGGTGACGTCACGCCCGGTCCCGGTGACACAATCGGTCCATTATCCGCGCGACGAGGAAAGAACAAGAACAGCTGATGGGGAAGGCGCATGCGCGGCCAGCCTCAGGGCCACGGGAGCGCGCACGAACACCAAAAAGTTCTTCTTCTATGGTTTAGAAGAGTTAAAGTTTCAACAAACAAACTTCTTCTTTTTCCCTCCAACAACTGGGACAGCAGCGCGCGCCTCTAAACAGCAGCCAATGAGAGAGCAGCAAACATCCTCATCTTCATCCTCATCTTCCTCTTCAGGTCCGGCTCTCCCGGTTCCGATCCGGATCATCCGTCCCTCTCTGGTTTCTGTTGATGTGAGAGCGGCGCGTGGAAGAGCCGGGAGCGAGCAGAGCACATGTGCGTGTGCGTGTGTCCGTCTGAGAGGCGCCTGCGCAGTAGAAGGAGTTTTTCTGACAGAATCACGGATTGATTTTCTAATTCCGGTGGTTTAACTTTAAAAAAAAAAAGCTTTTATTGTGAAATTTTTCACTCAGCACACCAAACTTCCTGTTATTGAACCCTGGTTTTGTCTCTAAAGACAAAATAAAAGTTTGTTTACTTTCAGTCATGAAAACTTAATAAAGCTGTTTGAGTGTCAGAGTGGCGCCCTCTGCTGGTCAATAAACTTCACTGCAGCCCAGAGAGGAAACTCAGGGGAGGAGGTTTAAAAGGAAATGTTCAAAACTAAAGACTACAACTACTACTGATAATAATAACAGTAATAATTATAATCATCATTGGTTTTACAAAATTAATTATAAAAACAGAAATTATAGTAAAAATATATGATAATAATTCTAATAATAGTAATACTAATGACTTTTAACAACGCTAATAATAATAATAATGAATATAATTAAAATAATAATACTAATGATAATATTTATTATATTACTTATTATTTATATAAATACTTTAATGATAAAAACAGTAATAACAATAATAATAATCATAACAATAATAATTAATTATTGAATAATAATAGTATTAATAATAATAATGGTAATAAAATAATTATTGTTGTAATTAAAATAATAATAGCAAAACAATACTAATAATTGTTATCATTATTATTATCATTATTTAAAAAGTCAAACTAATAATGATAATAATAATAATAAATGTTATAATTTGTTTTATAACATTTATATTTCTATTTATTTTTATTAAGAGACAAACATTTTTATGTGTCAAAATAATAAGAGTATTTATGATTTTAGAGGTAGTCTCATATTAAAAATAAATATTATTAATATTGCTAATAAAATGAACAACAAGCAGTTTCTTGGAATATTAAAATATAACAGTAGAAACATTTTCAAAAAACACCGACCAATCAGAGCACTCCAATTTAATGTCACTGTGATGTCATAGATCTCTGTAAACTTTTACAAAATTACGTGATGTCACAAATTTATAAACATGTTTTACAAGCAGCAGAACGAACTTTAAAAGCTTTTAGTGGAGACCATTGAAATGTGTGGACCTGGTGAACCTGAAAGACCTGATAGACCTGTTACATCTGTTGAACCTGTTGGACCTGTTAGCATTCATCAGAGAATCCTTTACGGTTTTTAGCGCAGCGCTAGAAAGCTTCAGTCAAGTCAAGAGCAGCGGCTAACTTTGTTAGCATCCCAAAGACAGCCTAAACCCGTAACGGTCACTCAAAATGTAAACACAATACTATCGCTAAATCAGTTCCGACATAAAGAAGGACAATTTTTTCTGTTTTCTATGCTAGCACAATTAGCATCGCTAGAATTCCTACAGCAGTCAAACCAAAGCTAACCGTGTTAGCATCCAGCTATCACATGAACAGTTCCTGAGAAAGAACCATAAAGCTTTTCGAACTCGTTTAGAATCAGAATACGGTTTTATATAAACGTGTGGCGTTCAGATTCACGCGGTCAAACAGATTATCAGTGCTATAGAAATGTGAACGGAATTATTGATCTTATAGAAATGTGGAGTTTATAAACATTTAAGACTGATTTCACCTTCGCCGTTCCCTCGTTTATAAACAGATGTTCTTTGGTGTAACTAAATGTTTGTATATATATGTATATATATATATATATGTATATGTATGTATACTGTGTGGTGTTTATATACATGTTTACAGACAGGTTTCATGTTTACCGTTCCCTCGTTTATAAACAGATGTTCTTTGGTGTAACTTAATGTTTGTATATGTATATGTATGTATACTGTGTGGTGTTTATATACATGTTTACAGACAGGGTTCATGTCTTTGTTATATAAAGGTGAGGTGTTGGTCCTCACTGAGGCCGTACGATTGTTTGTGCTGCTCGAACAGGTCGGTCAGACTCTGCAGGTAACATTTATGAAGACTCTGGATGTCCTCACTGGTGGGACTGGGAGTCTGGACCACCGGGATGGGGGCCCCCACTGGAGACAGAAGGGAGGACCATCAGAAAAATTCAACAACATTGACGGTGAAATCGACATCGACTCACAGTGAGATTAACGTCAGCGGTCTGACGGCGTTTATGTTACAAACTTAGAAAATTAAAACACTTTTAAAAATACTTAAAAAAACGAGAAAAAAAACAGGAACAGAAACAATGAAAATAAATGAAATTTAAAAAAAAAACTAGAGGTCTATGAAAACTTCAGTCAATAAAAACGTGTTTAAGTTTAAAAAAAAGAGAGAAAAACTTTAAAACATAAAACTTAAAAAAATAAAAATTTAGACTTTGAACTTCTTTTGAATCTGTTCACTTTTATCATGAAGTGTTTTAAGTGTTAAATTAAATTAAACTCAAAAAATTAATTTTAGGCAAAAATTAAATTAAAAAAACAGAGATGTTCTTTTTAAACTTGTATTAAAAAACATGTTTAGGTTTGAAAAAAAGAGAAAAACATTAAAAACGTAAAACAATAAAATAAACAAAAAAATTAAAAAACTTATACTTTGAAGTTCTTTTAAATCTGTACGTTTTTATCATGAAGTGTTTGAGTTTTAAATTAAATTAAACTCAGAAATTTAATTTACTGTAAACATTTAATTTAATAAAAACTGTGACTTTTTTTTTTTTTAACTTGTTTTTCGTACCGACGGTGTGGATGGGCTTCCTGTACGGCATCAGTCCAAAGCTGTACTGGAAAACTCCTCGTGCATGAAACAGAGGCATCGCCACTCCCATGATGCTTTGCAGCCGGTTCTGTGGACAGAGGTTAACATGTTAACTCCACACAGGACTAAACTTCAGTCCTCCTTTTTTTCCTGTTTCAACAGATAATAAAACTTTAACCTTTTAAAACGTCTTACTGATCAATTAAACATTTTTTAATATCAGATTCCTCATCGTGTTCAAATGTTAAAAACTCAAAAATCGATTTAAAATCAAAATAAAAAATGTCATAGAAATCCTTTTAAATGTAAAAACTTTAAAAGCTTTTAAACCTCAAACACAAAATTTTAAAAACTAAAATACAAAAAAAAAATTAAGACAAATTTTTGAAGTTAAAAAAAGAAACAAAATCAAAAATAGAAAAGCACAGAAAAAAATCTTTAAAAAATGTAAAAAAAAAATCTTTCTAAAAATTACAATAAACAAAAACTTTAGAAACATTTTTAACTTTTAGAAATAATCAAAACTTCAAAAAGTCAAAAAACACGAGAAACTCTCAGAAGACTTGGAAACGAAAATTTACAACCGAAAAATGTTTTCCAGACACAAACACAAAAGAAGAACTTCTTTTTATTACATATTAAATTATATTTATTTTTTTGGCATTTTCAAACTTTAAGCTGAAACTTTTTATTTATTTATAAATTTCCCGGTTTGACCTCTGACCTGCAGCCTCCTCAGAGGAGAGCCGGTCGGATTCTCCATCTGATCGAAGAGTTCGTTCTCTCCGAAAGAAAAGACCGGAACCAGCTGAGCTCTGCAGACACACACACAGACACACACACACACGTGCACACACACACACACACACACACACACACACACACACACACACACACAGAGTCAGTATTAAATCTCTCCTGATTGGTCCTCCTCGTTCAGCTCCACTCACCCGTGTTTAAGAGCCAGTTTGATGAAGCCTTTCCTGTCTAGGACCTAAAACACAAACAAACAAACAAACAAACAAACAAACAAACAAACGATCAGAGCGGCGGGTTTATCTGACACGTTTTATTTCCCAGAAAGCACCTCTTCATGTTTTATTGTCTGTGTTTTTTTTACTTTATTCACGTCTTCGTCTTCGATCGATCAGGTGTGAGTCGCAGATGTACCTGTAGTTTTAAAGCTCCTGGTCGAGCGTCCAGAGCCTCTGAAGCTCCGCCCACTGCGATGACGGCGACATTCCCGCCCTCAGGTCGGCTGACCAGGTAGGACAGACTGGACTTACAGCTGGAGACCAGACCTGGTGGACAGACGGGGGAGAACCGTTGGTCTGATAATCTGAGTCTAAATCTGAGATCATCTTCATCTCAAATCTTCAGAGCGATTTTCTGCTTCATTAAAAATCCTCCTAATTAAAGACCAGGATCCAAACTTCTCCTCCGCCTGGATCATTGAACCCCTGTACTTCCACTCTTTGACCACCAGGGGTCACATCAAACCAGGTTAGGATGATCGATCGCTGCAGATCTGGGACACACAAACCATTTCACCCCGCTGTCTCGGCCAATCAGAGCCCGGCGTTCTGCCTCCTCCTGCACCGACCTGTCACACAGTTTACTCAACGCTGAGCAAAGACCGAGACCCAGACTGACTGCGGGGTCACTAAACCCTCCGGAGGAAAACTCCTGTTCTGTCTCACCCACTGAGAGAGACGTCCAGGTCTGACCACATGAGGCTCCGCAAGAACCAGGAGACAAGGTTAAAAGAACTCTGTGAGACCCAGAAAGACCTGAAAAACTCTTTAAGAACTCTGAGAGACCCAGAAAGACCTGAAAAACTGTTAAAGAACTCTGTGAGACCCAGAAAGACCTGCAAAAACTCTTTAAGAACTCTGAGACCCAGAAAGACCTGAAAAACTGTTAAAAAGAACTCTGAGACCCAGAAAGACCTGAAAAACTGTTAAAGAACTCTACAAGACCTAAAAACCTAAAAAAAACGTTAAAATGAAACTAAAATGAGGTAAAAACCCGTAAAAACTCTGTTGGACTTCTAGAAACTCTTCCTCCTCCGTTCGAACCCTGAACACTTTGTAAGGATGAATGTTTTCTCCTTTAGACCCCTGATGATTCCAGACCAGGACCCAGAGAGACGGGTCCGAACAGGGCAGTACCTCCACACATGATGTAGTCTCTGAAGAGAGGAACCCTGAACCAGAACGGCAGCATCAGCAGGTGAGACCGAAGTCCAGGAAACAGACGAGAAAAACCCGTCGCCTCCGTACAGAAGTTCCCGAACCCTCCGGCTACCAGAACTCCTGAGGGGCGGAGAGACAGACGGGTCAGAGGTCAGACCAATCAGAGGGACAGGAAGGTCAAGGACGGGGTCATGAACAGGAACCAGGACCCTTGAGAGACAGACTGGTTCTCTTACCATGAGGATGAAACCCAAAGATGTAGTTCTTCTTTGGATCCAGATCGACGGTTTTTACCAGCTGGAGACACAAACAGAGAGTTATCAATAATCAATAATCAGTTATCACAAATCAATAATCAATACTCAGTGATCACAAATAACTAGGTCATAATCAGTACTCAGTTATCCCCAATCACTTATCAATAATCAGTTTTCACTAATCACTTTTCAACAATTAGTTATCACAAATCAATAATCAGTTTTCATAAATCAATAATCAGTTATCATAAATCAATAATCAACAATCAGTTATAGTAAATTCATAATCAGTTACACAAATCACTTCCTTAAAATCAGTAATCAATAATCACCGATCACTTCACACTAATCAGTTATTAATAATCACTTATCAATGATAACTTATTTATGATCACTTATCAATAATCACTTCTCACTTATTAATAATAACTTCTCATTAATCAGTTATCAATAATCAATAATCACTAATCAATAATGCGTTGTTGGTCAGCCTCCTCCGTCCGCTCTAATCTCACCTGGATTGGGAAATACTCTCTGAAGTAATCCCAAACTCTCCAGCTCCTCACCCACTGTGACCTCCGACCTCCACTGCTGGGCGTGTCCCAGTCCAACCACAGCCAACCAGCATACAGCAGAGCCAGCATCCACCAATCAGAGAGCGCCAACAGAACAAAGCCGGCGAGGCAGCACTGAGCTGAGAGACCGACCAAACAAGGTTAGGTTCATTTCAGCTCACCTTAAGTCCCGCCCACAACGCTACATCTGATTGGCTAGACGTCACATGACTGTACCGTTAGTGAAGCTGACGACCTGCTGTGACGACGTTAAACGGTCGAACCCGTGTTAAACCAATCAAAGTCACCGTGTTTACTGACACCTAGTGGTAAAGGTCCGAACACACCGGGAACGACGTAAATATTCGACACGAAATTACGAAATATCGGAGGTGAATTTTGACGCGCCTGACTGAACACATCAAGACTTTCCGCGGGGGATAAAAGACGGTTTGTGTCTTTGATCAAAAATCACTCTGTTCTCCGACACGTAAACAATCAGCCTGTCGGCCATGTTGGATATACAGAATCTGACGTCGCAACAACACGAAATCTGATTGGTCAGAAGTCAACACACAGTCTGAGAAACTTTAGAAAAATCGACCGTGATCAGAAAAAAATAAATGTCGCAATTTTGCAGGACTGAAAAACGTCGCTGATGTGAACGCTTATAATGACGTCAGAAATAATCGCACGAAAAAAAACGCTCCCGGTGTGAAAGGACCTTTCCACTGTGGAACGAAACACTTCCCGCCAATCTCTCCTGTTACCGAGGCAACGGTGGGCGTTTTTTTTTAACTTCTGACATGTCGAGTTTTTCTTTGTTCTAGTGACACAAACTGACGTTAACGAAGTAAACGGATAAACAGTTTCCGACATAAAAACAGAAAATCAGGATAAAAACACCGAAGTACGACCGGACGGAAGCTGTGGGAGGAAAGAGTCAGAACGTCAGGAGAGAAGAGGCAAAAATAAAGTCCAAGAGAGTCATGAAGTTAGGAGATGAAGAGGAGAGGAAGGAGAGAGGAAGAGGAGAGGAAGGAGAGAGGAAGGAGAGAGGAAGAGGAGAGGAAGGAGAGATGAAGGAGAGATGAAGAGGAGAGGAAGGAGAGAGGAAGAGGAGAGGAAGGAGAGATGAAGAGGAGAGGAAGGAGAGAGGAAGGAGAGATGAAGGAGAGATAAAGAGGAGATGAAGGAGAGATGAAGGAGAGATGAAGGAGAGATGAAGGAGAGATGAAGAGGAGAGGAAGGAGAGAGGAAGGAGAGAGGAAGGAGAGATGAAGAAGAGAGGAAGGAGAGATGAAGAAGAGAGGAAGGAGAGATGAAGGAGCGATAAAGAGGAGATGAAGAGGAGATGAAGAGGAGAGGAAGGAGAGAGGAAGAGGAGATGAAGGAGAGATGAAGAGGAGATGAAGGAGAGATAAAGAAGAGATGAAGGAGAGAGGAAGGAGAGATGAAGAGGAGAGGAAGGAGAGATGAAGGAGAGATGAAGAGGAGATGAAGAGGAGATGAAGGAGAGATGAAGAGGAGAGGAAGGAGAGATGAAGGAGAGATGAAGAGGAGAGGAAGGAGAGAGGAAGGAGAGATGAAGGAGAGATAAAGAGGAGATGAAGAGGAGATGAAGGAGAGATGAGGGAGAGATGAAGAAGAGAGGAAGGAGAGATGAAGAGGAGATGAAGAGGAGATGAAGGAGAGATGAAGAGGAGATGAGGAGGAGAGGAAGGAGAGATGAAGAGGAGAGATAGGAGAGAGGAAGGAGAGATGAAGGAGAGATAAAGAGGAGATGAAGGAGAGATGAAGAGGAGAGGAAGAGGAGAGGAAGGAGAGATGAAGGAGCGATAAAGAGGAGATGAAGAGGAGAGGAAGGAGAGAGGAAGAGGAGATGAAGGAGAGATGAAGAGGAGATGAAGGAGAGATGAAGAAGAGATGAAGGAGAGAGGAAGGAGAGATGAAGAGGAGAGGAAGGAGAGATGAAGGAGAGATAAAGAGGAGATGAAGAGGAGAGGAAGGAGAGATGAAGAGGAGATGAAGGAGAGATGAGGGAGAGATGAAGAAGAGAGGAAGGAGAGATGAAGAGGAGAGGAAGAGGAGATGAAGAGGAGAGGAAGGAGAGATGAAGAGGAGATGAAGGAGAGATGAGGGAGAGATGAAGAAGAGAGGAAGGAGAGATGAAGAGGAGATGAAGGAGAGATGAAGAGGAGATGAAGGAGAGATGAAGAGGAGATGAAGAGGAGAGGAAGAGGAGAGGAAGAGGAGAGGAAGAGGAGATGAAGAGGAGATGAAGAGGAGATGAAGAGGAGATGAAGAGGAGAGGAAGGAGAGATGAAGAGGAGATGAAGAGGAGAGGAAGAGGAGATGAAGAGGAGATGAAGAGGAGATGAAGAGGAGATGAAGAGGAGAGGAAGGAGAGATGAAGAGGAGATGAAGAGGAGAGGAAGAGGAGATGAAGAGGAGAGGAAGAGGAGATGAAGAGGAGATGAAGAGGAGATGAAGAGGAGATGAAGAGGAGAGGAAGGAGAGATGAAGAGGAGATGAAGAGGAGAGGAAGAGGAGATGAAGAGGAGATGAAGAGGAGATGAAGAGGAGATGAAGGAGAGATGAAGAGGAGATGAAGAGGAGAGGAAGAGGAGATGAAGAGGAGAGGAAGAGGAGATGAAGAGGAGATGAAGAGGAGATGAAGAGGAGATGAAGAGGAGAGGAAGGAGAGATGAAGAGGAGATGAAGAGGAGAGGAAGAGGAGATGAAGAGGAGAGGAAGGAGAGATGAAGAGGAGATGAAGAGGAGAGGAAGAGGAGATGAAGAGGAGAGGAAGAGGAGATGAAGAGGAGATGAAGAGGAGATGAAGAGGAGATGAAGAGGAGAGGAAGGAGAGATGAAGAGGAGATGAAGAGGAGAGGAAGAGGAGATGAAGGAGAGATGAAGAGGAGATGAAGGAGAGATAAAGAAGAGATGAAGGAGAGAGGAAGGAGAGATGAAGAGGAGAGGAAGGAGAGATGAAGGAGAGATGAAGAGGAGATGAAGAGGAGATGAAGGAGAGATGAAGAGGAGAGGAAGGAGAGATGAAGTTGAGATGAAGAGGAGAGGAAGGAGAGAGGAAGGAGAGATGAAGGAGAGATAAAGAGGAGATGAAGAGGAGATGAAGGAGAGATGAGGGAGAGATGAAGAAGAGAGGAAGGAGAGATGAAGAGGAGAGGAAGAGGAGATGAAGGAGAGATGAAGAGGAGATGAGGAGGAGAGGAAGGAGAGATGAAGAGGAGAGATAGGAGAGAGGAAGGAGAGATGAAGGAGAGATAAAGAGGAGATGAAGGAGAGATGAAGAGGAGAGGAAGAGGAGAGGAAGGAGAGATGAAGGAGCGATAAAGAGGAGATGAAGAGGAGAGGAAGGAGAGAGGAAGAGGAGATGAAGGAGAGATGAAGAGGAGATGAAGGAGAGATGAAGAAGAGATGAAGGAGAGAGGAAGGAGAGATGAAGAGGAGAGGAAGGAGAGATGAAGGAGAGATAAAGAGGAGATGAAGAGGAGAGGAAGGAGAGATGAAGAGGAGATGAAGGAGAGATGAGGGAGAGATGAAGAAGAGAGGAAGGAGAGATGAAGAGGAGAGGAAGAGGAGATGAAGAGGAGAGGAAGGAGAGATGAAGAGGAGATGAAGGAGAGATGAGGGAGAGATGAAGAAGAGAGGAAGGAGAGATGAAGAGGAGATGAAGGAGAGATGAAGGAGAGATGAAGAGGAGATGAAGAGGAGAGGAAGAGGAGAGGAAGAGGAGAGGAAGAGGAGATGAAGAGGAGATGAAGAGGAGATGAAGAGGAGATGAAGAGGAGAGGAAGGAGAGATGAAGAGGAGATGAAGAGGAGAGGAAGAGGAGATGAAGAGGAGATGAAGAGGAGATGAAGAGGAGATGAAGAGGAGAGGAAGGAGAGATGAAGAGGAGATGAAGAGGAGAGGAAGAGGAGATGAAGAGGAGAGGAAGAGGAGATGAAGAGGAGATGAAGAGGAGATGAAGAGGAGATGAAGAGGAGAGGAAGGAGAGATGAAGAGGAGATGAAGAGGAGAGGAAGAGGAGATGAAGAGGAGATGAAGAGGAGATATACACGACAGGCCAAAAGTTTGGAAGCACTGCAGTTCCAGGTCGAACAGTTGGATTATTCACTTCAACTTTTTGTCGTCTGAGAGTCTGCAGACAAAAATCCTAATAAATCTAAACTGAGTTCGAACTACAGCAGAAATGGACAGAAAGAAGCAACTGAGTAAAGAAACAAAAGTTCAGATTTGTACATCGAGGAAAGAAGGAAACACAGAAAGAGAAAAAGGCCTAAAGGTGTTTAACAAAGGAGTCGACTTCACTCTGAAGAGACGAGAGGAACCTGGAAGTTCTGATGATAGAAAAAGACGAAAGAGAGTAACTACAAAAGCAGAGGATAAACAGAGCATTGTCACCAGGAAGAGAGATCAGAGAAAGACAGCACCACAAATAAGGGAGGAAATCAACATGACAAGGTCGAAACCCATATCTGTGACAACCGTGACGTTTGAGAAAGGCTGGTCTGAAAAAAAAACACGACTTCATCCACAGAAGAAGAAAAAGAGACATGAGTGGAGGTGGTAGTTCATGGTATGAGGATGTTTATCAGGTGATGGAGTAGGAGATTTGTTTGAAGTAAAGGGTATCATGAAGAAGGAACAGTACCACTCCATCCTCCAGCACCATGCTGCTCCATCTGGACTCAGACTTGTGGTTCATCAGTTTGTTTTGCAGTAAGACGATGACCCTAAGCACTCTGCCGAGCTCTGTCAGGGTTACCGAGACAAAAGAGAAGAGGAAGGTGTTCTTCAAAAGATGGTTTGGCCCCCTCAGTCTCCAGACCTTTCTCCAACTGAGCTTGTGCGGGATGAATCGGATCGATCGGTCAGAAAAACACGTCCCACGAATCAGCGTCTCTTTTTAATGAACTTAAGAAAGCTTGAATGTAATCCCTGGAACAGACCTTAGAAAAGTTGGTGAACGAATGCCTGGTATATGCCAAGCTGTTGTTAAAGCCAGAGGAGGTAACTTTAAAGAAAGTCTAACAACAAAAACTCAAATACCTCAGAATTACAGTCAGAATGTCTTCAGATCAGTTTCTCTTTACACTGTAGTCATGGTTACTGTGTTGAAAATTATATTTATGAAACTATGATCTTTTTTGGGAGAAATCTGAACTCGCTTCCAAACTTTGGGCAGGTAGTGTAGTCAGGATGAGGAGGAGATATTTGTTGGTTTTAGTTCTCTGTAAACAGTCTGCTGTCTGAGTCAAAAAGAGGAACGAAGAAAGGTCTGTTAAATTAGTCATCAGGATTTTAGCACGGACAGACAGACAGACCGTTAGACTGACAGATGTATTGACGGACAGATCGATAAACAGTCAGACAGGTCTTCACACACACACACACACACACACACACACACACACACACACACACACACACACACACACACACACACACACACACACACTCTCTCAGGTACCTAAAGCCAGGAAGGAGAAGACCCACTGCAGCGTGGCGGCGGTCTGCAGCCTCCTCCTCAGCGGGATGTTCAGCGGAGCGAATTCGATCTTCATCCCGGCGGTCGTGCTCCTCGGCCGGGCTTGGAGCGGTGCAGCCTCGGGGGTCTGCTCCGGGGTGTCGGGGGTCTCCTCCGCTCCTCTCTGTTCCTCACCTGTCTGTCTCCTCACCTGTCCTCGTGCGGACCCTCCTCTCAGTGGACTTTAGTGAAGTCTTCTGAAACTTTTCGGGACGAACTTTCCTCAAACTTTACAAACACGCGCCCCCTCCCCCCTGACTCCGCACATGCGCACTGCTCACTCCGTCCTGGGCGGAATCCTCTTGCCCAATCGGAGGTCATGACGAAACATGTCGGGAGCGAGCCTGGCGCGTTCGTGTTCTTGCCCACGAGGAGTTCATGTGAAAGTAAATAAAGTTTGAGAGGAGGGAAAAATGAAGATTAATGATTTTTAAAAAGGAACAGATCAAATTTTTATAAACTTTAACTCTTTCAAAAATATCTTCAGATTTTTACCTTTAAATTTACTGAATTTTGATCCCATGAGTCAAACTTTCAGACTTAAATATGAAGTTAAAACACTTTAAAAAGCTTCTTCTCCTCATTCCTGTTTGTTTGTTTCTCTTCTAAAAATAGTTTTAAAAGTTTTTTTAGCTCCTTACCTGCTCATGTCCCGTGATCTCGGTCAAGGTGTGGCTGGGCAGGTGTGTTCGTTGTCACGGCAACGGCCCTGAAAAATAAACAAAGCTCCACACTGAAACCAAAGTTAAAAGCATGTCGGGAGTTTTTAAGCTCTTTTAAAATCTGAGGTCAGAAACTCGTTTGTTTCAAGTAGTTTCAGGTTTTTGTTCCTCATCATGTGGTTCTGGAGACCTTAGTGGACCCAGCAGACCAGGTTCTGGAGACCTTAGTGGACCCAGCAGACCAGGTTCTGGAGGTCAGATGTTGCTCCTAAACCTGGAGATCTTGTTCAGCATTAATGGAACCTTCACAGATGACCTGGACTCTGGATTTGGACCAGGAGCTGAGAACCAGTCTGATGGACCCTTGATTCCAGGATTTCCACAAAGTCTGTCAGATTCAGATTAATCAGGTTTTCTTCATACCACTTTAGACTCGGGTCGTCAGGAGAAAAGTGGATCCGTCTGTTTTTATCAGGTCGTTTAAGTGTTTTTTTAATAAAGTTTAATAAAGTTGGGAATGAGAACTTTAAAGAATCTTCAGTGAAGAAGTGAACTCTTTTGTGAAGTTTATTAAAACGTCTTTAATAAATTCAGATTTGAGATAAAAGTGAAAAAACAGAAACTTTGAAGTGTTGAAATGTGATTTTATTAGAGCAGACAGAAAAACAAGAAAACACTCACAGAGTAACTTTAACATTACAGCTGACTGTGGTTACCATGGTAACAGCTGACTGATGTAACCATGGTTACAGTTTTTAAAAAATGCTTTAAAAAGGCGTGTGGGTCTAAGGAGAAAGTGGGAAACCCTCAGAGTTTGGGGTGTGACCCTTGAGGACTGCGCCGCCTGTTTCAACAGCCCCGTCAAAAGATAAATAAAAATAAAATGAAATAAAATAAAATAAAAATAATAATAATAATAATAATATAATAAAACATGAACGAAAAAAAAGTGAAAAACAAAAAACAAACAAACAAAAAAATACAAAATAACAAAAAGCATTGAAAAAACATGAAAAAAAAAATACAAAAAATTTAAAAAACAAAAAAACAAAAAATAAAATAAAATAAAAATAATAAAAACAAACAAACAAAAAAAAAACGAACTCGGCCTGATTTTTCTTTATTGATTGATCAGGTTGAGTTTTCTCTTTTAAACGGTTTCAAACAGCGTCAAACTGACTGCTGAGAAACTTCACCAACAGGTCACCTTCAGTCTGAACAGACCAGGTCTGAGGGTCAACTGGACTACAACACCTGTCCAGGTACGGGTCAGACTCTGCTGGAGCCGCGGTACCTCGGTACCTGACCTTAGGGAACTTTAAAGTTCCTCTTAAAGTCTTTAAAAACATCAGAGATCCCACAGTCAAGAAGAGGAAGTAAAACTAACAGGAAGTGATGTCATAGCATGTTATTCTGTTACACAACTTAAACTGGGCTGCTGTTCAGGACAAATGATTGACAGGGAGATAATCAGAGATAGACCTAAAGACATGGACTAAGTGTGACCTACATCTGCTCTACACCTGGACTTCCACTGTATTAACCTGCACTAACCCTGTACAACAACGTGACCACACCTGTCCCACACCTGTGTCAGGTTCTAGAAAGTTCTCTACCAAGAGGACGGTTGGAGTTAATTTTGGGTTTCCTGAAGACCAAAACAGGGACACACTAGATGAACACCTGGACCGTAGTCCTGCAGCCACAATCGGCGGGGTTCTGGAGATCTGGGTCAGGTCGCATAATTAATCTGGACCCTGAGAGTCTCTTAGACTGGATCAAACTAGAAACCACTTCAGTTACAGTGGATCGAGACCTGCGTAGGGAACACAAGTGCATCACAGTGTGGGAGGGGCTTGTCATGAAGTAGGAGCGGCTTAGCGTGTGTCGAGAGAGTCTTGTTACCTTTGAGTTTGTTGTAACAGGGCCGTCTGCAGGACAGCAGGGTCAGAACCGATCCAAACAGCAGCACAGCGAACACCAAGATGACCCTGAAAGACAGGAAGAGAGTTCGTCGATACCGGAGAAGGTTACAAAAAGGTATCTCAGAGTTTCCGCCGTGAGGAACGTGGCGAGGACGTGGAAGGCTACAGGCGCCGATCTTGTTAAGGTCAGAAGTGGCATTCCAAGAAAAATATCAGAGAGGCAAAGGATGGTGGGAAAGGTCAAGAACAACCCACAGACCACCTCCAAAGACCTACAAGATCATCTCGGAGCAGATGGTGTCGCTGTGCGTCGATCAACGATTCAGCGCACTTCGCCTTTTCTGAGCCAACGCCACGAACAGAGTCACCTGAGGTACGGGAAAGTGGTGGACTGATGAAACCGAACTTGAGTTATTTTGGCAGAACAAGCGGCGTTATGGATGGTGGCGAAAGAACACGGCATTCCTAGAAAAACACTTGCTACCCACTGTTGCTGTGGGGCTGTGGGACCAGTGCCGGAACTGGGAATCTTGTTAAGTTGAGGGTGGCATAGATTCCACTTAATATCAGCAAATTCTTGAGAATAATGTTCAAGGATCCGTCACAAAGTTGACACAGAGGAACAAGTACAATGTTCTGGAACGGCCATCCCAGTCCCCAGACTTGATTATTCCACTGAGCAATAGACGGACATTAGACATCTAAGTTTTTTTAGACCTAATTTCAACGTCTAGATTCTGTATATTTTTGGACAGAATTCAGACGTTGCACTTTAACCTGTTATTTAATAACTATTTGAGTTTCATAAGTGATCTCCAAGTACTTCACCAGAATAATTTTGAGCAGTATACAGGTAGACCTCTGTGAGCCGGCTAGTCTAAATTTGGTCTAGATCTAGATGTCTAAATAATTTTCATTTTTAGACCTGTGCCTGATTTTAGACCAGTCGTCTAGACGACATTTAGACGTCTTTAAGACCCAAAACTGCTCAGTGGGATCATTGAAAATCTGTGGGACGATTTGAAGCGGGTTGTCCTCGTTCGGAAACCATCAAACTTAACCGAACTGTCGATGTATTCTAGAGGAACGGTCCAAAATACCTTCATCCAGAATCCAGAGACTCATTAGAGGCTGTAGGAACCATCGAGTCGCTGTTACTTTTGCAAACGGAGGCTCTACTTAAATCAGGAAGGTTGTTTGTTCGAGTAACAGCGCCATCTATCAGACTAAAGATGAGTACAGCTGCTTACCCTGTAGTGATGATGAGCGCTCTGTTTCGTTCCATCTCAGGAGTAGGGTCTAAGGTGGAGGTGGAGGGGAGGGTGGAGGTGAAGGTGGGTACGTTTGCAGTTTCTGTAGGTTCCTGTGACGGTAGGACTTCATCGGCTCTTTTCTTTCCACAGACCGAGTCGGCAGATGCCGAACATTTGACCAAAGTTTCTAAACCAGCAGCTAAAGGAAAAGAAGTCGATAATCAGACACTGAGAACTTTTCACATCAGGACCAATGAGGTTCTGATTCCACCATCATGAACAGGTGTGCTTACCTGAGCAGTCTGTGCAACGAACACATCGAGCTTTAGCTGCTGCCCCCTGAGAGCGTGTAGAGGTCCACTTTACGAAGTACCCTGCACACACACACACACACACACACACACACACACACACACACACACACACACACACACACACACACACACACACACACACACACACACGTGCACAGTCAGACCCAGACTGACAGACATCACTTCCTGTCCAACCTTTATTAGTACTGTTATTAGAAATCAATTTGAGGTCTTTTGGTCACATGACAGTGAATCTATTGAAGGAAAACAGCCTTTTCTGAGAACATCAACCGGTAATTTATAGACGGTCCCTTATTCAACGTTGACATCTAGTTTTAGTTGCAAATGCGAGTGAAACGGTCGCACTGTCAGTTACCTGGAGTACAGCCCATACAGTTGACCGTCGGAGCAGCTTCAGAATGGAGGGTCGTGGTCATCAGCAGCAGCAGACACACCGCGCTCACCTGGACAAACACGGACAGGTGTCAACAGGTGAAGTGGTCTGATGTGGGTCACACTCAGACCTGAGTCCCGGCAGCTAAGTCTGCGGCTGTTAAACTGTTTGGAACTTGTTCCTGTTTCCCAGCAACAGCTTTTTCACTGATCTCTGAGTAACCTGTTACCTGCATACCTGAGGAAGCCCCGCCCCTTCACACACACACCTGTCTGCAGAAAAAGACACCATAACGGAGCTACACTTGGGCTTTCCTCACCTGGAATAAAGACCATGAAGACATTAGACCCCTGTTTCGCCCTCTTCTAGAAGAACACCTGGAACCCCTGTAGACCTAGATGGGACTAAAACCTGCACTGACCCCTTTTAGTCCTGGACCACACCAATACCTGAACCCAGTTAAACCCAGACAAGACTAAAAGAGCACCTGCACTGACCCCTTTTAGACCGGACCCTGACTAACACCTGAACCAAAAGCCTCAAAATCTGGTCCATCAGAGTCCAGCACACCTAGTCTATGCAGTTGAAAGTTCTGGAGAGCAGCTGCACTCACCCAAAGTACGTCCATGTTGTCCTCTCAGTCTCACAGATCCAGCTGATCCAGATCTCAACCTGCCATGGTCTTTTACCCCCATCAAGCCCCTCCCACAGGAAAGGAGCGGCTCCTCCGCTCTCCTCCCCCCGTCAGTTTAGTCCTGCCCCCGACTTCATCAGAACCGGCATCGAACACACCCTCTCAGATTTAGCTGGTGTTACTCTGTGAAGGTGTGGCTGCGCCAGAACCTGGACCAGAAACCAGGACCGGGACAACTATCAGGATTGGGACCAAGTCTAGGACTAAGTCTTGAGGACTGTGAGCGCATGAATCAAAGGGCTCATGTACTTTTACGGCCCCTGAAACTCGTCTCGCCGTCCTTTCACTTCGTTGTTTGTGTTGTGCAGGTAGGTGTTGCCGGTTTCCAAGGCAACAAGATAATAGAAAGTGATACCAGTCAGCAGGAGTGGTGAGTGCATGAGCAGGACTGTAAAAAAACAAACCTTGGGTCGTTGTTGACGGATGGGATTTAAAGAGGTCGTTAAAATAAAACAGGCTGAGAGTTTAACGCAAAAGACGAATCAAACCGACTCTGACGAATAATGACGAAACCTGACCGACACTTTTGTGAGCTGACTAATAATAATGATGACACTGAAAGATAAACAGATTAACTGACTAATAATGATACTAACAGGTAATACTCACAGACTGAATATATATCACGGACGTCTTGGTTCCGCCTTCCGTCAGTTTACAGATTTGAAGCTGAAAAGTTCTCAGTAATTCTGCATTTTTTTCTCCATTTCCTGAAACCAACATTGCGCAGGAGCGTTGTGCGCATTCTGGCTGTCTTCGTCCACGTCTCACAGGCGTAGGTCGCTGTAGGGATGACCACTGACATAAAGAGGCGTAGCCAGATGTTCCGGAGTCGTTGGAAGACTCCTGCAGCTTTGCCACTTCTGGTCTGTACGTCTTTCTCCACATCTCCAGTATTTGAGATGTTGCTTCTGAGGTATCTGAAGTTCTCGACGTACTCTGTGTCTTTGTCGCCTACAACAGGGGTGGGCAATCAGGTGATTTCACTGATTAGTCCCTGCTCTCTGCTTGGAGGTAATCAGTGAAATCACCTGGTGGAGTTTTGGGTTGGAAAGAAAACCTGCAGCCTCTCAGCTCTCCGTGGCACATGATTGCCCACCCCTGGCCTACAAGTTGGATGTCTTCCATCGACGGTGCCTCAGATCCATCCTCAAGATCTCATGGAGAGACCACATCACCGATGAAGAGGTGATGAGAAGGGCAGGTGTAGCACCCTTGTCTGACTTTGTCTCTGACAAGAGACAGGGAAAGACCGGACATGGACTCTGACCGCCAAGAGAGAGACCGGCAAGTGTGGCAAAGAGGACATGGAGACAAACAGCCGAGGAAGACCTGAGCAAGATGGGAGTCAGCTGGCATGGAGCAAGAAGGGTCGCTAGGGACCGGAGCGAATGGAGGGGACTCATCGCCCAATGGTCCAATAGGAACAGGAGGAACTAAGTCTAAGTAAGTCGTACGCATTCAACAGGAGAGTCTCTGTGATGACGCTCGGCTCAAACAGCGTATCCCCCTGGTGATCTACTCAATCTCTGTCCTCCCATTGGCTGTATCAGGTGTCAATCATAGAAAACATGAACCCCCTAATAACTTTTAAAAATGGAGCTGTACAGAAAAAAGAGGACTTGAGCACAAACCAGTCTGACAGTAACTACATGTCAACATCACAACCAGGGGGGAGAAACATTTATATTCTGTGTCATTCATTTATAAAGTTTGTCCACAGCTCCATAAGGAGGCGGGGTTTAGGACCTATACTGCAGCCCATCACCAGAGGGCGCTGTTCTCAGAGAGAGGAGGCAGACGACGTCTATTCTAGATACAGTCTATGGTAATACTGAACATAACACCGAAAGATACTCATTTTAACTGATACGAACGCTAACTTACTAATAATGATGCTAATCAATCTAACTTTATTTATACAGCACTTTAAATACATAGAATGAAGCTCAAGTCGGATACATCTCCCAATCATCTCTGAGTCTCCTTCACCTCGTCCAAAATGCTGCTGCTCATCTTTTAACCAACACTAACAGACGTGAGAACATCACTCCTGTCCTCAGCTCTCTTCATCGTCTTCTCGTCTCTGATAGGACTGATTTTAAACTTTGAATGTTTGTTTTTAAAGCCTCGCCTCCATCTGTTTAAATGAGCTTTTAACAGTTCAGGAGCTCTGAGGTCGTCAAACCAACTTCTGCTGGAGGTCAAAACACAAACACTGGGGTGACCGAGACGTTTCAGTCGCTGGTCCGAGGCTCTGGAATAAACTCTGACCTGGACCTTTTTAAATCTCGATTAAAAACTGATTTATTTATGCTGGCTTTTAATACTCAGTAGGGTGGTGACACTTTATTTTATTGTATTTTTATTCTTTTTTTATTACTTTTATTTTTATTTATTCGTTTTTATTTTGGTTCATTAAAAGGGTTGTTGTAAAGGGATGTACAAATAAAGAACATTTACATCAAATAAAGTAAAATCAATACAAACACAGAACCCCACCCTCCAACGCCTATCCAACACACACAGCACTCACATACTCACACACCCAGATGCGCACACACACAAAAGACCAGGTGAGGACTGTCACAGATGACTGAAGATGCTATCTCAAGGTAGCATCTTCAGCTTACTTGCAAAACTGCACGTAACACTGACTGATACTAACTTTAACTGACTGATACTGATGCTTTATTTTTAACCTACTGAAACTGACACTGTTCAGTAAATTTGTATGAAATATTCCCGATGAAATCGTGTTCCTTTTCTGTCACTGGTCAAGATTTAGGACATAGATAAAAAAAAAACAGAGAAACCTCTTTCAAAGAGTTTACAGAATTAAGGAAGGACTTACCAAACAGTCTGAGGTGTAAAACTGGAGAAGGAGGATTCCAGCAGCTTTTCCAGCGTTGACATCTGTTGAAAACGTCTTGATTTGGATTCATTCTTGAACCAAACCAGTCATGGAATCAGGATCCGATCCACTTTATTGATATAAAGTGCTGCACAGTAGAATTTAAAGATCTACCTATCTTTGATGTGTGAAAAATAACTGTACTGTATCGGTCAAGAGTGGATTGACTGGCCAGGTTACAATGAGAGCGCCCCCTGCTGGATCATACAGCTCACTTCAATAGGTGACCTGATGCTGTAGAAGACTGTATCATAATCATTTCCAACAGCTCACTACAGTTTAAATATGAACTTACATAAGAGGTAGACAATGACAGCCCTTTAATGTTTTAGACTTTAACTGTCATTACTTTCTTTACAAAAATAAAAAATAAAAAATGTATTTCCTAATTTTGGAAAATTTAATCTCACTGATACTTACTTTCCCATTTGAAGTTTGGGAACTAAAGTTCTTGATGTTCGGTGACACAAGACTTATGTCTTTGTTTGCAAATGCATACCACTAAAACTTTAAATCAATTACAAAAGAAATACAAATGATAAAATATAAAATAGTGGGGGTAACATGTTTTATAAATTTAAATGTGTTAAAAGTTACATATACATATCAATGACATATCAATATCAATATATAATATATTTGTGTGTATATATGTATATACTGTTTATGTTTGTATATATGTATATATATATATATATATATATATATATATATATATATATATACATATATGTTCCGGAGTTTAACACTACAAACAGAAAAGCACATTCTTTTCAGAGTTTTTATGGACAACCGCTTAAATGTAATTTATTTGGTCCAAACTGACCGGATAAGTTCGTGTGAATATCCTCGCTGTTCTCCGCCGAAACAGCAGGTGGCGGTAAAGAGTGTTACGGTTTCCTGTCGCTGCCACAGAACAATCCGCAGAAGAAGAAGAGGAGGCGGAGGCTGCTGTCAGTGAAGTGAGAATCTAGTCTCAGTGTTAATTTTCCTCCTGAATCTGTTTTTTTAGTATCTGTAAACAGTTAATAACCCTCTGTTTCTGTTTTAAAGTAAAGGACGTGTTTCTGTCTAAGTTAGCCTCTGTGATGCTAACGCTGACGGTCCTGCAGTTAGCCTCTCCCGCTAGCTCTGAAGGTAAATATGCGTCCATTATCGGACACGCCCTCTGTCTGTCTGTGAGGTTTATTATTATTATTATTATTATTATTTATATATTTACACTTTAATCAACATACTCAGCCTCTTTTTAATGGATCTTCACATTAACAGTCTTTTAGACATGTTAACAGCTTTGTTATTGTGATTATTATGTCCGCTCATTTCTCGGTCCGGGTCAGATCTGAACCCAGAGAAGACCCAGGTCTGTGACCCGGTTCCGAGATGAACAGAATCGGGTCTAAAGCGGAGGTCAGGGTGCTGCAGCTGTACTGAGTGTTTCCTCTGTAAACTAACAGAACAGGAATGAAGGTTTGATCAGGATCAGGTCTGTAAAAGATTCAGTTTCAGGTGTTTTTTTTTAATAAGAAGATACTGATACCAGGTCTCTACCAGACAAACTTCTTTACCACAGAGGGTCAGGACCATATTAAGAAGAAAAAAATAAAGACTTTGTAAATTCTTACAAGAATTAGGTCAAAATAAAGATATTACTTAAGGGAATAAAGTCGAAATAAAATCATTACGAGAATAAAGTTGTAATAAAGTAATTAATCACAGGAATAAAGTCGTAATAAAATTGTTACGAAAATAAAGTCGTAATAGAATTATTACTCACAAAAATAGTTTTATTACGACTTCATTCGCATAAGTAATGACTATCCTACGACTTTATTCTTGTAGGAAATGATTTTATTACGATTTTGTTCTCATAAATAATTACGAAGTCTTTCTTCTTACTGTGGCGCTAATATTCCGTCGTAATTCTAGCAAGTAATGATTTTATTACGACTGAATTCTTGTTTGTAATGTTTTTCCTATGACATTATTCTCATTAGAAATGTTTTTTTTCAAATTTATTCTCTTTAGAAATTATTTTATTACGACTTTATTCTCATAAAAATGATTTAAATACAACTGTATTCTTATAAGAAATGATTTTATTACGATTTTATTCTTCTAAGTAATTATGAAGTCCTTAATTTTTTTTCTTCTTCATGTAACCCTACCACTCCATCGTAATTCTCACAAGAAATTATTTTATTTTAACTTAATTCTTGTAAGTAATTACAAAGTCTTAATCTTTTAGTCTTCTTAATGTGGTCCTTATACTACGTCGTAATTCTCGTGAGTAATGATTTTATTATGACTTTTTTCTAGTTAGTTACGACTTTATTCTCGAAGTCTTAATTTCTTTGTTTCTTAATCTGGCCCTAACGCTCCATCGTAGATGTGAACCTGAGACAGTGGGAAATAAAACGTCTTCTAATCTGAACTGTAGCAGGAGAAAAAAGGTCGCCCCAAAGCCAACGCCTCCTGCATGCCTGTCATCCTTTGGGCTCTGCTCATTGTCCCGGATAAATACGGCGAAAATGGCGGACACTGGCGTTATTGTTGAGGACGAATAGAGAGATCGTTTTAAAAGTGAAGATGTTTCGGTTCGTTTTCATTCTGGTTTCACAGTGTCAAGAAAAGAGGAAATAAACCCAAAACCTCTCTCGAAACCGCCAGACTGCAGGATACGAGAAACACGTGAAGTTACTCGGCAATTTATCAGGAAACATGTCGAGAAAAGTATCCTGGACAGGTCATGTGACTCTAAACAAAGTGTTTACAGTCTCCATGACAGAGTGAACGCTCCAAAAACACGATCGATCGTCCTCTGAATGACGACCAAAGACTCTCAAACATTTTCTGTGGTCGCCAACGGACGATTTAGAAGGTTCGTAAAGACGCTGGAGCCGAAGTCTAAACTCTATCATGGCCGTACTTTAGCCAAAGACTATCAGCAGCTCTCTACACAGAAGTTACCAGGGTCCGACACGGGTCCTGAAAAACCAGCATCTGTTGACCCCTGATATTACCCAGAGCCTCCAGCAGCTGACGGAGACGTGTTTTTATAATCTCATCTCTTCTTTTGTCCTTTTTTCAACAGTGTGATAGTTGGTGTGGACTTATCTTAGTCACGACCTTCACCTGCACTTCTGTTTGTCACCAGGTCCTCCTCTGCTGTGGAGACACAATCATTGAGGTTGCCATGGCGAACAACAAACCAGATACCTTGGACCAAACGTTCTCTGCTGATAAAGATGCAACCAAACCTACCGGGCGAAGGTCGCGCCGCAGAGCCACCTCCACTATCGTCAGGAGAAGTCAGAAGAGGAAGAGACGTGGGCCGATAGAGAAGAGGCGTGGCCTGAATGAAAAGAGGCGGAGTCAAGAGGAAAAGAAGGAGGGTGTGACAGTTAAGAGGACTTGGAACGATGGGAAGCGGCGGTGGGATAAAAAACATTACTGCGTGTTCTGTCGGAGGCCACAGGTGAAAATCGCTCGCCACCTGCTCAGGAAACACGCCGACCAACAGGAAGTGCTGGCAGCCAGTGTGCTGCCCACTGGCTCCAAACAACGCCACCTGCTGCTGGAACACCTGCGCTGCAGGGGCAACTACATGCACAACATTGAGGTTTGTTTACCTGTCTGAATGTCAGTCACGCTCAGATCCAGTTTACAGCAAAAGCTTCCCCATGGTCCGTCAGATATGAAGCTGTCGGCAGCTACTAATACAGTAATCAAACAGAACCCCACCACAGAACCAGACCCATTAGAACTGATCTGGACTGGAACAAACAGACGCTCCTGCTCGCTCGTATCGTTCCAGTTAAATTCAGATATAATGCAGATCAATACTTCAGATCATTACAAATGGGGCCCAGTCAAGGTGAAAGTCAAAAGCATTGGTGCTACTGTAGATGCCAACAGACTACCAGCAAACACAATGTTTGCAGGACTTCTACAACGAGGATAAAGTGACATAGTCCAGGACCCGAGGGAGGACAGTTTAGCGATGGCGCTACAACACGCTACAGCAGGTCCGTTTGACAAGAAACACTTCTGTTACAGACACTTGTCTTACTTTGTTAAAGCGGTTTACCTGTCCAGCAGAAAGGTTACAGGGTCACCAAGATCCCCAAGCGTCCCCCATGGTTTATGTTGACCCGGCTTTTTAGCTCTTGTCCGGTCTACCTCCGTTTTAAGCGCCCGTTATTCCTCCAGAGTCTCCGGTATTTACTTTGTTTTCTTGCTTGTGTCGGCAGTCGTGGCCAAAGGAGGATTCAGACAATTTTCCGAACTTTCTGGTTGGTTTCTACTGTCCGATATTGTAGCACGCTAACTTTGTTTGGGCTCCTGAACGACACGGGGGAGCAGCGTCTGCCTCACGACCAATCAGGTCAGATGCTTCTCTAACTGATTCCTGCCTACCCCACCTTTAAGTAGACCTTTAAAAGTGAAGCAGGTATTTCCTCCTGAATTCGTAGGAGCGGCGCCTGATAACTGAAGGTTCTGCCTCCCGTACTGCTCTGAACCTTTAGGAACCAGGATGAGGCCTAAGTCTGTTAGCCTTTCCTTTAACTGTTGATGCCTGTCCGTCTCCTCTCAGGTCATCAGACAGGGCAGCGGAGAGATCGTCCCGTGGCGTCAGCCCTCAGAGGAAGTCGATGCGAGGAACTACCTGCCCTGTCCCCTCTGCCTCGGGTTCTTCCTTCGAGCTGATCTCTGGAAACATCAGGCGTCCTGTAGAAAAAAAATGAGCTCTGACCCTTCCAGAGACTCCGCCCCCTCAGGTGAAAAGACCTCTGACCCCTCTGGAGACTCTGCCTTTTTAGCAGCTCGGCCCACTGACCCCTCAGAGGACAGAATATGTGACTCCACAGGCGAGGAGGCGGCCTGTGACCAGGAGGAAGTCAGGATCTCCGAGTCCACTGAGGATACACCCTCTGACCCCTCAGCTGAACAGAACAATGGACCTAAGGCCTCCAACACCACTGTGCATCAGAACCTGTCCTCTGATTCCGGGGCAGACCCACCCAGGAAGCGTAGCAGGGTCCAGGCTGCAGCGTCCCGCCTCCTTCCTATCTCCAGCGGAGCCTCTGAGAGCTGCAGTGAAGTCCTTCACCGCATGAACCAGGACCATGTATCACACCAGGTGAGTCCTCCCCCATCACTGCTGTTTAGATTTTGACTTTCATACCAAGTTCAGTTTCAGGATACATGATACTGAAATGATACCAGGAACTGATGTGAGACAGATTTGATCCTTGGACCAGGGAAAGGAGGACTGTGGCCTCTGTACATGGGGGGTCTGCTGTACCAACTGAGCCAAACTGGCTTCCCTTACAAGCGTCATGTTAATGTACTGTGTAAAAGACTCAAGCTGTATAAACAGAAATGACTGACAGGCACATGTCCCCCTGTTTTCCTTGTCTGATACTGCCCCCATGTGGAGGTAGAGGTAATAACATGTCATCCTCTCTGGTTATTCTTCAGCCTCTTACATCAAAACTACATTTGACAAACAAAGAAATTCTGATACCAAACCCTCCAGAGAGAAAAGTATAAAAAAGTTCAGAGTCCCACCTACCTGTATCCGTGTCTCACACCTGTCCACCTGCTCTGTTTCAGGTCAAGTCCGATTGGTTAATTTGTAAATATGGAAATAAGCTGATGGGGAACCAAGATGGGGGTCAGAGGAGGTACGACTACGTCAGTCAGAAGCTGAGGGAGCTCGGCAGGTTCCTACTGGCCGCCAAATCTCTAGATCCAGCTGTTCAGACCCTCCAGGACCTCCTGGCCCCGGGTCACCTCAGCCTGGCTCTATCCGCAGCGAGGAAGGCGTCTGGGTACAGGTGGAGCCGTCCTCCTTTGGCGGTGAAAACCACCCTGAAAACCGTCTGTGAGATCGCCATTGGCGAGAGTCTGCAGGATGGAGACTGGGAGGCTGCAGCCAAGACCACGGACTTCTACCACCTGCTGGGGAGGGAATGGGACAAGCTGGGCCTGCAAGACCCCGACACAGGTAAGACCAGACCCATACCTGTCTTTGAGGGGTTCAGGTCTGCTGATCAATGACGTTATATGTTTTTAATTCATGAAAAATGTTGTACTCTGTTCTTACCTGCTGTTCCAGGGGGAGGAGCTAAGACAAAGAAACAATACGTCCAATCAGGAGGTGAGAAAGAGAGCAAAGAGCCTGAGAGTAAGTCCTGACCTTTGACCTCAACCCAAAATTGATCCCCCCTTTAACTGACTCCTTACCCTAACCCACTCTTGCTACCTGATCCGTCCTGGAAACCCGATTCGTACGGCGCATGTGCGAAACGTATGTCACTTCCTCTCTTCATGTGCAGATTTACTTCACATCGAAAACTTGATTTAAACTACCGATCAATATCAGAAACCAGCGATGTGACGGGCTAGCTAGCAGGATCCTTCTCAATTTTGACCGGAGGGACCCGGTCAAAATTATGGCCGGGTGCCGGCGCTCCCTGTGGCCTAAAAGGTCTCACTGTGCTGGGCAGGAACTCTTGACTTTCCGACGCTCTGCTTCAGTCGGTCCTTTCTGACTGAAGCGAGCTCGCTGATGCTGAAGCCGTCGCAAAGATGGCTAGTAGAGGAAGTGAGGTTCGTTTCGCACATGTGCAGTACAAATCGGTTTTCCAGGACGGATCAGGTAGCGACACCCCCCACACTGACCCGCCACCTTTAATCTAAACCAAAGCCTAACCCCCTGAATCTTGATCTTTGCACAATGACCGCCTCTCTTAACTTCCTGTAGTTCCACCACAAAGCAGACTAGAAGGTTCTGTGATGCCCCCAGAGTCCAGGCAGCAGATCCCCCTTACCGGTGAGTTGATCTGGATCTAGCTGGTTCTGTGTAACAGTCCATCAAAGACCCGGTCTGATCCGGGACTCACCTGAACCTCCTGCCCTCTTGTCTGCAGCTCTTTCACTTCCTGCTCCGAGGAAGGTCAGACGTCGGCCGTGGTCTTCTGCGGAGAAGGAAGCGGTCTGGAGGCAGCTGGGGGTCCACGTCCTGGTCCAGTCTGTGCCAGGGAAGGAGGTCTGTCAACGCTGTTTAGACCTAGAACCGGTTCTCAGAGGACGACACTGGAAAGACATCAAGAACCAGGTCCACAATCAAATCCAGAGCCAGAAGAAGCAGCAGTTTCATGCCCAGATGGACCTCCATGAAGACCAGGACCAACAAGACCAAAACCAGAGGAAACAGCTGCAGTACCTGACCCAGATGGACACACAAGACAAGGACCAGAACCATAAGAAACACCAGCAGTACCCAATGGACCAGCATGACCAGGACAGCATTCAGACTAAGAAGAAACCACAGTACCAGGTCCATTTAGACCAACAAGACCCAGGTAACACCCAGAACCATAAAAAACTGCAGTTCCTTACCCAGCTGGACCCCCAGGACCACCTGCAAAACCTCAAAAAGCAGCTGTGCCATACAAGACTGGACCACCAAGACCACCTCCAGATCCATAAGAAACAGATGTTCCAACTGGACCAGCAGACCCAGGAACTGCAGGCAAACCTGGACCAGAACTCTCCCTTACTTACAGGAACATCTTTTGGACCTGATGGGCCACATCGGGCACCTGGACAGACCCTTCTGGAGCGAGACCCCACTATCAACCCGTACCCTCTTCCACATAGAACCCTGGGGCCTCATATGGACCAGCTACTAACCAGAACAGAGTGGACTGACCCAGCTTTGGTCCAGCACTACAGGAGTCTGGAACCAGGAGGACCAGCAGATCCTCACTCTGGGCATGTCCACTTTTGAAGGACAGACTCCCCCCAGTGGACTGGAGGACTAATGACGATACATCGGACACAACAGTTGATGTTTCACACGATCTTTGACTACCTGTACAAATTAAAGCGCACCTTTTTACCCTCCAGGCTCCAAAGAACTTGGTACCTGAGCTGTTTGGTTTCATGACTCCGACCCAAAAATGTCTTACAATTTGTTAAAAAGTTAATAAAAACAGGAAGTATCCAAACTGCGAATATTTGATTAAAAAAAAGCTTGGGCCCTTTTTTTATCTGCACGTAATTGTATGTTTTAAAATGTGACATTCAGGGCAGATATTAATGTAGTTCTGGACGGCATGGCGGTGCAGAGGTCGGCACTGTTGCCTCACAGAATGAAGGTTGTTTAAGCACGACTTAAACAACAATCAGAGATTTCTAAACTTGTCAGTCTCTCATCGTTCAGGCTGCAGATGCTACAATCTAAGATTATAATTTAGGTCACTGTTGTTATTCTGAATGATGAAAATCTCAGTATAGAATATTTAAAATGTTCTCACAAACACCAGCGCTGCTCCCAAAGGGTCTGACATGCCATCACTGGACCACTTCTGAAGCATCCAGTCTGGTCCAGTTTGTGGTTCTCCCTGTCACCAGTAGATGGCGGCACTCACATGATGTGAGTCAACATGCTTTTTACAGGAATATCTCTTCATATTTATATCCTGGAGTCCATTTTCCTTTTTTTTTTAATGTCCTCATTGATCATAAGACCAGAACCTGGGCTGGTTCTGTATCACTGCTGCAGGTTCCAGGTCTGTGAGCCCGTTAGGATATGAAACACAAGTATCTATCTATCTATCTAACTATCTATCTATCTATCTATCTATCTATCTATCTATCTATCTATCTATCTATCTAGTTAGTATCTGTTACAGACATGAGACCTTCAGTTTTAACCTAAATGAACTGTTTCATCTTTAAAGCGTGTAACATCACCTGTGACAGCTGGACAGGTAAGGTGCCGCAGAGGTGCATTGTGGGACAGCAGAGGTGCTTGTTTTGGTCTGCAGGCCTCAGACTGGTTTGAGTCAGAAGCAGGTCTTCTTCCATCAGGACTCCAGGTAGCTGAAAGGGTCCGGCTCAGAAAGACACTGTGAGCATGTGGGTACAAAATTTACCTGAAAGTTTATGTATCAATACAGCTCCAAATATTCACCTGTAAATGTAGAAATCAGGATTTATAAACTATGGCATGTTGAATTCTCATTATTTGAAGTAGACATGCAGGAATTCTTGGGAGTGATCTTGACTCTTGGATTCATTTGTCAAATAAACGCTGCACCAGTGTGGTCTGCAACCATGACTTAGACTTGGGGGGCAGCTTCACAGTGGGTCATGAAGTTCATGTGGGATAGTGGCGATCGCTCACCGACGTCCAAGGATTCCTTGTTAATGCAACAGCATCTGCACTTCACAGGAGTCCCTGTTTGGTTTCGTTCTCTGTTTTCACTGGAGAAAATTATAGTTTCCAATAACAGAAAATCACAAAGCTGGTCTAAACATGCTCACCTGAGGACTTCTTCTGACCCTGGCTGTGATGGTCCCCTCTACAGAAACACTCTGACATCAGTCTGCTGAGCTGCACCTTCAAAATATTTACAAAAACTCAGTTACTAACTCAGAGAGGTTTTTTGGTGTTCTTTAGGTTCACGTGGACACAGACTGCGATTAAAGTTTCTTTTTTTTTTTTTACAAACCTTTATTTCAATTCTTTGCAAATGACATATACATATTATTGAACATGGGGTAGCTACATTCATTTGAGTTGAATTAAGACTTTGCAGGGAAAAAAAGGAAAAGAAAAGAAAAAACAAGAAACCATTGTCCGGATTGTTTAAATCACTTTCTTATTGATTAGTCCAGTTAGTGTTTTAAAGTATATCTTCATTTCATTTTTAAACTGGTGGATATTTGGTTTCTTTTTAGACCATTTACATTTATGTTTATAAAATCTTTTATACAAAGTCAAAAGGTTTCACAAGAAAATATGACTTTGGTCCATGTTCTTTTTTTTCAAAATAAAAAATAATATAACTCTTTTGCAGGTTTATCTTACATCCAGACAACGATTCAAATACATTTTAACCTCAATCCAGAAAAAAAAAATCATTTTCAGGGTTACAAAATACACAAGAGTCTCAGATATCTGTTTGATATTTTTTGGGAAAGTGGTAATTTGGATAGATTAAGTGAATCCTTTTGAAATAAAACTCGGTTATTTTATTGTTGATCAAATATTTTTTGTAGTAAATCCATCAAATAATTCCATCAAAAAGACCATTAGAGAATGAGAAACACTGCAAGATATGTCTAAACAGTTCATTATTACATTTATCTTTGACATTGATTCCGTTCAGCAGGATATCAGTCTTCAACAGTGGTTGTTTGTTGAACACACTGCTGCCTTGTAATAATTATTAGAAACAAGCTGGTATTTCATCAAAATACAACATTCTCGTGCAGGTGTTGGAATACCTAAGGTCTTTAAAAAATGATGTGTATTAAAATAATTGACCATTCTCACTGAGCAAGAGTGAAACAAAGAGAATCTTGTGTCTAACTCACTTCTCAAAAATATTGATTTGTTTTTAAATCACCTTCTTCTTCTGATTCCAGCTGATCCACTCCACAGAAACACTCTGACACCAGTCTGCTTTCAATCAAAATCATCAATTATTAATTATTTATTCAGTTATTGATTCAGAGATGTTATTTTGGTGTTCTTTAGGGTCACGTGGACACAGACCGCGATTAAAGGTTATTATTTTTTGGGTGGCGTGAGAAACACGTGAGTGACGTCACCGTGTATGCTGACATCACACAGCCCGCAGGGGGCGGGGTCTGCTGTGATGTAGCCCCTCTGTGATTGGCGGTGTAGGGGAGCATGTGTGATGTCATCTGTGCTGGGGGGGAGGAGGTTTACCGCAGTGTCTCCATCCTGTCTCCCCCCTCTCTCCCTCTCTCTCTCTCTGCCTCTGTCTGTCTGTCTCTCTCTCTCTCTGTCTCATCCCACCGATCGGTACCGATCACCGGATCGATTCACCGGCTCTCACCCTCCGGGTCCGACATCACAGCCGCAGAGGAGGCGAGAGGCTCGTGCCGTATTCGCGGGAGAGCATCGCGCGCAGTCTGAGCCCCACAGAGCGACCTCCATCTTCATCCTCTCCATCCTCATCTTCATCATGTCCGCCGCCAAGGAGGAGGAACGCAAAGGCTCGAGCGAATGGCGGGAATTCTTCTGGAACCCGAGGACTCATGAGCTGATGGGCCGAACCGCCTCGAGCTGGGGTGAGTCCGGATCGGTCCGCTACTCAATGTCACTCTACCACTCTCTCTCCTTCACCTCCAGTGACTGTCTGTGTCTCTCTGTCTCTCTCTCTCTGTCTGTCTGAGTAATCCTGGCTTTAGTTCAGGTTAATGTCTCCCTCTGTATTAATCATAGATGATCATCGATGTCACAGAAGAGAGACAGATTCGGATTTCATTTGATAAATTCATTCTAATAATAGAACCACACACACACACACACACACACACACACACACACACACACACACACACACACACACACACACACACACACAGAGCCACATAATACCTGGAAATAACCAGGTTAACCAGCTCAAACAGAGACGCAGGTGTTGCAGGTTGCCAATCTTGCCCCTGGTTCCACCCACATGTCAGGTGTTCGGGGTTTCCTTCCAGGTTGACTGTGTTGCGTTGTCAGAGTTGCTCATATTGTCAGTGTCTCGACAGTTACCTGTGTCCCCAGAGTGTTGCTGTGTCTTTAGAGGATGGTCTGTGTCTCCAGAGGGTTCTTCTCAGAGTTGCTCTTATGCTGTGTTCGAGTTACCTCGGAAGTCAGAAGTCCGAGCTGAAAATAACGTCACACCTGAGTTGCCAGTGTTTCGGTTACCAAGTCAGAAAAAGCAAAATCAGAGGCAGAAACAAGATGGCTACATCTACGAAAGTTATTTTGGCGCTTGCGTTGTCCAAATATAAGGCAAGCGCTAAAGTAACTTTCGTAGATGTAGCCGTCTTGTTTTGACTTGGTAACTGAAACACTGAGAACTCGAGACATCTGACTCCTGAGGTAACTCATACGCAGCATCATTGCCTGTATCTCCCTACTTGCCTATGTTACTTATGTTGTTAGGGGTTGTCATGCCCCTGGGATTGCTTTAGTTGCCCATGTCTTTTGGGGGTTTAGGTTTTGCTGTGGCCCCAGAGTTTCCTGTGTTGTTGTTTCCAGAGTTGCCCAAGCTGCCTGTAAAGCCTTGTCTCCTGAGTTGCCTGTGGTCACTTCTTTCTCGTGTTGTCATGTCTCCAGAGATGCCCTTGTTGCTGCGTGCCCAAAGTTGCCCGTGTTGCCATGTCTCCATAGTTTCTTGTGTGCCAGGGCAGGTACTCTGAGCTCTCCTTTTTGCCTGTCTCCATAGTTGCCTGTGTTGCCTTCTGCCCTAAGTTGCCTGCGTAGCCTTTGTCTTGAAAGTCGCCTGAGTTGCCTTTGTCTTTCCGTGTGATGGAGTTCTGATCCTTGAGATGTTGTACAGTCTGGTTGCCGCGGTGAAAGCTAAAACATGAAACCGACAGACTACAGCTCCCAGGATGCACTTCACTGATAAACAGCCAATCACAGCTGAAGAGGAAACTGTCTGCAGCTTTAACAAATCATTAATCAGTTTGATCAACTCCTACTTATCACCAACTCAGCAAGACCTAACATCACACACACACACACACACACTCCTTAATTTATACTGCACACACTCGCTCGTCCTATTTTCCTCTTTGAGAGAGAGAGGGTGACCTTCAGACAGGACATGGCTGACAGAGGACGAGAGAGCATCACTAACACTGAGGCAGGGAGGGAGAGAGAGAGAGAGAGATTCAAGCTAACTGTAGCTGTTAGCTCACAGTTAGCTTATCACTGACTGTTAGCTGACACTGTTGAATTACAATAAGCTAACCGTTAGCTCATTAAAACCTGAATGTTTGAATGGACAGATAGCTGATTATATGGTTAACTGAATAGTAGCTCACAGATCATTAGCTCACTGTTAGCTACACTGTTTAATTACTACAGAGCTGCCAAGCGGCACGCTTTGAGTGTGACAGTCACGCAATTTGACCCGTTTTCACGCCACATTTGACTTTTCTCACGCTTATTTTTCCCCGTTCAATACCGTAGTTCGAGTTACTCTGATTGGCTGACCGAGTTAACCAATCCCAGACCCATCCATCGGTCTTTTGTGCCAAATGCTGCGCTAGAGTTTCCGCGGAAGTCAGATGTCGTAGCTGAAAATGACGTCACACCCGAGTTCCCAGCGTTTCAGTTAACTAGTCGGAAAAAAGAAAAATCGGAGGCCTGAAACAAGATGGCTACATCTATGAAAGTTATATTAGCGCTTGCCTTATATTTGGACAAGGCAAGTGCTAAAATAACTTTTGTTGATTCTGGAGGAATAACGGGCGCTTAAAACGGAGGTAGACCGGACAAGAGCTAAAAAGCCGGGTCAACATAAACGATGGGGGACGCTTGGGGATCTTGGTGACCCTGTAACCTTTCTGCTGGACAGGTAAACCGCTTTAACAAAGTAAGACAAGTGTCTGTAACAGAAGTGTTTCTTGTCAAACGGACCTGCTGTAGCGTGTTGTAGCGCCATCGCTAAACTGTCCTCCCTCGGGTCCTGGACTATGTCACTTTATCCTCGTTGTAGAAGTCCTGCAAACATTGTGTTTGCTGGTAGTCTGTTGGCATCTACAGTAGCACCAATGCTTTTGACTTTCACCTTGACTGGGCCCCATTTGTAATGATCTGAAGGATTTATCTGCATTATATCTGAATTTAATTGGAACGATACGAGCGAGCAGGAGCATCTGTTTGTGGGCGGGGCTTAAGAGAGGGAGGGGAGGAGCTGAGGGGAAAACCGGTTGGAGGGGTAGAGTTTACATTCAAGATTTCTGCTAAAAACTGGAACTAACTCAGATCCTGACTACAACACCTTTAAGTCGGTTGTTCCCTTTGACCCTGACTGATGACATCACTGAGTGACCAGGTGTGGAGGCTGTTTCACACCTGCAGAGTCACTCAGGAAGTAAACTTAAGAGGTGATGACCCCATTAATCAGTTAGCAGGAAGTGATGAACCCGGCTGCAGGTGCACACCTGACACACACCTGTTCTCAGTGTCTCTCTCTCTATTGTTACACTGTTTGACTCCTCTGAGGTCTGCCTGACTTTACATAACTACACTGATGATGTCATATTTCCCATCATGCCCCAGGTCGGTGGATGTTTGGCCTTGATGGAGACTGAAGGACACACACAGTCATGCAAAGACACACTCTTGGAAATAACACACACCGATACACACACAGGCACAATAAACTGAAGTGAACAAAACCACAGAGGAGTGTGTTGTGTGTGTTATGTGTGTGTGTGTTTGTGTCCGTCCGTTTGTGTGTGTGTGAATTAATCTGGATTACCCAGACAGACGAGGTTGATTGGACTGTAATCTATCCCCACAAACTCACATGTGGGAATAAACGTATTTGTGAGGACCTTATTGGCGTTCTATTAAAGGAGCAGTACACCATTTTAGTCAATCAGGAGATTCAGTGGAATCTCAGGACAAAATCATCTGACAGACATTTGCTCCACACCGATTTACACCAGTGTTCACCCAGACTTCCACCAGAGCCATGTTCACTTTGTCCCTGATCCGGTTCTGCTCCGTGTTTCCTTGTCCGCTGCTTTTTCAGAGTCTGCTGGACGCCGGAGTCACGAGAAAGAGGATTTCCAGAGTTAAATGCAGAATTAAAGGTTTTTCTACCTCCATGATAAGCTCTGAAAACCTCTGACTTGTTGACCCGGAGCCTGGCTCTGCTCACTGTGGTGACGGTTTGTTGGTGTAGTGAGGTCAGATGTTTCCCTCAGTCACCTGTTTGCTAATTGCTGCGCCGTGTTTTAGCAGCATCCAACAAAAATAGAAACTGCGGGTACCTGCTGCAGACGGCTCCAGACTGTTGGAGATGAGACGGAGCAGAAATGCAACACAGTGGTGCCTCTGGAATTGAACTTAGAGGCACTGCAGTTCCTCTGAACATGTGCAGTGACTCTGCAGAAAAAAACATGCCTAGCAGAACATGTCGACGCTTTGGTTTTCATGAGGGGGCGGGGCTTAGAGGTATGTTTTGTCTTAGGGTTAATGAAGCAGAGCTGTTATCGAGGGGAAGATCAGACTCTGGTTGTCCGGTCTGGTCTGATCCTGTTAGCTGAGGACATGTCTGATGATATTAGCTCTGTCTTTGATGGGTTCTGCTCAGACCCGGTTCAGTTCTGAAACTGGAGATATTTTAGGGTCTTTGGAGGATGTCCGATGATTCTGTTCAATTTGAGTGTTCCTGGATGTTTCTATGACACTATGAAAGTGAATGAAACCACAGGACTGTGTGCTTCAGGTCCCAGAGAGCTGAGAGAAGACTGCCAGGTCTTCATTAGAGAACATTCAGAGACTTCTAAGGACCTTCAGAGCATTCAAAGTCCTTGAAGAGGATTCAGGGATCCTTTAAAGGCCAAGAACAAGTTCTTTGGGTCCTTGTAAATAAAGCCTCTCTGATGTTGCCTTGGATTTAAGGATTCCATGGTAGAGCAGTGTCACCACAGTGTCTGTAACTGCCAATCAGAGTTCAGCATCTTCTGATGGAACAGACAGCAGGAACTGTCACTTCAGAATAACCAATATGAAGATGAGAGACAGAGAGGATCCTCACCCAACAGAGGGATTACACCCCCCCTCCTCCCCTCCCCCATTCACACTGAATGTAGGTCATCAGCAGGGGGCGGGGCTAAACACAAGAGGATTATAAAGATGACATTTAGGGGAGGGGGGAGGGATGGGGGGAGGAGAGGATGTGATCCACTTTAACTCCTCCCCTCCCTCCTACCACAGGTCTGATCCTGCTCTTCTACCTGGTCTTCTACCTGTTCTTGGCTGGGATGTTCACCCTCACCATGTACATCATGCTGCTGACGCTGGATGACTACAAACCCACCTGGCAAGACCGCCTGGCCACACCAGGTAACACACACTCAAACACACCCGAACAAACGCACAAGTACATCTGGACATGCACCTGCTCACAAACACACCTGATGGCCTTTCAGGATCTTTCTGGGAGGCTCAGGATGTGATTGGTTAACCCTCTGTTTTTCTTTCAGGAATGATGATTCGTCCAAAAGGTGATCAGCTGGAGATCACTTATTCGATCTCAGAGACGGAGAGCTGGGACGGCTTCATCCAGAACCTGAACACCTTCCTCTCCCGTAAGATTGACGGCAAAACAAGGAGATGTTGATGGTTTAACTGAACATTAAGTTTGTTTTATTACGTTATATCCCAAATCTTAAATCTCGGTGAGGTTAAAAATGTGCTTTTCAAGACTGTCCTGACCAAGACAAGTACAAACATAATGCAAGAGGTGATAATAGAACATGAAAACACAAAATAAACTGTAAAACAAGTTGATCACAACCATAATTATGCCAAACAGAATATTTACAGCTAGATGTGTCTGCCTCCAGTCATTCAAAAGCACCTGATAACACAAATCCCTAAATCAGCAAACCAAATCCTTTTTTACCACCTCGGTTCTGACCTTTAGAGATCTGGAGTTCCTGTCCCCTTCTGTCTGATGTAGGTTAGAGGGTGTCGAGGAACCAGACCTGAATAAGAGCCTGCCAACATGCATACAGTGAGGGTTTCAAAATTAGTGAGGGGCCTCAGTGCCTCCACAAAGTCAGGAGTGAGAAGGTCTTGTAAGAGGTCTACATGTATCATCATCGTCCACCACAGACAAAACGGTGGCGAAGACCAGTCTCTTTTTGGACCCCATGAAAAGACAGGATTTGACTCTACCATCTAAACACCTGTTTAAAGTTTTCAATCATGCCACCTTTGCTGAGGTGTGCATCAGATCATCAACATAAAAATGGAAACTAATATCTTCAGTATTTTGGTTGATGTCAGAAGAATAAAAAGTAATGGTCAAAGCACTGACTCCTGTGGCACTCCTACCGTCACTTCAAGTGAGTTAGAGGTGTATTAAAACACTTTATGTAGTTTTCAAACCTTTTACCATTTCTTTGGACCGTTCTTCTTGACAGAGTCTTTGTTTCGGAGGTGTGTGGTGGACTGTATCAAAGTGTTTGAGAGCTTTAGAAAAAGAGCTGCATACTGCTGTTAATCTTTAATAAAATCATCACAAACGTAGACAACTCTAACCACCCAGTCTAGTTCCTTCTTCTCTTCTGAATGTTGGTCTGTCTCTTCACCTGTCTGTCTGCAGCATACAACGACAGCTATCAGGTCCAGAGCAATGATAACTGCCCCCCAGATCAATACTTCATCCAAGAGGACAGTGGAGAGGTAAACCTGTCTCTCTTTACCTCTATCCGTCTTTCTCTCTCCCTGTCTGACCTCTTGATGGTCTCTCTCTCTGTAGGTCAGGAACAACCCGAAGCGCTCCTGTCAGTTTAACCGAACCATGTTGGAGGAGTGTTCTGGGGTTTCAGATCGTTTCTATGGTTACAACAGAGGTCAGCCCTGCATCCTCATCAAGCTGAACCGGGTAGGTCCATGGAGCATGATCGCTGCAGCTTTGAATATCTGCCGTCTGCAGTTGAAGTAGAAATATGGATGCCCAGAGAGGACATTAGAGATGCAGATGAGCAGCTGGTCCCTGTAGATTTACAGCTGAAAGACTCCTCCCTGTAGAGCTGATTGACTGAGCGTCTCCTCCCTGTACTCGGTACAGACTCAGTCCATCCTTTTATGGCTGAGGAGCTTGGTCCGGTACAGATGGTTCTTGTGATGGGGGGCTCTTCCTCCTGATTCAGATCATTTGGCCTGTAAAGAAGTGGCTCCTTTAGCTCCCAGTTTTTAGAGCCAAGTCCTTAGTGACCAACATCTACTCCCCTTACAGCACAGACACTGTCTGCTGCCACAGTGCTGCAGCGAAGCAGAGTCACCAACAAGTGACTTGGACTTCCATGATGAGCACATACAGCCAAAGGACTCCTTCCTGTGCTTCAGATCAGCTCCTCCTGCATAGTCCATGTACTCGTATTTGTACAACCGTCCAACATGTCTCTGTATCGCCAACTAGCAGGTCCCTCTGAAGTTCATTAACTCGTCTCATCCCTGTGTATCCAAAAAACAGTCGTTTAACACATCCTTGTAGAGCTGATGAACCGGCGCCCCCTACAGTTGATCAACTTGTCCATTTATAAGCAGCTTGTCCTTGCACAGCTGCATGACTCGTCCTCACAGTAATAGGAATGTCATGTCTTCAGTCACCATCTTGTTTACAGTTTGTACAATTGCATATTAATCTAATAGTTTACCCCTCCTCTCTACCTGTCCGTCTTCCTGTCTCTCTTCAGGTAATCGGTATGTTGCCGGGGAAGGACGGTCAGTCTCCGTATGTCACCTGCGGAGCAAAGGTCTGAATCCATCTGTCTGACTGACCATCTGTCTGTCCTACTGTCTGCCTGTCTCACTGTCTGTGTATCTGTCTCACTGTCTGTTAGACCATCTGTCTTCATCTCATGTGTTGTCTCCATCTCTGCGTCCGTCCATCATCAGAGGTACAAAGTGGACAAAGATAATTGGGTAAGAACAGTAGAGCACAGTAAGAAAACGCAGTAGTGTATTAGAAACAACAAATAAAGACAGTAGAGTTCAGAAAAGACAGTAGAGTTTAGAAAAGACAGTAGAGTTTAGATAATAACACAGCAGGGTTCAGATAATAAAGACAGTAGAGTTCAGATAATAAAGACAGTAGAGTTCAGATAATAAAGACAGTAGAGTTCAGATAATAAAGACAGTAGAGTTCAGATAATAAAGACAGTAGAGTTCAGATAATAAAGACAGTAGAGTTCAGATAATAAAGACAGTAAAGTTCAGAAAATAGAGACAGTAGAGTTCAGATAATAAAGACAGTAAAGTTCAGATAATAAAGACAGTAGAGTTCAGAGAATAAAGACAGTAGAGTTCAGATAATAAAGACAGTAGAGTTCAGATAATAAAGACAGTAGAGTTCAGATAATAAAGACAGTAGAGTTCAGATAATAAAGACAGTAGAGTTCAGATAATAAAGACAGTAGAGTTCAGATAATAAAGACAGTAAAGTTCAGAAAATAGAGACAGTAGAGTTCAGATAATAAAGACAGTAAAGTTCAGATAATAAAGACAGTAGAGTTCAGAAAATAAAGACAGTAGAATTAAAATAATAACACAGCAGGGTTCAGATAATAAAGACAGTAGAGTTCAGTGTGTTGATCAGTGTGTGTGTGTGTGTTTGTGTCTCTGTGTGGACAGAGGGAGGACAGTGACAAGATGGGACTGCTGGCGTATTATCCTCCCAATGGAACCTTCAACCTGATGTACTACCCGTACTACGGCAAGAAAGCCCAGGTAACACCCCATTCATTCTGAGCTCTTATCGATTTTCTGGACTACATCGTGTACAGTACTGCAGGGCATGGCTTTGTAAATCACTGTGAGGCCAGTTTATCTAAATATAAACTGTGTCATGGCCTCTGTGTCCATGATGACCTACCATAGCTGACGTTAGTCACATGTGTTCAGCTGGGGTTTCTGTATCTGGATCTGTTTTTGATGTGGCCTGTGTATCCTGATACATGGTTTTTATATCATATATTTACTTATCATGCTGTCACTCATATATCGTGATACCTGCCATGGCTTTTGCATACTGATGAGTGTTCAGTTATGGTCCATGTGTTGTGATAGCTTTCAAGGCCTCATGGTAAATATCTCAGGTGTCTCTCTCTGCGCGTGTCTATCATGTCTATCAAGGGTTGGTTCATGTCTTTCAAGGGTTGGTTCATGTCTTTCAAGGGTTGGTTCATGTCTATCAAGGGTTGGTTCATGTCTATCAAGGGTTGGTTCATGTCTATCAAGGGTTGGTTCATGTCTATCAAGGGTTGGTTCATGTCTATCAAGGGTTGGTTCATGTCTATCAAGGGTTGGTTCATGTCTTTCAAGGGTTGGTTCATGTCTTTCAAGGGTTGGTTCATGTCTATCAAGGGTTGGTTCATGTCTTTCAAGGGTTGGTTGATGTCTATCAAGGGTTGGTTCATGTCTTTCAAGGGTTGGTTCATGTCTTTCAAGGGTTGGTTCATGTCTTTCAAGGGTTGGTTCATGTCTATCAAGGGTTGGTTCATGTCTTTCAAGGGTTGGTTCATGTCTATCAAGGGTTGGTTCATGTCTATCAAGGGTTGGTTCATGTCTATCAAGGGTTGGTTCATGTCTTTCAAGGGTTGGTTCATGTCTATCAAGGGTTGGTTCATGTCTATCAAGGGTTGGTTCATGTCTTTCAAGGGTTGGTTGATGTCTATCAAGGGTTGGTTCATGTCTTTCAAGGGTTGGTTCATGTCTTTCAAGGGTTGGTTCATGTCTTTCAAGGGTTGGTTCATGTCTATCAAGGGTTGGTTCATGTCTTTCAAGGGTTGGTTCATGTCTATCAAGGGTTGGTTCATGTCTATCAAGGGTTGGTTCATGTCTATCAAGGGTTGGTTCATGTCTATCAAGGGTTGGTTCATGTCTTTCAAGGGTTGGTTGATGTCTATCAAGGGTTGGTTCATGTCTTTCAAGGGTTGGTTCATGTCTTTCAAGGGTTGGTTGATGTCTATCAAGGGTTGGTTCATGTCTTTTAAGGGTTGGTTTATGTCTTTCAAGGGTTGGTTCATGTCTTTCAAGGGTTGGTTCATGTCTATCAAGGGTTGGTTCATGTCTTTCAAGGGTTGGTTCATGTCTATCAAGGGTTGGTTGATGTCTTTCAAGGGTTGGTTCATGTCTTTCAAGGGTTGGTTCATGTCTATCAAGGGAAATCGAGATGGTGGTTCTAACTCTATAGAGCAACATTCACTGAGTGTGTTTGTGTGTGTGTGTGTGTGTGTGTGTGTGGTGTGTTCAATGTCTCAGGTGAACTACACTCAGCCACTGGTGGCTGTCAAGTTCCTGAACGTCTCCATGAACACGGACATCAACGTGGAGTGTAAAATCAACTCCAACACTCTGACCGAAGGCAGCGAGAGAGACAAGTTCGCCGGACGAGTTTCCTTCAAACTACGGATCAATGACAAATAGACACACACGCGTTCATACACACACGCACACACACACACACACATTAAAGCTGCACTCTTCAATGTTTGGGTCCGTCTTCATCCTCCTGTTAAGACCCAAAGGTGTCACGTTTTGTTTTCATTCCAGCTTCATGATGCATTCACTGACTGTCTGAATTATTCCTTTTCTTTAGTTACAGTCTGTCCTTGTGTGAACTGCGGTATGTTCTTTTTCCCACTGATGTGATATTCATGTGCTACGGCCTCAGAGCAGCTTTAACTCAAACACACCGTTCATGAAGAAAGTGACCAATCAGCACACACACAGGCTCTGATGTCACTGCTAGGGTGGTCTGTAGACAGAGCTCCACCTCTGTCACATCAATCTGCATGAGACCAAAATATTGATCGCACAGCTGATGTGTTTACTGATTTATTTATTGATTATGTTATTTGCTTATTACTTGTTTATTTATTTGTAAGAGTTACTGATGAAAACGCCAGTATGGTGACTAAGTTTAGGTCTGACTTCAGATTGGTTTCTGCATCGCTGTCCAGTTTAAACATCAGGTTCAATCTGGTTCACCAAAGAAATCTGAACTTCAAAAACTAAAGATTTAAACAGAAAAACACAAAACCAGTTCAGGAACTGGATCAGGAACCTATCCACACCAAAATCTAAAACAATGGCAACAGAATCCAAGTCCAGGTATTGTATCTTGTACAAGTAAAGGGATAAGACCAGAAACTAGTTGAACAGTGTGAACACAAACCACGTCAGGAACTGGATTATCAATAGATCCAGAATTATGAAACCAAAAACTAAAACAACAGGAGCAGGATCCTGGTCCAGATGTCAGAACTAATGCTTATTCAGGGATAACACCAGAAACCACTTTTACAGTGGGAACACAAACCAGTTCAGGAACTGGGTTGGGAACATATCCCGAAATATGCAACCAAAAGACTTAACAGGAACAGAATCCCAGTCCAAACACCAGATCTTAGTCCAGTTCAACAACAACATGGGGAACTGGTTCAACAGTGTGAACCCAAAAAGATTCAGGAACTGGAAATGGGATCGATCAGGAATAAGAAAAAGAAACAGGATCCCTGTCCAGATATCAGATCCTATCCTGGTTTATGGATCAAACCAGGAACCAAACTAGGAACCAGTTTGTTAGTGTAAACAGAAACCAGTTAAGTAACTGGGAACATATCAGGATCAGCACTGGTTCATCGAACAGAACATCATGAACCAGATGAGAATTCGGGTCGTTGAAACTTAAACCCATCAGGTGCCAGGGTTAGTTACCACGGCAACAGCACCAGTGTGACGTCACAGCTTTTCTTATTTGTCTGTTTTGTTTGTTGTTGCTGATTGGCTCGTTAGAAACACTGATAGATAATTAGATACTTAATTAGAGAACCTTTAAATGAGTTAGTGATTTTAGTTCTTAAGTTTGAGTTGGATAAAGAGTTAGGGAGTCTGTAGTCTGTTTGTTTTCCTTCACTGTTGATTTGTTTACGTGTTTGTTTTGTTTACAACTTTTATTGTGGGGCTCAGCATGACAGTTGTTACCGAGGCAACCAAGCCATCTGACACACAGATACACACCGAACACTCACACACACACCTCACCTGTCAATAACTCTCTCGTGCCACGTGGAAACGCCCCCTCCTCACCTGTACTGCTCTCCACCAATTGTCTTCCTTCAAAGAGTGACCGGCCAATCAGGTGGTCCCGCTGTATGATGTCATAAGATACTTGTTTGTGATTGGTTGATTTCCCCTGCCTGAAAATATCCCTGTGTTTAAAAAACAATAAACAACAAAGGTTAAAAAAAAAGAAACAAACAGACTGTGTATTTATTAAAGAGGTGTGTGTGTGTGTGTGTGTGTGTGTGTATGGTCAGCGTGCTGTGCTCTGATTGGAGGAGAAGAAAAGGTGACATCATGATTTAGACTCACCATCAGAGGTAACTGTGGAAAAATGATTTGAATAGTTTTATTATTTTATGAGTCATTCATAAATATTTTAATGATTATTAAATAAGTGTGTGTGTGTGTGTGTTGGTGTTTGTGTGTGTGTGTGTGTGGGGGGGTTAAGATGCTGAGGTGATGTTTAAACGTGTATGAGTGTGTTATATAAGTGCAGTACCAGTGGTCTCTTACATAACCTGATGAATAATGGAGAGTTTAGACTATGGTGCCCTCTGCTGGTCAGAGTCTGACACTACACTCAGACCAAACAGGCGGTAGGAAAGCAGGTGGTTCAACACACACACACACACACACACACACACACACACATCAAGAACAACCCAACACACCACAGTCACACAAGTGAGTCTCAGCTCCTCTGACTCACAAATACTGGACCTGCTCAGGTAAATCAGTTGCCATGACAACATCCTGTGTTTTAATTCGTACTGAGAGACAGATCCAGGACACACACACACACACACACACACACACACAGTTTGAATGTATCAGTGGGGCTGACATCCTCACCTGACCCCTCAGGTGACTCCGGTCCGATCCCTCTCCACAGCATCTCCAGACTCTCTTCCGTCTGTCGCACACGCTCAGTGTGAACCTGCTCTCATCTGCCAGTTCTGCTGTTCCCTGGTGAAGACCAATCAGGATACTCAGTTCTGAGACTGGCCTCACCTGTGGACTTGGGGTCCTCATGAAGTCAGTTTCTAAAACTTTGTATAGACTGATGAAGACTGATGGAGCTCTTCCTTTAGGACTCTGGTAGAACTTCTGCTTTTCCTCCTTCACAAAGGAGCAGATGAAGGTCCTGCTGCTGGGTTGTTGCTCTCTTACAGCCCCTCCAACTCTCCTGGTGCACTGGTCTGTCTCCTGTTGTACTGGTTTATCTCCTGGTATCTCCTCCACCTTTCCTGGTGTACTGGTCTGTCTCCTGTTGTACTGGTTTATCTCCTGGTATCTCCTCCACCTTTCCTGGTGCACTGGTCTGTCTCCTGTTGTACTGGTTTATCTCCTGGTATCTCCTCCACCTTTCCTGGTGTACTGGTCTGTCTCTTGTACTAGAGACAGACGTTGTACTGGAAACAGCGTTATGTATGGCGGTGAAAGAACACAGCATTCCAAGAAAAACACTTGCTACCCACAGTGAAATTTAGTGGAGGTTCCATCATGCTGTGGGGCTGTGGGGCCAGTGCCGGAGCTGGGAATCTTGGTAAAGTTGAGGGTTGCATGGATTCCACTTAATATCAGTAAATTCTTGAGAATAATGTTCAAGAATCCGTCACAAAGTTACACTGGGGCTTGATATTTCAACAAGACAACGACCTCAAGTATCGCTCAAAATCTACACAGGCATTAACGCAGAGGAACAAGTACAATGTTGTGGAACGGCCATCCCAGTCTCCAGACTTGAATATCATTGAAAATCTGTGGGATGATTTGAAGCGGGTTGTCCGTGCTCAGAAACCATCGAACCCAGGGCTTGACACTAACTTTGTTGACATGTTCTCCTAAGTTGACACAAAGAACTTTAGGGGCACAATGAAAATTGATCAAATAATGTTTGTCTTATTAGTTGACATAAGTACTATTATATGAAATCAATTATAGATCAATTGGTCACATGTAATGGAAGCTATTGAAGAAAATGATCAAATTTCCCTTTAAATTCAACACAAAAAGTTTTAGAGGACAAATTAGGGAAACAAAGAGGTGTGTCTTATCATCCAACCTTAGAACTATTATTAGAAATCAATTTGAGGTCTTTTGGTCACATGACATGAAGCTATTGAAGGAAAACAGCCTTTTCTGAGAACATCAACCGGTAATTTATTGACGGTCCCTTATTCAACACCGACGTTGACAGTGAGGGTGTCGAGTAGATTTAACCGCGCTGCTGTTGTAATCCAGAATCCAAATACTTATTAGGGGCTATAGGAAGTTTCTAGTGGCCGTTACTTTTGCAAAAGGAGGCTCTGCTAAATACTGATGTGATTTTTCTGTCCAAATTTATGCACTTGTCTAAGTTTGTTTTGATGCATATTGCACATTTTATGGTGATCCTTGAGTTACTTGATGGCTGAAAATTAAGTTGCTAAAACAAACAAACAAACACCCAATGATTTATAAATGAAAGAAATGGAAATTGTCAGGGATACCCAAACTTTTTCATACCACTGTATCCACACCCAGTAAGAAGGTAACCATCTTCAGGGTAATGAGAACCTGGAGTTTACCCTTCAGTGAATCAGATAACCACAGACTCAGTTAGCTCGGTGGACTTAGTGTGTGTGTGTGTGTAAAGTAGGCGGAGTCAGGCAGACAGGTGTGTTTTCCTCAGGTGTTGGTTTTATTATAAAAGTTGAAGTTTCTACTCTGACAGTGAACAAGAACAAACTGATCCAACTTCAGTAAAAATAAAAAAACAACCACAGGAAGAGGGCGGGGCAACGTTTCCATGGAAACACGCAGGGCTTAGGGAGGGAGGGTGCAGGGGTAACCATGGTAACAGTGAGGGTGTGGGGGGGTGGGGTCTGTCCTTTAACGTGGGACAGTTTAACATCTGATGACCTCCAACACACATACACACACCTAACACACACACTCATACACACTGACACACACTCATACACACTCCAACACACAGGTACACACACACACACACACACACATATAGACACACACACTCTGGTGGTGTGTGTGTCTCAGAGCGACCTCTCTCTCTCTCTCTCTGGCTGCTGATTGGCTGACGGGTCGTCCTCTCGTTTTAGTTCCTCGCTCTGATTTTCAACCACCTGTGATGTCACAGCCACACCTGAGCTGCAGGTGTCGTTTGGACACATCTCCATGGTAACACTGATCCTACACTCACTCTCTGTGTTGCCAAGGAGATAAACGGCCGAGCTCACCTTCTCTCTCACCTGTCTGTCTTCTTCTTCTTCTTCTCTTCCTAAATCAGCACACCTGTGGGTAACTGTTCATTCGTTAAGTTTGTCATCGTCGTATTGCACATGTGTGTTTATTTTCTCTTTATTCATGTATTGCTGATTTGTGTTTGGGCTGTATGCTGCTCTTAATGTCTGCTCCTTGTTAACCGTGAAATGAATTGTCCTTTGGGGATTGATCACGTTGTCTGAATCTATTTTCTCTAACCTGCAGTGAAGCTCCGCCCCCTACCTCATCTGGTCCAATCATCTGTCACTCTACCTGTCTGTGCTCCGAAACACACACACCTACCTGCCTTTCTCGCGCTCTCTCTCTCTCTCTCTCTCTCTTCAGTCTCGTTCGTCCCTCTCTACTCGTCCTCGTCCTCATCCTCATCTTCATCCTCTCCTTCCTCCTCCTCCTCGTCCTCCCCGCCCTGAGCGGAGGAGCCGGGGTTTCTGGCGTAGGTGCCGCCGCCGCGGTAGGCCACCATGTCCTGAGGGAGGGACAGAGTGTGTTAGAGTCGTGCCCACAGACTCACCTGTTCCCTCACCTGTGTGTGTGTGTGTGCGTGCGCGTCTCACCCGGTCGTATTTCTCTCGTAGTTTCTGAGCCTTCTCCTCGTACGGCTGCTTCTCGCTCTGAGACAGTTTGCTCCACATCTCTCCTAGCTTCTTTGCACAGTCTCCTATAGACAGACCGGGGTACTGCTGCTTCACGCTGGGACGGTACTCACTGCAGAACACAAAGAACGCAGACCTGCGCACACACACACACACACACACACACAAAGAGAGACAAACACGCACATTAGACTCTTTCATGCACAGGACTTCAGTGATTGGCTGTGAGGGAAACCAAACAAATGGTTTTTATAGACCTGTGGAAGAACAAGATCAATTCATTTGACTGATCATGTACATACATATCTGAGCACCAACACACCGCCTGAGCTAACAGGAACACCAGAACTAATCCCAAATCTGTACCACATACGGAACGGCGCCGATTTTCGCCATTCGCCAATTCCTACTGGATCAGTTTGTGAAGCAAACTTTGTGGCGGATCACGAGAACTCAAAAGAACCCGCAGATTCAATTGCAATTGCGCAACAACGAGTGTGTCCTTCCAGAGGAGGAAATCTACTTCTAGACTTCTAGAATCAGCATCTCCTCATCCATGGTGTCATCGGGGTGAAATGACGTCTAAAAACCTTTCACTTGTTCGTCTCCGCCCGTTTGCATGGTGTGAAATCTGATGCTGGCAGGAAAAGCAAACATGGAACGCCATAACCAAATAGGCGGTATAGCGTACAGGAACATCAGAGCAGAACATGGACTGGAAACCCTGAGGTCAAAATGGGAAGAACCTCCCAAGGTGATGGAGAATGACCGAGCCAAGATCCTGAAGGACTCCCAGATACAGACCAACAAAATGGTTATGGCCAACCAACTGGACATCTTAATCGTAGACAAACAGCAGAGTAAAGCTGTTGTGGTAGAAGTCGCCATCCCAAGTGATACCAACATCACGAAGAAGGAACACGAGAAACTAGAGAAGAACCGAGGGCTCAAAGAGGAACCTGGAGAAAGCCTGGAAGGTGAAGGCAACAGTGGTGCCCGTGGTTATCGGGGCAGAAACCCCCACACTGGAGAAGAAGTGGCTCCAACAGAACCCTGAGGAATCATCAGAAACATCTCAGTCCAGAAGAGTGCAGTCCTAGAAACAGCAAGGATACTGGGCAGGACCCTCAAGCACCCAGGTCTCTGGTAGAGGACCAGAACCTGAAGAGACACAATACCGCCCAGGGTGGGCGAGAGAAGAGTGGTATGCAGTGTCAGGATACTCTTGACCAGATTTTTATACTGGTTTGATTTCAAAGCCTCAATCCCAACATGTTTTCTAGATTTACATCATTCTGCAAACAGCATTTTTCAGACAGAAGGTTTCTGGACAAACAGCCCCGAGCTGGGAGAGGTCGTTATCATGTTGAGACTAAGTTTGTTTAAAGACAACGGCTCACAAACATTTGTTTTTTTTACAGTTTTCATGATTTTACCTGAAGCAGATTGAAGACGGCTGGAGTAAAGACGACACTCAAACAAACCAAACCATCCAGACTGCTGAGGAGGTCCGATTTCTGTCCTCAGAGTCAGAACCAAACATGAGGAAACACCTCACTGTTTGATCCTCCAAATATCTGACAATATCTGGAGAGTCTCAGCTCCTTCAAATCCAGTATGAAGACTTGTCTGTTCATGTTAGACTGACTGACGAACGTTTTAATCACACAGTCTTCAGTTTGAAGCTTCAGTGTTTCACATATTCAGTTTCAGGGTCGAGTTAAAACACCGAACATGTGGTTAGTTCATTAAAACACCTGCAGGTTTCCTTCATGTTGTCGAAACAAACGCTAAAATCACAGACAGACGAACGTGATCAGTTACGGTTTTATGGTCTGCTGCTCTTTTCTTCTTCTGGTCCACAGTCTCTGAGGTTTTGAGGTTTTGAGGTGAGGACTCCCTCTGGTGGATCTGACTGTTCCCTGTAGGATTGAAAATGTCTGTGTGGTGGTTCAAATGAGACTTTTTTGGGTGTAGTTTTTCAGGATTCAGCTCCCAGTACCCCGGGTTTCTCTAGGAGTCAGTTATAGGAAGAAAAAATCGATTCATGGAAGTATTTTTGCAATTTTTTGTTTTACATATTTTAAATTGATTTTTTTGCTCAGAAATCTTTTTTTTTTTTTTTATTTAAGAATAAATCTTAAAAACCGACTTACATGTGATGTGTATTTTTTGGGGAAATATAGTTCCTGGAATAGTCAGTAGATAATCATAATCATTCAACTGTTTCACTGGAGTTAAAAATACAGACTAAAAATCGAGAAAACCAACAATATTATGGAATCGCAATTTAAATCGAATTGGCATCCAAAAAAATCGTAGAAGAATCGAATCGGGAGAAAAGCAGATCGTCCCAGCCCTGGTCAGTCACGTTATTGTTTTATTATGGCCCATTTTATAAGTGTCTCATCACTATATTCTGTTTTTGGTCGACACATTAACTCACTCGATAATTAAGACAAAATAAATACGGACGAAAGTGAACAGGAGACAGGTCAGTCTGGGTGTGAAGTCTTGATTTAAATCCTAATAATGGGGTTTAAAGTAATGAGCCCGTTTTATCAGGTTATTTTGAAAAAGCTCAAATTAAAGTCCAGGTTTTGAAAGTTAACCCCTTCACCTGAAACACACGTTTGCTTTTATTCGTCTTCATCTTTGTTTGAAGTTCCCGCTCCTCTCAGCTCATTCCTGCTCTCTGGTGTCTGACAGACTCTGAAGACTCAAACCTGAACAGTTTCAAGTTTGACCGAATCACAAACTTCCAGAGTCTTTTAACTTCATTTAAAAACCGTCTCATACGTCTCCTCTATCATATAAACGTACGTTCCCTAAACCTCCATACAGAGCGATAAGGAACCCCAAAAAAAGAGTGTAAGGTGAGTTCAGTTTCAGGTCCGGACAGACATCAGTTCAGTCAATAAGGTTTAGGACAGATTAAAAACTCGCCACAGAGACAGAATCAAGTGAGGAAGATGATCCTAGTGGGCGATCTAATGAGGACACGTAAAGACAGCTGTAACTGGTCGACCCGTCCAGGTATCTTATATGTCTGGGGGGTGGGCCTGGGACTTACGGGGGTCTCTTGGGGGCGTTGGGGTCTTTCCTCTTGCGGCCCCTCTTCCCAAAGCCCTTCGGGGGGACGTAGTCTCTCATCTCTCGGTTGTAGCGCACCTTGTCAGCCTTCGCCATGTCCTCAAAACATTTCTTATCGCTGGCAGAAAGCGCCTGAAACACAGACACACAGTGAGCACTCTGACCTCTGACCCAACCGCATACCTGTCACTAACTCCCCCCGCCTCACCTTCCACCTCTCAGAGCACTTCTTGGAGAACTCGGCAAAGTTGACGGACTGCTCGGGGTTCTTCTTCCTGTGTTCCTCTCGACACGTCTGCACGAAGAAGGCGTAAGCCGACGTCTTCCCCTTCGGCTTGTTTACGTCTTTGCGCATCATACTGACGGCCTGACAGGTGGAGAACAAAGACAGGGAACAGTTAGTGAACAGTGTAATGCTCCTTTAATGAAACCGTTATAATAACGATCACTAATTGATCATTTTTCATTTGATGTTGCACCGACTAAAAGGTTTACAGTCGGGTCGGTCTTGGTTCACTATAACGAGTTATCGTGAAGTTCACGTCTCGATGGCGGCTGATGGATTCAACTTTTTTATTTTTTAACCTCCCAACAGTTTTTATCGTTTTCATTCTGTTCTGTCACTTGAAATTTACTGGAGTAGCATTTTATTTCAAAATAAAAGCATGTGTTTAAAAATCATGATAACTCCTCCCACTCACTCCTGATTGTGTTTCTGTGACGTCATTATCCTGAATATTTTGGTCAAAATAATCTCGGGGTGAAATTGTTTTATCGTGACAGCTCTCTTATATCTTTTGTTTTAAATGTGCAAATATAACAAATCAACACTCATGCTCTGATCCAGTATGTAAATTATAATCAATGAAAAAGTTTGCACTAAAGTTGATCCAAGTGTAAGCAGGCCTGTTTAGTATTATATATATAATTGGTATATCTGAGCAGCAGATGGATGTATGTAGGCAGATGTGTGGATAGTTTCATTGACAGCACACAGACAACAGACTTTATTTCTTAAAAAGACTCGTCGGCACATCTCTACTCAGAAACCGCTGAGTTCACAGGTGACAGTGTGATCAGATTAACGGCATTTTGATTCCCGTGTTTCAGCGACTACTGTCATCATCACCTTCACTAACCCTAGAACAGGTGTTTCCACCCTAGTCTATTAGACTAATGAGCATGTAAGGTCTGAATCGGGTTTTATTCCAAATATCGCCATTCAGGGTTAATACTCGACTGTCAAACGTCCAATGAAGGTACATTTTCCATTTGGTAGGTAATTCTCAGGAGTTTAAATGTTTATACCACAGTAGTAATTCAACAAAAAGAGAAACCTATACAGAGTTTTTGATCCCATAAAGATGGACCTGCAGCACCTTCGCCCACTCCTCTGCTGTCTGCAGCTCTGAGCTTTGCAGGGTCAGTCTGGTGCATGCAGACATAATGTGATGAAATCAGTGACTAAGTAAATGAATGAATGTGCACTAATGCACACATATGGTATATAAATAAGTGTGGATGATTGGTTTAATAAACAAAATCTGTTTATATTACACAGATAATGTAGGCTCTCTATTACTTAAAAACGTATTTGTGTGGCTCAGGGACCTCTGTGACCTCCCCGCGCAGCCTTCTTCTGTGATTATAACTCTGCTTTTAAGTAATATTCAAGATTAGATCAAATTTCCTCTGTCATACTCTTTCTCAAGTTTTATCATAATACCTTACAATCAGTTTAGAAAGTACCACAGCAAATGTGCATTTAATACTAATGAACCATTTATTATCTTGGCTGTTTACCCTGCATTATATTTTATCTACAGATGGCTGAACAAATCCAAATACTTTCTGCCTTGTGTTATCTTATATCCTGTTCATTATTTTTTTCTCATTTTGATTTAAATGTTAAACTTTAAATATCAACTATCAGCTGAGCTGCTCTTTAATTGTCAGAATCAGCTGATTGAAATTAAAAAAAAAAAAAAAAAAAGCTGAATATGAATCAAAAATAATTTGTAAATGCTTCCAAATAGAGAATCATTTTACAATTAACTTCAAGTTTCTTATCAATTAATCAACCAATTAACAAACGTGTTGGCTGATAAAACATTTGGGTGGAATGACCCTTTAACCTGTAAGTCTAATAATGTTCATTATTCAGATTCAGCCTTTTTATAAGAGTGTACGTTTCTCATATAAACCCCATTATTATTATAGCGTTTGTCCTGTAATGAAGAGCCCGTGTCTGTGGCTCTAATAAACGGCTCCTCTCTGCTCCCAGGCTGCTGCTGCTGCTGCTGCTGAATAACAAAGAGAACAAAGTGGGGATCCATTTTCTCTGTCGGGGGGCTGGAGGCCCACAAACCCGGGCTGCAGCCTTCATCGGCCGGTCATTGAGCCGGGACATCTCAGCGGTGCCTGTCCGGCCGCTCCGCCGGAGCCGGAGCTGAGGGGAGCCGCGGAGGTGAAGAAAAGCTCGGCTAGCTTCGTGTTAGTCCGTGGATCTATTCTCTGTTGCAGTGAGCTTAGCCGTGCTAACAGCTAACGGGCAGAACAATGGGACACCATTTGCTTCCCGCCCTCTGCAGAGCTAGCCGCCCCATCCCCCTCTGCTAGCAGCGCGCTAACGGGCAGGAAAAAAAAAAACTATTTTTTTCCACAGTAACGCCTTAAAATACAACTAAATCCCCCCTTTTCTTCGGGGATTTTATTTCCGAAATATGTTTCAACATTTTTTCCAAACGGGCAGGTTTGCAATGGAAAGAAGGGGGATAGTATGAGGGCTACGCATTTTTCAACGCAGGGCTCCGTCTATCACCAGAAGAGGTCAGCGTTGTATGGACGGGACGCGACTATTTCCTGACATTCATGCCTCATAAATGGGCGTTACGTGTTTACAACAACACGCTCCGAACAGTCCCCGGCGCGCGCTCTCACAAACCCCCGAACCTGAGGAGAAATGTCTCCAGCGGCCATTTTATCACTCTCTCTGCCTCACATCATCTCTCCATGACGGATCTTTACACGGACAGAAAAACCACCGGGACACCGCAGCCAGCTCATTTTCAGGGGGGAATTACAGAAATCTGGCCCGGCTCCGGTTCGGGGAAGGGAGGACGGGTACTCACTCGTCAGGAGGGCCGGGTTCAGGTTGAAGCAGACTCTGGATCGGTTCTCGGATTTTTCGGGTTCTTGGGTTCTTGTTGTTGTTTGGGGGCTGAAGCTCAGACTGGAGACGTTGGTTCACTTTCAAACTGGGTCGAGCTCCGGCTCGGCCCCGCCCCCCAGCAACGCCCCCGTTGGTTATTCCCATTCAGTGGGCGGGAACACAGTCCGCCATCATGGGCGGAGTGCCGATGCATTCTCGTCGGTGATTGGCTTTCCGGGACGCAGGTCAGCAGCGCATTGCTTCACAGCCCCACCCACCCAGCGACTCCAACAGGGCGGGAATTCTACACTCACAACAGGGTGGAGCCAGAGCGTGTTCCTACCTTTCACTGGCTAGAGTCAATGGCTGTCACATCAAGCAGCCAATCAGTGGAGAGATGGAGGAGTGGCTACAGAACGCAGCAAGAAGAGGGATGAAGACGGAGACTATAATACATTTTTTTGTATTTTAAGATGTAATAATATTAAACTGTAAGACTAATATTGATGAACATGATGCAACAATTACGGAAAAATACTCTGAATAAAGTGAAACGTGTTTTTATGGTCATTATTTAAATGAAAACAGTATGTTTGTAGGGTTCTGTCATTGTGTGTTTGTGTGTGTGTTTGTGTTGGCAGCTGTGGGGCCATATTCCTTCGCTCTTGTGTGTGTGTGTGTGTGTGTGTGTCATCACATCACTCAGCACAGTGGTTTTAACACAAGATCTTGAAGCACTACAATAACTCAAAATTAGTATTAGTATTCAAAGGGAAGAAATATACAACATGCAGCATTTACACAGGGAAAGAGAGACTGTTATTCATGCTGGTTATTAAACATGATGGATCAATCTTCAGATTTTGACAAAAGTTATTTCCAAGTACGTTAAGCCCCCCTGCGTTGCTAAGAAATGGTCGAATAAATTGATCATGTGACCAAATCTTTAAGAGATGGGCATCAATTAACGGAGTCTGTGAAGGTTAGAAGCACATGGGTGAAGAAGGGGTTAGACATTTATTTACAAAAAAAAATGTCTTCCCTCTGTAAAGTGAATTTTATTCTTTAGTCGTCAGTTTGATTAGAATTGTGTTCAGACCAAAAAAGATCATTTTAGATTAGTTTTATTCATCAATTGTGGTATCTGTGAGGGGGGAGTGGGCTAACAGTTCAACAGTTTCAGAATTAAGTTCCTGAGTGGATTTCATCGTCAACTTACCCCATACACAGGGTAAGTTGACCATAGGAGACCACTTTATTTTGTCCTGCTATATTCTGAAGATGACAGTTCTGTTTACACTCATTCTGTTGGTTTGCAGGGATGAACAACATCCTGAAATATCTGCAGATACACGAGTTAGAGACAAAACTAGGACTGACTTGATGGAGTGATCCCAAACATGAAAAATGGATCATGTTACCCCACTCTCCCCTATATGAAAAAAACAACAACCATGACTATCATCTGTTGGTATTTTTGACAATAAGATTTATTACATCATAAAGCCTGAAAAGTACATCATGTTTAAAAAGAGTTTACACTTATACATTTCTACACACTCTGTGGTCTGCTAAACATCTCGTTCACCATTCTGTGAGAGACTGTGTGAGCTAACAGTTCGACAGTTTCAGAATAAAGTTCCTGAGTGGATTTCATCGTCTACAGAACATCAGATCATTCAAAGATTCAGAGGATCTGGAGAAATCTCTGTTCTAAAGGGACAAGGGCAAAAACCAGGACTGGATGGTCCTGATCTTCAGGGCATTAAAAACAGACAGGACTCTGGAGTTGAAATAACCGCATTGACTCAGAATCACTTAAAAAAACCTTGACTGTAAAACACAATTCATCACTGCATCCACTAATGAGGTTCAAACTGAACCATGCAAAGACCAGAACATAACAAAATCCAGGACCACCAGAGACTTCTCTGGACCTGAGCCCATTTAAGGTGGACTGAGGGGAAGGGAAAACTGTCCTGAGGTCTGAGGGATCAGAATCTGACGTTGTTTTTGAAGGTCATGGACTCTGCATCTTCCTCTCTGAAGAGTAGAGAGTCCACACGGTGTACCAGCTAAAGATGTGTTAAAAAGAGCCAACAGGCCTCTTTGTTGTTAAACTCTGTTAAACTGTGCGTCATAGTAATTTAGCTTTATTAACATTACTTCAACATTCATTCACAACATTAAACAACACTGCGCTGAAACAGGTTTGACTTTTCTGATGTAGAGTCGGTTCACCCCAAAATGATCTTTACAACAACGGTACGATATCAAGTACTTTCTCTCTTCTTTCTCGCATGTGATTAGAATTGTGTTTTTTTTTCTCGGCTGAGTGGCGTCCTGAACTCGTTCTCCCTAATTTAAGCCTCTGCAGACACCGTAGTTTAGCAGGATGGCATGTAGAAGGACACGATATCTCTTTCCTGTAGGTCCAATAAGAGGGAGAGGGAATGAAAAAGTTGACCTGTTGGCAAAAACTGCGATAAAATCACAGGAAATAGACGTAGTGGTAAAACTTTCCAAAACAGAAGTTAAATCTGTAATTAAGAGTCACACTTTAAAAATATGGCAAGAATACTGGAATATGGCTGACACAGGGCGACATCTGTACAAAAACCTGTTGGCAGAATTAAAACACAAAGGAGGAGGAGACAGTATTAACCCGTCTAAGAACTGGACATACAGGACTCAACCAGAGCCTGAATGAAACAGGACTTTGAGATTACTGTAAGGCAGGGGAACAGTTAAACATGAACTCACTGACTGTGTTTAACACACATAGAAAAGACAACATGTTAGTAACCAACCTGAGAAAGAAAATCTAGATCTCACTGTAGAGAATCTGTCAGGGTCAGCATCTGAAAAAGTATTCAAGTCATTAATGAAGGATTTAAGGGGGACTGGCTTATTGTACAGAGGCATATATCTGTTTTTTTTTTTTTTTTTTTTTTTCCTGCTTAATTTCCTGTACCACACTCCAATCCAGTGGGTGGCGGTAATGCTCCTTAAGTTGGTTGCCAACCGAAGAAGAAGAAGAAGGTGGGCCGTGGTGGACAGCACGTGGATGGCAGTCGCGGGCTGAGAGGAGGATCGTCATCGTGGTTCGGTGTGGGCGCGAGAATTGAAGTGACTGGAGTGTATGAATGTACTTCGGAGGATAAAGCAAAGTTACGTCTGAGATTTAGCTGGGTGAATTAGATAATCGGTCAGATTAAAATAACGTTAGGGTTTCCGGGGACGGGTATCGACCGACGGCCTGTATAGGTCCGGACCGGTGCCCGTTACCTTGCTTTCTTTATTTCTTTCTTTCTTTATTTCTTTCTTTTCTATAACCTTAGCGGATAGGGATGAAAGGTAGGGGTAGGAGGGGGTCTAGGGCCGGGAGGGAGGATGGAAGTGTAGGGAAAGGGGATGGGGGACAGGGGAGAGAAGGAAAGAGACCAAGAACGAACAGTCAAAATTCATCGAACGAAGAAGACATGGAGAGTTTTAGTTCTGAGGGAGAGAGCAGGGAGGAAGGAACTAGGTTGGTTATACGGTTTGCTGAGGGAGGTGGGATAGGGAAAATGAATCCGTTTAAGCTGACAAGGGAACTGACAGGGAAGTGCGGAGAGCTGAAGTATGCGAGGGTTTTGGGAGACGGCAATTTGATTGTGGAATGTTCAAGTGATGTCCAGGAAGCCTTGGTGAGGAAGTTAACTAAGGTGGGTGAGAGTAGAGTGGTGAGGGTAGTGCGGGTTGGAGTGCAGGGGAGAAGATGTAAGGGAGTGATTACTGGGATTCCTATCGAGGTAGGGGATGAGGAGTTGAAGGAGAAGCTACGTGCTAGGGGCACGGGAATTGCCAATGTTAAAAGAATGACAAGGGGTCCAGAAAAGAAGACAACCGAGACAGTGTTGGTAGAATTTGAAGGAGAGGTAATCCCAGATAAAGTGTACCTAGAGTACATTAGCTATTTTGTGAGGGCATTTATACCGAAGCCGATGAGGTGTTACAAGTGTCAGTCATTTGGCCACATTGCAAGATATTGTAAGGAGAACAGGAGATGTGCGAGGTGCACTGGGGACCATGAGTATGGGAAATGTGGGGAGGGTACCAAGCCAAGATGCTGTAGCTGTGGGGGGGAACATAGTGTCACGTTTGGGGGTTGTCCAGTTATGAAGAGGGAGGCAGAAGTTCAGAAAATCAGGGTGCTAGATAAGATAAGTTATGCAGAGGCAGCAAAGATGGTAAGACAGAGGGAGGAAAGGTCACAGGGAGTAGAGGAGACAGGGGGTGGTGGAAGAAAGGGGACTTGGGGGTTGGGGAGAGAGCAGTCAGATCAGGATAGGATAGGGATAGACAAAAGGCAGTTAATAGTATTTATTGTGGCAGCTATCAACTCAACAAGCAAGTCTACATCTAAGACCACCAATATACAATATATTGTGAAGGCAGCAGCTGATCATCTGGGGATGGAAGGACTAAAGTGGGAGGAGATAGAGGCGGAGATTAAGAACCAGAGTCGAAGCCAGGAGGTAGGAAAGTCACCTCATGCTCATGGTTCGGGTGCTGCAGTGGAATGCTAGGAGCCTGATGGCTAATGGACAGGAGATGAAACACTATATAAGGAAGATGAAGATACAGCCAGACGTAGTTTGTGTTCAGGAAACTTTTTTGAAACCTAGCTTAGATTTTAAGGTTAGTGGGTATATGACAATCAGGAGGGATAGGAGTGAAGAAGAAGCAAGAGGAGGGTGCGCAATATTTATTAGGCAGGGTATTTCTTATAGGTTGATAGAAAGTGGGGAAGAGCAGGAATATATAGTGGTAGAGTTGTGGGAGGGAGGGGAGGCGGTGGTTATAGTTAACTACTATAATCCAGGGGGAGGTTAATATTGGATAGGTTAGTTAGGATAAAAGGGGTTGATAGACGAAAGGTTATCTGGTGCGCAGACTTTAATGCACATAACACTTTGTGGGGTGGGAAACACACAGATGTAGATGGTAGGGTAGTTGAGGAGCTAATGGAGGAGAGGGAATTAGTATGTTTAAATGATGGGAGAGGGACTAGAATAGATGTCAGAACAGGAAATGAGTCAGCTATAGATATTACATTGGTATCAGCAAGTTTGGCAGGAGTCAGTAAATGGGAAGTGTTGTCAGGAAAGTCGCTAGGTAGTGATCATTATTTAATCATGTGTACAGTAGGGGGAAGAGTGGAGGTGGGGGCGGGTAGGGGGCTCCGGAAATGGGTGTACAGTAAAGCAGAGTGGAATAAATTTAGGGAGGTGAGTGAGGGTCTACTGGAGGTAGTTGATACAAACAGGGATGTGGAAGAAGTCAACAATAGTGTTACAACAGCAATAATCACAGCAGCAACTCAAGCTATTCCGAGGAGCAGAAATGGGAGGACCAGGAAGTTAGTTCCATGGTGGTCAGAGGAGTGTAGCAAGGCAGTGAAAGCCCGAAATAAAGCATTCAGAAAGATTAAACAAAACCATACTATGGCAAGTCTGTTAGAATATCAGAGAGCACAAGCATTGGTGAGGAGAGTAGTTCGACGCACAAAGAGGGAGAGTTGGAGACAGTTTTGTAATGGTATAGGGAGAACAACACCAGTAGGAGAAGTATGGGGTATGATAAGGAAGATGGGAGGGGAAGGAGGGAGTGGGAATATCCTGTAATTACAGAGGAAGGAGAGACAGCAGTAAATGATAAGGAAAAGGCTGAGATGATAGCCAGGGCATTTGCAAAGGTGCATAGTGTAGACAATCTGACAATGGAGGGGAAGAGGAGAAGAGAGATGACTCAGAGTAGATATCCAGGTGCTCTAGACAGGAGGACGGATTCAGGGGGGGAGATAGACACCAGATTTACTATGGCAGAGCTTGTGAGAGCGGTTAGGAAGGCAAAGCCTACAGCTCCAGGGGGAGATCAGGTAAGCTATGTAATGCTGAAAAATTTAGGGGAAAAGGGGATGAACAGGATGTTAGAATTGTATAATAAGGTATGGGAGGAGGGAAGGCTACCGAGTGTATGGAAGGAAGCAGAGGTAGTACCGATCAGGAAGCCAGGTAAGGACCCATGCTCTCCTTCTAGCTACAGGCCAATAGCTTTGACTTCGAACATTTGTAAAATTATGGAAAGAATGGTAACAGAGAGATTGACATATGTGCTTGAAAAGAGAGGTACGCTGGCGAGATGCCAAAGCGGATTTAGAAAAGGTAGGAACACAATGGACGCAGTGGTGAGACTAGAAAGTGAGGTGAGGAAGGCGCAGGCAAATAAGGAATCTGTAGTGGTAGTGTTTTTTGATATAGAGAAGGCATATGACATGATGTGGAAGGAAGGATTACTGATTAAGTTGCAGGGGATGGGGATTGGGGGCAGAGTTTTTAATTGGGTAAAGGACTTTTTGAATGATAGGAAGATTCAAGTTAGAATAGGGTCAGAGATATCTAGTAAATATGAAGTAAGGAACGGCACTCCCCAGGGGAGCGTAGTTAGCCCACTATTGTTTCTTATCATGATTAATGATGTTTTTTCAGAGGTACCAGCAGATATAGGAAGCTCACTGTTCGCAGATGACGGAGCACTGTGGAAGAGAGGGAGGAACACCAAACATTTAGTCACTAAGGTGCAGACAGCGATTGATGGGGTGACAGAGTGGGGATTAGATTGGGGGTGTAGGTTTTCAGTAGAGAAGACTCAAACTATAATTTTTACCGGGAAGAGGGTGGGAGTAGATGTGTCATTGAGTATGTATGGTAGGCAACTGGAGAGGGTTGAGGCATTTAAGTATTTGGGGGTGGTATTTGATAAGAGGTTAACCTGGGCAGATCATATCAAGCGGGTAGAGGGTAAGTGCAGGAAAGTGTTGAATGTGATGAGGTGTCTTGCAGGCAGAGAATGGGGGGCGAGCTGTGATGCATTAAAAACAGTATATGTAGCTATGATTAGGTCAGTTATAGATTATGGGTGTATAGTTTATGGATCAGCAGCAAAGTCCCTTTTAGGAAAGCTAGATACGATCCAGACAAGTGCATTAAGGATCTGTAGTGGGGCCTTCTGGACGTCACCAGTGCCTGCAGTACAGGTGGAGTTGGGTGAGATGCCGCTATGCCTGAGGCGCAAACATCTCATAGCAAACTACTGGGTTAGTTTAAAGGGCAGCAGTGGTACCCACCCCACAAAAGGAGTGATAGAGGAGTGTTGGGAGGAGGGGAAAGGTAAGAGGGAGCATTTTGGTAGGATGGGGAATAGAATAACAGCAGAGCTTGGGGTGGGGGAGATGGAGGTAGACCTAACAATAGTGTATCCAGCAATGCCACCATGGAGAATGATATGGCCAACAGTGGATTGGAGTGTAATGGGAAAGAAAAGGAAAGAGGGAGGACAGGTAAGCTTGGTCAGCGTAGTTAATCAGCGCCTGAGGGAAGAATATAGCGGATTTGTTCAGGTATACACGGATGGGGCAAAACAACCTGAGACGGGGGTGACAGGATTAGGGGTAGTGGTGCCATCGAGAGGAATTGAAATCAATAGAAGGACATCAGACGGTCTAGCGGTAAACACAGTGGAGATGTTGGGGGTGATGATTGCACTGAAATGGGTGGAAAAAGTTAGAGTAAAGAGGGTAGTTATATGCACGGATTCAGCATCAGTTTTAGCTAGCATTAGATCATTCCATTCAAGCAGCCGTCAGGGTTTATTATATGAAATATTACAGTCAGTAACAAGAATAGTACAGCAGGGGGGTCAGATCAGTTTTTTATGGGTTCCAGCACATATAGGGGTGGAAGGAAATGAGAAGGCAGACGTGATGGCTAAGGAGGCGTTAGGGAAGGAATCAGTGGAGCTGAATGTTAGGTTAAGTAAAGCGGAAGTTAAGAGTATGATATGGGAAAAGCTTATTCAAATGTGGCAGAAGAAATGGGAGGGTGAGAAGAGAGGAAGGCATCTTTATAAGATTCAAGAAAGTGTTAAAGTTAGGAGGTTGGGTAGTGGACAGAGAAAGGAAGGGTCAGCATTGATAAGGTTGAGGTTGGGTCATTGCGCATTAAACAAAACACTGAAAATGATAGGGAAACACCAGACTGGGTTATGTGAGGGATGTCAGGTGGAGGAGTCAGTGGAGCATGTACTAATGGGTTGTAGGAGATATGAGATGGAAAGGGGAGAGATGAGAAGTAAGTTGAGGGAATTGGGTATGCAGGACCTTACACTAAAGGGAGTATTACAGATGGGGTACAGGGCACATGTGAGAGTGTTAGTCGAGTTTTTAAGGGTGACGGGGTTGATTGATAGGATTTAGTCAGTAGGAGTATGAAAGTGTGAGTGAATGAGATGGGAAAGGGTGGTGCACAGGGGGTTTTGCATAAGAATTGCCAGAAGAGGGCGGTAATGCACCGTACACAAGAGTGCCAACTGCCGTTAAACTAGAAGAAGAAGAAGAAGAAGAAGAAGAAGAAGAAGAAGAACAGGAAGTAGGAAGTCTGGTTCGAAGTTGTTTTGCGGGAGCGGCGTGTGAGCGAGATGGGTCGCAGTGATCAGACGAGTGAATTTGACGACAAATCTAATTTATCATTATTCCATTAGACCTGAGATGAGCAGAGACCCGGATATGGAGTCAGTTCAGCGCGTCGTGGAGGAGCTGCAGCCCGGCGGAGAGGCCGTTAGTACAGTCTCTGTTTCCAGCTTCACAGTTTTCTGCTTAAACTCTGTCATTTATATCGATTAAATAATGTTTAAATTCACACAGAGGTCCCTTCAGAGTTGGGACAGATGCATTAAAGAATAAACCAACATGATTATTGTATGTTTGAACACAGGTTTGATTTTAATTCAGTTATAAAGAACATGAATAATCTCGAGTTAAGACAAGCTGCGATGACAACAGTATAAATAACTAACTAACTAACTAACCAACCAACCACCGTTAACTAAGCTAGCTATATAATGAAGCAGCAGAAATATTCGGCTGCACGATGTTGGAAAAAACTAACTTCATTTTTGTTCAACTCTGTGATATACATGACGATATTAAAAAATAGAGGAATTCTCACCAGATGACCAGAATCTGACTTTCTGCTGAGATCTTGAGGACAGTTAACCTGCTCTGATCTTACCTCTTTTAGTGAATGTTAGTAGAATGGCTTCTGTCTGTCTCAGAGATGTTTTTAGCTTTAATTGTTCTGGGACTCGTTATCTCTCCTTGATGAAAGGCACTGCCGACACAGAACAGGTGCTTAGTGACGTCATCCTTCTTGTAACAGAAATAATTCCAAAAAGTGACGTTGATTTTCTTTTTGTCAACAAGCATTGATCTTCAAAGGTCAGTGACGTGTCTTTTCTTTGTGCTAACGAGTCTTCATCTTCGGCGGTTTTCTTTGGTTCGTTTCTCATTTTGAAATCGTTGATGTTGTGCTGAGAAACACGTGCCCACCGAGGATTGCATACACCTCGCAGAAACGCGCACCGCTTATAGTAGAGTGCTCCGTGTAAATGTACGATTTTAAACCCATACAGTTCTTATTTGTGGGGCTAAACAGTGATGAGTGAAGTTCCGCAAGTAATTTTCAGCGGGTATGCGTATCTCGTAGGACTGCACGATATATCGTTTGAGCATCATCATCGCGATGTAGTGTGCGCTATAGTCACATGCAGAGCCTGCGATGTCGAAGGCGAATGAACTCATCTAATTTCAATGGTAGTTGACTGACATACACTGAATGTGACTCTGCATGTGCTGTGCAGCGATCCACCAATCACATTCTTTCTGTACTCAGTTTCCAATCAGACTAGCCTGCCAGCCATCAGTCAAAATCAGAGAGGAGGAAACCACGCCCCTGCACATGGAGCGAGTTGCTGGCGCTGCTGGTGTTGTGCCGAGAAACTCATACCCGCCGAGAATTACTTTAGGAACATTCCTCATCACTGTTTAGCCCCACAAATAAGAACAGTGTGGGTTTGAAATAGTTCATTTCCATGGACCACTCTACTATAAGCGGTGCGCGTTTCTGCGAGGTGTATGCAATCCTCAGCGGACATGTTCTTGGCACAACGGTAACAACAACAAGGATTGCAAAATGAGAAACGAACAAGAGAAAACCACTGAAAATAAAGACTTGTTGCCAAAAAAGAAAAGGAAAGTCAGTTATCTGGAATTATTTCGGTTACAAGAAGGATGATGTCGACTAAAACACCTGTTCTGTGTCTGCAGTGTCTTTCACCTGTTGCCACAACAAGAGTAGGGCCCGACTGATATGGATTTTTTTAATACTGATACTGATTATTAGGGGGGGGGGATCTGATTACCGATTAATCTGCCTATTTTTAAAAAAAATTTTATGCGGTTTTAAAATTTTGTTAATTTAAGTAATATATCTACATATTTACTTATTTTTTTTAACAAATGGCTGCTGTTGAGCCTTTCAAACACTTCTTCAAAGAATTAAAGGCAGACAACTAATTTCACGATATATCGTGCAGCCCTACCACAGATCATCAGTTATTACTTCACCTAACCAGTAGTAGGTAATATATCTAACTGGTTAGTTGTACTGGTTCAGAGTAACTGGCAGGTGGAGGTTAATTCCTCTGGATTTATGTAACATGTAAATGAATGTTTCATTCTGCAGGAGTCCGTTTGGTTAAAGATGATGTTGACCTTCATCACTAAACACCTTCATCCTCTTCTGTCTGGCTCCGCCCTCTCTGGTAGGTCAGCCTCAGTGTTGTGTGAATTAAAAACAGTAAAGAACACACAGACAGCTGAGTTTACAGGTTTTATCACACACTTTGACATCAGAGAGAGGTCACTTCACACCTGTCCTGTCAGGTGGTCAAAGAGCGGCTCTCTGGGGTCAGAGGTCATAATGAGTGTGTTATTATTGTGGGTTTTAGGAGGCAGTGTGTGTCCTGATGACCTGTGTGTGTGTGTGGTGAAGAAGATCCAGAAGAACATGGCAGTTACACACAGCTTACCTGTGAGCTACAGGTGTGTTCACAGTTATTGACCGGCCACAAATTAAAAGATTAGCTTGACATATTTGTCATACCCTAAGTGATAAATCTAACCTTTGACCCCTGCTGACCTGTCACCAGGCCCCTCTCTGTCTCTGAGCTGCTCTCTAAACAGCACCTGGCCTGCGTCAGTAACCTGTCTTGGAGCACAAATCAGCAGAGAGCGTGGGAGAAGGAGGCGGAGCTTGCCCTGCCTGGACAGCGGGCTCTGCCGCGGGTCAACTTGCTTCTGATTGGTTATCTAAGCGGAGGAGGTGGAGACTTGTGGCTGAAGGACACCAGTGGCAGTGTCAGGTTTGAGGTAAGAGGGCAGGTGTGATCCCTGATACCTGGCAGGGTCCATTTGTCAAAGGTGACAGGAAGTACAGGTGTCAGTGATGTGTCCGTCTCACCTGTGTGATTGAAAACGGAATATTAGCCGAGTCATTAAATTCATGTTCGTTCACCTGTCTCTGTTCACCTGTCTCTCCATCCGCAGTGCCTATCTCCGTCTCCTCTGTGGCTGAATCATCTCATCTTCCTCCGGCACTGGAACTACATCCCCCACAATTCCACAGGGCAGGATGGGACACAAACAGAAGGCCATGTGGAGCTGGTTGGTTCTCCCATCCTGCTGTTTCCTGGTTCTGAGCAGGGATTGGCTGTTGGTCCTCGTGAAGGGGCGGGTCTTAGTGGAGTAGTTGGAGTCAGACAAGCTGTTGGATTAATGAGGAAAAGGTGGGCCGCTTGACCTTTGACCCCTGATCTTTGCATGAGGTGCAGAGTGAAAGACTTGATTTGTCACATGACCCCCTGTGTCTGTGCGTCTGTCCCTCAGGACTCATGGACAGCGTCTGTCAGTCTGGGGTACGGTGGGTTCAGTTTGCCCCCTGCTGGTCGTATCAGGAACATCGTTCTTCTTTTTCTGGCTGACAGACGACTCTCACAGTTTACCTGTGCTCGTCAAGGTACCTGATCATAGAGATATCATCATGTAGACTGAACTCTACAGTCCCCCCTGATGTGCTGTCCACACCTGTCCACACCTGTCCACACCTGTCCACACCTGTCTCTCTGTCTCTCTGCAGGACAGCAGCAGGCTGTGCTGGTCTCGGTGTTTGTGTGTCGGTCAGAGTGTGTGTGTGACGGCGCTGCGTGTGTGTGTCTTACAATGCTGGAGAGGAAACAACATCCTGAGTGTGACTGAGCGGTCCCAAATACACTCCAACTACACACACACCAAAGAGAGCGCACACACTGACACACAACAGGACACGCCCCCAGAGCAGATGATGTCACATGGTGATGGTGATGATGATGGCGATGATGTCTACGAGGAGGCGGGGTCTGAGAGGGTCATTCTCCAATCAGGTGTCAGGATGAAGCGTTCCAGAGTCATCAGTTACCAGGTAAATACAGGTAAATCAAAGCTCTGATTGGCCGACAGAGTGTTACCTGTATGATAAGCCCCACCCCTCTCCTCTGATAGGGCACTGTGACTGAGGTGGTGAGTGAGGGGGCGGGACTTTATGTGATTGACAGGAAGGTGGGTCTGTGCCTGGCCTATCAGCCAAACCTGAGGAGGAAACTACGAGAAGGAGACTCTGTGGAGGTGAGACAACACACAGGTGAGACATCATACAGGTGAGACAACACACAGGTGAGACAACATACAGGTGAGACAACATACAGGTGAGACAACATACAGGTGAGACAACACACAGGTGAGACAACACACAGATGAGACAACATACAGGTGAGACATCACACAGGTGAGACAACACACAGGTGAGACAACACACAGGTGAGACAACATACAGGTGAGACAACATACAGGTGAGACAACATACAGGTGAGACAACACACAGGTGAGACAACACACAGATGAGACAACATACAGGTGAGACATCACACAGGTGAGACAACACACAGGTGAGACAACACACAGGTGAGACAACATACAGGTGAGACAACACACAGGTGAGACAACATACAGGTGAGACAACACACAGGTGAGACAACACACAGGTGAGACAACACACAGGTGAGACAACATACAGGTGAGACATCATACAGGTGAGACAACACACAGGTGAGACAACATACAGGTGAGACATCATACAGGTGAGACAACATACAGGTGAGACAACACAGGTGAGACAACACACAGGTGAGACAACACACAGGTGAGACAACATACAGGTGAGACATCATACAGGTGAGACAACACACAGGTGAGACAACATACAGGTGAGACATCATCAAGGTGAGACAACACACAGGTGAGACAACATACAGGTGAGACAACATACAGGTGAGACAACACACAGGTGAGACAACATACAGGTGAGACAACACACAGGTGAGACAACACACAGGTGAGACAACATACAGGTGAGACAACACACAGGTGAGACATCATACAGGTGAGACATCATACAGGTGAGACAACATACAGGTGAGACAACATACAGGTGAGACAACATACAGGTGAGACATCATACAGGTGAGACATCATACAGGTGAGACAACACACAGGTAAGACAACACACAGGTAAGACAACATACAGGTGAGACAACATACAGGTGAGACAACATACAGGTGAGACAACACACAGGTGAGACAACACACAGGTAAGCCACAGATCTTGACGGTGCTAACTGACCTATTACTGTCTCTGCCTGCAGCTCCATCATGTCCACTTCCTGTATCGGCCCTGTCCTGACTTCCCTCCCAGCATGCTTTGCACCTGTCTGCGCTCCACCCTCAAAGTGACCTCCTTCAGCAGGGTGGGGGGGTCATCACCTGTCTCCACCTGCCCTGGAGATGGAGTGTTACCACGGTTACTGCTGGAGAAAAACGTGGGCGTGTCTGAGTACCTGTGGGCGTGTCACCTGAGCTCACAGCTCGCTCACAGGTGAGTCCACCTGGATGAAGGTGTCCCTGCAGGACAGGTATACACAAGTATGAGGACGTACACCTCATTAAGATGTCCACCTGTCTTCAGTCTTCTCCCTAGAGTGTCGAGGCAGCAGTGTGTCTGTGTGTTGTCCTGGAAGATGATGGAGGACGTGTGGGGACAAGGTGAAAATGGACGGAGAGACATCTACTCTGAGATGCTGGATGAACCTCACACCTGTCCCCTGACACAGGTAGATGCACCTGATCTGTCCAGTGTCCATGCATCACCACCCTGCTGTGTCTCTGTCTCTGTCTCCACAGTACCTTGTTGTCCCTTCACTGTCTCTGTCTCTGTCTCCACAGTACCTCGTTGTCCCTGCCGTCCATCAGTACATGAGTGTTTCAGAGCTCACTGAGTCCCTCCGGTCAGAGTCCTGGTCCTCCTTGTCCCTGAGATCTCTGCTGCCCCCTGATGGATCCAGTCTGAAGAGTTCTGAGATCAACTCTAAACTGGCCTGGTCCTGCAGGACCCTGACCTCTGACCCCCAGAAAAACCTGCAGAGTGGAGACGGACTCAGGTGAACCGTGTCCTCTGACCCTCAGACCACTGTTGTGTCTGTGTCTGTAGTGTGTGTGTCTGTAGTGTGTGTGTCTGTAGTGTGTGTGTCTGTAGTGTGTCCCACTGATCATCTCTAGTGTTCACCTCTCTCTCTCTCTCTCTCTCTCTCTCTCTCTCTCTCTGACAGACAGCGCCCCCTGCTGTTAGTTGGTGTTCTGGAGCTCCCGTCCCAGTCTTCTGATCACAGTCTTCACCTCAGAGACAGGACAGGTGCTGTCGCCTGTGTCGTCACGGAAACCAGTATGGTAGAAGAGGAAGAGCAGACAGCTGTCTTCAACACTGCCTGGATTGGTAACACACACACACACACACACACACACACACACACACACACACAGCCTACCAATGACCTTTGACCTTAGTGATTGTGTGTGTGTGTTTGTGTGTGTGTGGCAGGTTGTCTGGTGTGTATCAAGCAATTCACCATGGTAACAGAAAAGTCCATCCAATCAGATTTCCCCTCCTACCAGCACCTGGACCAGGAGAAGTACATCACACATAGACACTGCAGGTACACACACACACACATGCGCGCACACACACACACACACACACACACACAGATAAATGTGTGTGTGTTGTGTGTCTGACAGGGTGTACCTGCAGTTTTCTCTGGACCATGTTTACATGCCAAGTCCATCAGTTGCCATGGTAACACACCTGCAACAGAAAGGGGTGGAGTCAGGGGGCAGGGCAACAAAAAGAAGGCCAACAGAGGATGAGGTCGATGGAGCGAAGAAGAGAAGAAGAAGAGAAAAAGGCCCCGCCCACTCTGCCTCCACCTCTGTTCCCGTGACAACCACTGCTGTTGGTGGCAGTTCCTGCCCCTGCGTTTCCATGGTGATAACGGCAAAGGATAAGGAGGGTGTGGCCTGGAAGAACTTGGGGGCGGGGTTAGAGGATGGGGAGGCGGGGCTGACACTGTGCTTTTCCATGAGAGCTGCTGTGATTGGTCCAGTGGTCAGCTGGAGTCAGGACCCAAAGAACGGACCAATGACAGACAGCGAGGCAGACGCAGGGAGGGAGGACCAGGTAAGAAACATCCCACAGGTAAAAACCTGTCCCATCATGCACCTGTGCTCAGTGGGTCAGCTGTTCCCTGTGTACAGGTGGTGCTGGTGTTCTCAGGTGTGTCAGCTCGCTGGTTTCCTGTCCTCCAACCCGGGTCCTTCTACAGACTCGTCGCTCCAAACACTCAGGTATACACACCTGTGACAGTGAGGCAGGGGGCGGGGCTACCTGTGCTGGAGACATATCTGACTCCTGATTGGTCCATCTGTCCTTCCTTCAGGATCAAAGTCTTCTAAATGGCTGTGATGTTTCTGGGCAGAGCCAAGTGCAACTACACACGGACTCCACTCTGCAGATTCAGTCTGATTGGAGGTTCAACACTCTGACACGCCCACTGCTGCTGCACACCTCCAGACAGGTAAACACCCCTTCAGACCACAGGTGGGTGTTTACTCCTCTACCTTCGATAAAGTCTCTCTCTCTCTCTCTCTCTCTCTCTTTCTCTCTCTCTCTCAGGCTCTCTCGCCCACAGTCCTCTCTGTCTCTGACGTGGTCGACTGCAGGTAAACCTCATGGATCACTGAGTGTCTGAAACATAAACTGGATTATTTCCCCTCAGACCTCACAGTGTGTGTGTGTGTGTGTGTGTGTGTGTGTGTGTGTGTGTGTGTGTGTGTGTGTGTGTGTGTGTGTGTGTGTGTGTGTGTGCGTGTGCGCGTGTGCGTGTTCAGGTCAGAGCTGGTGTGTTTTCAGGCTCTGGTGTCTGACAGAATCAGTCTTGACAACAGGACCAGTGACTCTGCTCACACAGGTACAGACAGACAGGGGTGCTTTTATTTTGAAGGGTCACAGCCTGAATGCTTTTATTGTGAAGAGCAGCAGGTTTCACATTTGTTTATTTTAGCGCTGCCTGAACCGGATTCATTGGTTAAAATTTGAGAATAGTGTTTGCTGTAACCCTGTGAATTAGCAGACGCTTTGTGATTGGCTGTGTGGAGGAGGAGGCGGGACTACAGATTGTCAGCTGTCTTGTTTACTGACACTGTACACACTGTTGTCTGTTTGTGTGCAGGTGTGCGACTCACAGTTTGTGATGACACTGGAACAAGCCTCCAGGTGTACCTGGACTTTAGCCACACCCCTTATCCACCTGGCCTGTTGCCTGGTAACAAACTGCTGCTGTCTGCTTTTCAGAGGAAAACTTCCAGGTATGAAAAACAAAAAACAAACAAACAACCCCCTCAGAGGAGCTTTAAGCAAGTTAAGTCGATCCGCACTTTGTCTTTAAATGTGCGTGTGTGTGTGTGCGCGTGTGTGTGTGCGTGTGTGTGTGTGTGTTTAGGTCTGGAGGTGTGTACTGCAAGTGTTTACCTGTCAGCTCAGTGACCGTCCTCAAACTTGGAGAAACCAGGTAACCTCCTCTAACGATGGTTGTGGATCAGGTCATGTGACTGACTCTGAGCTCCAATCAGAAGAGGTCACCTGCTCTGCTGTCAGTCAGTCTTTATGGTCTCAGGCTGTGTCCGAAATGAATCAGTCAACCCCTAACCCCCATATGGGGTTTCACGGTATACTTGACTATGCAGTGAACTCAACCACCAGAGGTTTCAGACACTACATGGCAAGACGCAATGCATGATGGGATGCCCACCACCAGTGAGTGACCATCACTCGTAGATGTGGTCACTACATTTTGCAATGCTTTATGGGAAATTTTGAGTCGCCTATCCATCTTATTCTTGGGGGCGCTGATGAAGAATTGATTATGGGCGCAACTTCCAGTTATGCACTGGAAGTAGTAGTAAGGCAAGGGGTTTGCCGGCAGCGTTCAATTCCTGTGAAGGTTTATTTAAGTTCCCTGTTAGTTTTTCGCGATCAAGCCCAGCAGTATGTCCTCATGCAGCCCGGGAACATGTTGCGCAGTTTGCGGTTGTATGAACCAGACGAAGCTCAATATGTGGATACGAGAGCAATGTCTAACTCAGAGCCAGTGTTCATGTGACAGTCGGTACCATTTCCATCGCCTGTCGATCAAAGAGGAACCCAGAAGGATGTGGCTGAAAAACCTGAATTACAGGCGCAACTTCTGGTGATGCTCCAGAAGAAGTAAGGCAAGGGGTTTGCCGGCGGTGTTCGATTCCTGTGGAGGTTTATTTAAAAGTTCCCCGTTAGCTTTTCACGATTAAGCCCAGCAGTATGAGTTGCACAGTCCGCGGTTGTACGAACAACCAGACAAAGCTCAATAAATGGATACAAGAGCTATGTCTTGAACACGCACCTCTAACTAAGAGCCAGTGTTCATGTGACAGTCGGTACCGTTTCCATCGCCTATCGATCGAAGAGGAACCAAGAAGGATGTGGCTGGAAAACCTGAATTTAAAAAGACCACCAAAAACATTGTCCTCTTTTCAATTCGTGGACAAAAAGCCCACGGAAGCACACCCATACCCTACTTGTGGTCAGGACATGATAAACCACTGGTGAAAAGACGCCGGTGCTAAACAGGAATCACAGCAGTGTTACGGGAGCAACAGGTAAGATTTAATGTGTACGGAGGACACAGCACTAGGCAAATAGGCAATAACATGTTTTATCCTTTCCTGAACAGCTGATGTGTAAGCTGCGTTTGGACGACTCGTCAGTATGAAGCTAAAATGCCACAATTTCAGGAAAGAGTTGCAGTTGTAGCTGTTCTTATGTTCGAGGATTTCCCTGGGTTTCTGGAGTGCATAAATGATGTGGTTTTTGGTGGGAAGTAGTGGGGTTCATGGAAGTTGAATGGGGTGGAATCGATGTGAATAAAAAAATCCTAATGCGTCATGTCTTCATAATCATACGCAGTTGTCAACAAGGCGAAATAGGCTATCGGTCACGCCCACAATTAACGGAACGGCTCATGGGGTCCCATGAAATATAGAACTTTGATACCTGCTGATGTTCCATTCTTACAGATGCACTTGTTATTAGCGCCATCATTTGTCAACAAACGCCGCTTCCGGTCCATACCGGAAGTCGCACCCATAATTCACACAAGAGCTCATGGGAGATCGGAATAAGGTGGATGTGGGGCACTGGAATTGATCACTCAGGTTTGGGACACCCCTCAAAATGGCGCCAACCCCCATATAGTCACCTTTGTAGGGGTTAGGGATCCATTTTGGACACAGCCTCAGGACCTTAGCATACGGAGCCGGTCCAGACTGTGCTGCAGGTGTTCTCTTCAGGTATGTTCTTATCCTGATGTGTTTCCGTTCAGCTCTGCTCAGCCCCCTCCAGCTCCCATGATGCATCTGGGTATGTGGGCATTCAGCAGACAGCAGAGGAGCATTGTGGGCCAGGTCAAAGGTCACATGGTGTGTTTCCTGTTCCTGCAGCTGCAGTGGATCTGTTCTCTGTGTGGGAGTCTCTACAGACAGGTGAGTCTCTGTTAACTCTGCACTATTGTGGAGGGGGGTACCTGATCACGTTAGATCACAGCGGTGTTTTCTACACAAAACGTTAAAGTGGAGGGGAGACAGAGGTGATCCGGTTTTCAGCCGACCAATCAGAATCAAGTAGTAAAGACAGCTAGGAAAAAGGACGATCTGCTTTATACTCAAGATGTCTCTCTCTCTCTCAGTCTTGTTCCAGCTCTGAGTGTCACTCGACCTCTTCAGTTTTTGACTCGAGAGCGAGGTAAGACCCTGTGTGTGTGTGTGTGTGTGTGTGTGTGTGTGTGTGTGTGTGTGTGTGTGTGTGTGTGTGTGTGTGTGTGTGTGTCCTGCTGGAAAAGGAGACCAGTATCTCCACACAGCTTGTTAGCAGGTGACTGTATCAGGTGTGACTTCTTGACCCTCTGAACTTCTCCCTCACCCCCTAATCTCCACCTTCATCCTGATCGTCTCCTAAAAGGTCGTATCCTCCGATCGTAGCTGATCGTAACCATTCAAGTTAACGTGTCAATTTACACCGACTTCTTTTCAAAATAAAACATCCGGCTTCTTTTCAAAATAAAACACTCCGTGTTTCAGGAGGATCGTATTTCACACCATGCAAACGGGCGGAGACGAACAAGTGAAAGGTTTTTAGACGTCATTTCACCCCGATGACACCATGGATGAGGAGATGCTGATTCTAGAAGTCTAGAAGTAGATTTCCTCCTCTGGAAGGACACAATCTACTGCTTATATGTCTATGTGTCTGTCTTTATAGAGACAACTCGTTATCGTGAGACTGAACGTGAATCTGTGGGTTCTTGTGAGTTCTCACAATTCCGCAATCCGCCACGAAATTCGTCTCACAAACTAATCCGATGGGAATTTGGGCGGATGGCGAAAATCACCGCCGTTCCGGATGCTGTGAAAATTGGGGGTCGTTGATATTACACTGAGAGACCAACAGGAGGAGCTGGTTCAGGGTCTTGATAGCAGGGATACTTGTAGTCCACTTCCTGGACTCGTCTTTGTTTAGAGGCTCATTGAGGGTCTTCTGGACTTTTGTCAGGTCATCAGTCTGAACCATGACCGCGGTCTTTGTCCAGAACCAGAGTGAGAGAATCAAGGTTCAGTGCACCTGTGCAGGTGTGTTTACACTCCATCAGCTGATCCGTTATGTGTGTATCATTGTGTGTATTATTGTGTGTGTTATTGATCAGGCTGGTGATCGACGACGGCACAGGTGAGGCTTACGTCAGCTTCTCAGGTTCTCTGGTTCGTACTCTGCTGGGATTGGCTGATTCTCAGTGGGAGGGGCTTCAGAGAGCGGTCAAAGTCAGAGGTCACGTCAGAATCTCCCCGCGAGAGCCGAGCCTGGTCAGTATCACTTCCTGTTTGTCACCATGGTAACTGTCCAGTCAGTTTGTGTAGTCACCTGTGTGTGTGTGTGTGTCTCAGGTGTGTGACTCGGAGGACCCCCTCCTGCTCTACCTGGCGTGTTTGTGCAGGAGTGAGGTGGCGTGTCGTCAGCTCTCTCTCACCTGCAGGAGGAGCACCAATCAGAGAGCAGAAGGTGAGGGACACAAAGATCTTCTATTGTCTCACTCTGACGGAGTTTTAGACGTGATGGAGAGGCGGGAGATGAGGGGGTCTTCTCAGTCGGTGACCATGTGACCTTGTTGCTATAGCGACAGTTCCATGACGTAACTGTGAAGAGCTGGAGTGATGTCACACCTGATCACCTGACCAGGATGTTTGTGTTTCAGAGACAAAGAGGTTCAGCCGAGGAGAGCGAGACTTCGTCACCAGGAAGACTCTGCCCGTACAGCTCACCTGTCTGTCATTCCACTGATGACCTCACCTGAGATTCAGCAGCAGGAAGGGGCGGGG